TACTTTGATAAAAGCTTTATTTATTCGTAAATCTTTTTTATTATTTATTTTGCTACTTTATATAACGTTTTTATTACAATTATTTCTTATTTAATAGTTATAAAAACATATTAAAATGTTATTATATATAAAAAAGTTCTTAATATATTAAGTTCGTTAAGTGGATACTTTTTATATAGAAATTAGTTATAAGATTAATCGTAATATTAATGAACGAAAAAACTATTGTCAGAAAAAACGCCAGCGCTTTATTTAATTTGAAAACTAGCCGCGGTTTTATTAATTCTATTAATAACACGTTAATAAGATCGAAATAAAAAACTTCGAAAATAATAGAATAATAAACTACGCGACAAAATAAAATAAAAATGCCAGCCGTTACTAAAAAAATTATTAATTTGTTTAATTAATTTTTTTCAAAGTAATTCATATATTTTTAATAAAACCATATTATAATAAAGATATTTAAATACAGGTAAGAAGGAAAGCCACCTAGCTCAAAAAGCTAATATATAAAACAAAAAAACGTAGACTAGTATAACTATAAAAACGTATCTAAATTAAATGGTGATAAATAGTTTTTTGAAGATCTGCGACCGAAAAATCTATTTTCTATATGTAAAACACCCGGACTACTTTTCTTTTCTTTTCGTAGCTCAGCTACATTCACTAGCCACGTTACTAGCTTTAATACCACCTCAAAATAGTTTTATTATCATTATCGTCGTCAATATATTTAGTTAACAGTATATTTTAAATAATAATTTCGTGGAAAAATGTATTACAAAACTTTAAATTTAATATTTTTTAACTTGTTATAATTTGAAAATTATTTTAATTAATAAAAGATTTAAAAAGCAACTTACTAACGCAACTAACAAGATATTTAAACTATTATATAAAAAGAGTAGTAATAAAACATTAAAAATTAAAAAGGTCAGTATAAAAATATATATCATAAAATATAAATATTTAATAAGTTTACATAAAATATTAATATTTTTAAAAAAATTTATACAGTTAAAAAAGAACTTTAATAAAAATAAAACCAAAGTATTTACATTGTGTTTTACCATTAAATTTAGTTTAAAAGTAAAGAAAATATCCACTATCGTAGCAAAATCTGTAACAGTGTTAGTACCTGGCTGATACCAGGGTGAGACGTCTAGCGTGCCTGTCTTATAACAGCTCGGACACCATTTAACAAATTTTCAGGGGTAAACCTATAAGTACAAGCAACGGTGTATGCATGGACCGGCAGCAAAATGGCAGACGGAGACATTCATCACTACGGAACCAACTGACAGTGTAGCACTGATCCGACGCAAAGGCTCGGGCGCCTGTTGGATATTAACGAGTAGGCACCTACCCAGTTGCCAATCCCAGGCATGAATTTCATCCAAAGCTGCATGCTACTCGAAAATGGCATTCTCTGCTTTGCTTTTCCCTCGTGGCTTGCAGATGGAGATTCTAGAGTCCGTCGACGGAGCAATCGGCTCACAATGCCCGTGCCTCACGGCTCGTCTCCTCGGGCTCGCAAGGTTCGTCCGAAAAATCAGCTGTGCCTTCAGCCGGCAGTCCAAACCCCAGAGAAGGGGGCGAGACCAGCAATTGAGCGAGTGTGGCGTACTTTATCGTAGGTTACATGGACGCCCCGACGCCTGCAGGTGATACACGAAGGATACCGACATGAAAGGTTACAATAGGTACATTAAGTACCTGTAGTGAGTGGTACGGACCATAGTGGTAGGGCTTGGCTTGCACCTGCAGCACCGAGTGGCAGTCTGCACCTAAACCTTACAAGGCTGAGTTATAGAGTTGACGTTACATTGCCGATTTATCCCACTTGTGGGCTCGGGATCGGGGTCATCCACTGCAAGCAAACTCTGCTACATTTACCTTACTCAGGAAGCAAGCCTTTTACAGCTGCAGGACGTCTCTTTGACAGTCGCCTCGAAGCTCTGTTGATTACAGCTGTCCAATGAACCGGTCTCGAGCAGTCAACCCCTTTTCAGTCCAAATATTCCCCTCTCTTTTCTCTGCTGCGCGAAATGCATGCAGGTTTCTGGGTGTGTGGCTATGCTGGGACACCAACAGCATCCAAGTTCGTCAAAATCAGCGCATATGCCACGCCTGGCCACCGAGACATCTCTCAGGCTGCTCGTGGCGTTGCCTATCAACGCGGCCAGTCCGACCAAGCTCTTGGTACTTTCCTTATTCAAAGAATCGGCATGCTGGATCGCGTCAGGGATGGAAATACCGCACAATCTCCACGGAATTGTCATTACCGTACGCCTGTCGTCTCTCGACAGATATTCCAGCTGCGGCGCTCCGTTTGCCGCAGCTCAGCTCAGTAGCTCACCGTATGCCCCGCGGGACTGCGCATTGCTCCGAGCTGTTCGGTGATTGAAGCCCACCATCTGGGTTCTCAAGAGGACACTCATGATTACTTTCAGAACCATGGAACTGACTATTTGTCACGAAGCGAGATACCAATCAGCCCCACTATAGGGAATCGGACCCGTCGCATCTACTAGTATCCCTTGACTCCTGAGTTCAAGTGCCGTTTATACAGGTTGGCCCCTATTTTCGAAACTCCTTGTACCCGGTGAGCGGCTAATATCATAATCGTGTACCTAACACAGACTAAAATGCGAAGATCAGCTCCCGTAGTGAACTCCGTCGGCCCGCATCACCCACAGTGAGCAGCGGGCAGTTCCGACTGTTTTGTATTACACCATCATTGTTTCACCGCCGCGACCAGCCGACAAGAAGTATCTTCAAAGGTCCCGGCGCTCTCTCTGATCGTTGCGTATCGTCAACTGAGACGTCATCTCGAGGTAAAGCTACGGCAAAGCCAATACCCCCAGCGCAACATACATATGCCAGGTTAAGTTGGTTAACACTGCCTTAACGTCTTACCGAAGTATCCGCTCTCCAGCATTAATCCAACATCTCCACCCCCACCCTCTCCGAACCAGGAAGCTCGCCAGACGCGCTCGGCCACTCTTCCAGAACACTTCCATGGATCTAGGCCCATTCTGCCTACGGGCATCGTCACTCCTTCGAATGTACTCCTACAAAGTGGCCACAGCGCCCAGCCCAGTACTACACACTCCGAGACTCCGTGATAGTATTCCACACAGTGGGTTCAAGGAGCTGCCGCTCTTCTGCTTTCACTACAGTATCGACCTTTTCAACCGACAGCGGACTCTAGTGCGCACTCTATCTAGCGCACACCGTCTTGTTCTGGGTACTTCGGATCCATCAAGCCGGCACTAAACCCTATGACAGAACGACTACCACGACACAATGCCTTGGCGTGCGTCCAAGGGTGCCGGCGTTCTTGGCAGCACAAATGATGATGGCACGACGCCAAGAACGATGTTGCCGTAACATCGGATCCACTTCCTGGAAGCCCCCTGCCGACGGACCTAGAAGTCTTGTAGCTGCCTGGCTACCTATTCCCACGGCATTTACCGAAATGAGGGTTTATTCAAACCCGTCGCTTCCCAAATGTCGTGGGGGTTTGTTGCTCCACTCGCTGGCCTGTAGCATGCCGGCCTGAATAAAACCTCGGCCGTCCAGGCTTGCCACGAGACGTGTGGTTCTCCTATAGGGGTCGGTCTCGCAGGGCTCGCCATGTACTCCGTGGACTCGTGGAGACGTATCGCGCGTCCATGTACTCCGTGGACTCGTGGAGACGTATCGCGCGTCCATGATCGCGAACTTTGCAGGGCCGCAGGGCGTGGATGTATGTACTCAGTACACAGTAGTAATACTAGTACAATAAGATAAAGGTCTGGCTAGCCCGAAGCGTAGAACGAGAGAACGAGAACGAGAGAGGTGTGCACGTAGAAAGCACCCACAGGAACTTTGACATCTCCGTCGCTGCGTCGCAAACATGGCAGTGGAGCAATGATCTCTCTCAATTCTCCGACTAAGCCCTGCACCTTGTATGTAGTATACACATAGGTCCCGCAGCAACTCTGTCTTACTGACGTGGTACAAGAGCAACTACTAGAGGATCCTCGAGCAGGCGTGGACCCTCTTCCGCTTGACTCGAGCGGAGGTACTTCAGATGAACCAAACATGTGCCATTGGTATATACAGTGGGTATCATCATAGATAGCTGGGGTAATTCTTCTCTCCTCAGATGCCAGCTGGCGTCTCGAGTGTCTCCTCTGTCTTTTTGCGGAGACATACCATTCGCTCCGCAACATGCAGGCGGACAGGCGAATCATCAACACCACCTTTGGTCGTTTCGTGTTATATAAGGTACGCTTATAATATATTGCGCTATAACCTTGGACCATTTCTCGTGTCTCGTGACCGTGTCTAGACGCATGCGTGCATGCATGGCGCTGACAGCAGCTCGAACAGGGTCTGTTGGGTGGGCGGCTTGCTCACCTAAGCCCTACCGGCTAGAGCTCGCCAATATGTTACACGGACTTGTACCACGATTACAGGCATCATCGAGGGGACCGGCTATTCGTCAGTCGTGGCATCTCGTACGCTGATGCTAGATGCAGCAAGAAGGCTTTTTGTACCATGGCTGGCGACGCCTGGTCTTGGTGCTGAACCTGTGAGATTTCAAAGTGTTCTGAAAAGTGTTTTAAATTGAAAGAAGAGGGAGAAGAAGATCTCCAGGGGAAATGCCCCCGCACTTATGGAAAGGTGATCCCGCCGGTGCAATGATAAGACCACTGGTTTAATAGGTGGCTCATAGGAGCCCGCCTCTCATCAAGTGCTATTTACTTTCGATTATGTATATACCAATTTACCAGCGTGTTTGGGGTTCCGGGTAGTGACCCTTTTATGGCTGCACAACCAATCGCCTGTGTGACTGAGGTACTGAGGTTCATAGGTCGAATAATAATGAATCACATAAGACGAGGGCATCCGTGAATGCAGATCCAGGTCAATGAGTAAACGAGCTAATATCTTGCTACACGATACGCGTTCAGCAATGACAACACGGCGGTCACGCCTCGGGTTCTCTAAACCAGCTCCGTGGTCAAACCCCTTGCCCCTGAAGCGGCCGGCTTCCCCCAAACGACATTCCACCGCCTGAACGCCCAGCACGACCCTCGCCGCGTCTCCTCCGCGATGCGCCTCATCAGCTCCCGGAGCTCCTCCGCGTGCGCCTCGCTGGCCGTCGTCCGCGCCAGCATATAGTGCAGCATGAGATTGCACTCGTGGATTGCCACGTTGCATCGGCATCGCCACACCCGTGCCATCCGGCCTCTGATCTTCCAATGAAGAATGGTCTTCGCAGCCAACTGCATGTCAAGTTGGTGAAAGATGATTACGGCATTGTATCAGTACCAATTGCGCGTGGTCCGGCATAGGGATAGCCATCGTGAGCACGTAGTCAGGTATAGTCTGATGGGTTGTAACGTGACGGCCACATGGAAAGCATCACCATCAAGACATGCGCGTAAGATAGAGGCAGAATATTCAGCAAAGTGATCATATAGAAGTGCTTGAGCAACAGGCCGGCAATCTGCTTTAGGTCTCTATGTCCTGGCCCAAGTTGACTTACTCCACGATTTTGTCAGCATGAGCGTAACCACAAAAGCAGCAAGATACCGAGTATCATCAAACCCGGTGTCACGTGTCATCATTAATTGTCTCCTGTGCCTTCACCTTCTCCTGCTCCTCCACCACTTCCTACTTCGCCACCCCCAGCACTGTGAGATCTGGGTTCTCTTACCTTGCATAGGTCGGGCAACGGTCCGTCACGGAAACAGTTAATGAGCTCCGACTTGTTTTTGTTGTTGCCGACGTACTCGGATCTCTGGATGCCCGTGCTATCCTGTCCATGTAGGAAAGCCTCGATCTGCGCCTCTAGAGCCGGGTTGTCGCGATGGATTATACCCAGAATTATTTCACCAATCTGTCCATGGGCGCCCTTGACCGGGCCTCTTCTTTCCCGCAATGTATATGCACTCCACTCCCATTGCAAGACATCGAGTGCAACCTGTCTTGACCCCAGTGCAGGGTTGGTGATCTTTTTGACACCTCTGGCACGCGTTGTTCATGCGCTTTCTCTTGAGCATGGGTTTGCCAGCATCATTATCAAGACCTTCATCGGCAAGTGGGGTCTCGCCATTGCTGGCCCGGACGATGGGGATCAGCGACAGGGCAGCTGGATAGAGTGCGGCGTACGTTGGGGTCAAGGTTGCTTGGTTGGGCATCACGTTGCTGCTCGGTGCCTGCGGGAGTAGTAAAAGTTTCGTGAGCCTGATTCGTATTATCCATGACAATTTGCGATGGCCACGTAGAGGCGTGGTTGGGGATAAGGTAACTTATCTGCTGCGCAAGATGGAAAAGGTCCGAGCAGTACAACGAGATGTGGCGGTAGCAGCGAAGCATAAGTGAAGTGAGAAAATTGTGAAAAATTCTATGCTTCCCAAGTGGTGACTACATAGAATCAATTTCAATCTGTGCCTGAGGTGCCAGCACCTCTGCTCTGGCGGGTGGCTTTGAAATTTGTAGTTTCTGGGTTGACGGCATGGGTGCATGACTTCGCACCTAGCAACGACCCTTCGTCCATTCAGCAGCAACCTTCAAACACGGCTAGAAACACGTTACACTCTTCTGCAGTTATCTATATGTTCGGCGTGATAGAAGAATAGCAACGGACGCTCGTTGATTCCAGATCCATGGTCAAGGTATCAACATGACATTTGGACCTTTCCACCCTCGCATCTAGTGAGAGATGAACAGCAAATCTCGTCCTAGCAATCAGTTCTGCTTTCTGAGTAAAACTGATGCTATGCTACAGCGGTAAGGAAATCAGTGATATATCGCATTTATTCCCGTAGAAGAGTCATGGTGGCACTGTTCGTATGTAATTTCTCCTTATTCCTACTCGGTTGTACGATTTTTCTCAGTGGAACATGAGCGGGAGCCATTTCTACGCCGAGACAACACCCACCACGTCCCAGTTACCAACTCTCCTGTGTAGAGTGCGACTTCTCGCTGTTGGTTGCCACGCACTCACACACAAGCTCTCTCTCACCAAGCAACCCTACGAGCACGACGTATGAGGAAGAGGATGCCCGGATACGTCGGATCCCACGGTAATATCGGCGTACCGCAACTAACCACCAGTCAAGTATCTATATAGTTTTGACGAACCAGGTGTAAGACATAATTCTTTGAATGACCCAATGAAACCCATTGGCGGTCTCCTATACGACAAGCATGAGCCTCCTGGCCCTTACTGGACCCAAGCAGACCATCGCCAACATGGTGCTGCATACCCTGCCTCGCTTCATGACTGCACCACCGGCGCATTTACCATTCAATCTGTTGCTGTCTACTTCACTACAGGTCTGTACGGAAGCCGACCATACGACACTGCTTCTGACCTTTACGTGGACCTCCCTGGTCTCTGCATCTTGAGGTAACTCCAATGCCATCATCATGTGCTCTAGTCTTGAATAACATGACATTATAGATCGCCACACGCGGTCAACCCATTGTAGGCCAAGTCTGAGCTGAAGTCATCCAAACTCAGGCCATGTCATGAACCCGACCATTCACCCGCCGGCGTACGTCTCCGTGAACGCTTGCATAGTGGCCCTGAACCTTCCCATGATGGGTGTGTTTTGCTGTCATCGACACGTTTAGGAGGTTTGGCATGGATTGTGACATGATGAAGTTGGAAGCCTTGGCCCCGGGATTTTGAATATCGAGAGTGTCTCAACTGGTACTGTGTATTCTTCTCAGTGAAGACCGCGCAGCTTGCTGTCCCGTGGACTGATCGCCGCGACATGCCTAGCCTCCACGAAAGCCCCGAGTCCTACATGCGGCCGCTTGACGCGTCTGACGCGTGCAACTAGCAATGGCGGACCGGGAATCAGGCGTGGAACTCTTGTGAATGGTGTCAAGGCTCGTACAGGAAGGAGTCATGGCGACGAGGCATGTGGCCGCGGCTCGGCGCCGGGAGCTCCTGTCAGCCGACTGATGCTCTCAGGAGGACAGACTCTCGCCACGTCCCCTTTTCAGTCGTGGAATGTGTCTCTGTATACAATCATGCTTGCATAACGGCCACGCCGGATGCTACGGCCGCGACTGCCCGCCTAATTCACTGCGTGCGTCGACGATGTAGCAATAAGACAGGCCTATGTAGCCAAAGACTCGACGTTGCTACTGTCGCATGTCGAATGCCGGTGTCAGAAGGCTGATCATGGGCAATAGGGGGGCGAGGGGGGGAGGGCAATGATGATTTATTAATCTGCAGAATGTGCAAATAATACAACTCCTTGTAAAGACAAGGGAGAAGAGGAGCTTGTCCGACCAGCCAAAGAACATGAGACGAGGCTTCAGGTGACAGGAGGGCGGCCGGCAACTTCGCTTGTTTAACGGCGAACCGTTGAGGAGCAAAGTCCAGCAATAAAAGGAGCTGCGGTGGCGCGTGGGGATGGTGGAGAACAGTTCGTCGTAGGCAAATGCTGACACCTAAGGGAGTGTACGAAGCCGCGTCTCAAAGTGGAATTCCTTCCTGCCTTTGGGCTACATCGCCGGTGCCGGTTCCGGCATGCCTCGGTCTTACACACACCGAAGCCGAAGCCTAACCGACACCGACATGCTTCGCAGCTGACTCTGACCGCACTTCAACACGGTAGGTTATCCGCAAGCATCTGATCTTTAACGCACGTCCACCTCCAGACTTCACCTTGTCAAGAGACGAAACGATCATGGCGCAGAAACCCCAATCAAGCACTTATACCCAAGGCCACTCCAATTTCACCACGGCCACCCAACAGACTCGCACAGCTGAGTCAGATGCCGATTTCCTGCTACCATACATCAAGAAGACAGACCGTATCCTCGATGTCGGCTGCGGCCCAGGCACCATCACCACGAGCATAGCCAAGCACGCAAGCGAAGGCTCGACTCTCGGCATCGATCTTTCCCCCAGCGTCATACAGAAGGCGAAGGACTTGGCAGCTGTGGCCAACGTCCCGACTCAAGGCCCCGGCTCCGTCATCTTCGAGGAAGGCAACGTGCTAGAACGCCTCGCCTATCCCGACGAGAGCTTCGATGTCGTCTTCGCCTCACAGGTGTTCGGGTATCTAGTGCCGACCCCTGATGTGCCTCTCCGCGCAGTGGCCGAGATCCGCCGCGTTCTGAAGCCCGGCGGCGTCCTGGCCACGCGCGACGGCACGGCGCAACACTTCTACCCTCGTAGCCTCGACCTCGATCGCCACTGGGTGTACAACTTCACTCGTTCCATCTACAAGGGCGAACCGCCCAAAGACACCACAGGCACGATGATGCCTGCGCTCTTCCGCAAGGCTGGTTTCGATGCTGATGGTGGGAAGGTCCAGATCGGGGTGAGCACCAAAGTGTTTTCTGGCCCGGAGGCAAGGAAGTTCTTGGCCTGGCGAGCGGAAGGACAGTTGAAGGAGGGAGATCCCTTTCGTCAGAGCTGGTTGGATTCGGGAATCAGCGAGGAGGAGATTGGCCAGGCTTTGAAAGCCATTAGGGAGTGGAGCGAGACCGAGGATGCGTGGCATCTTGCGGTGCAGTGCGAGATACTCGCTTGGAAGTAAATGATTGGGCTGAACTCCGGAAGTGTGGTTCGCGAACGTACGGCATTTACTAGACTATTTCCCTTTGCCTGGGAAAGTGATTCCGGGCGGTTTTATTCTCGATACTGGTCTCGAAGCAAGCCTCTGATATACTCATATGACACAGGCATGAGGTACAAGCCCTTTTCATCCGGGACGTCCTCGGGGAGTTTGAGGAGGTTGACGTCCCCGAACGGCACACGTGTGTATTCTGCCTGTCTACCCGCGAAACCACCAGGGGAGTGGGAACCCCCGAACATTTCTGCTGTGCGGCCGCCGTATACCATGTTTTCAATCGTGTTGCTACTTGTCCGTGCACACTACGAGGATTGCCTCTTCTTGCAATAGGCACACTCCCCACACGCGATCCGGAAACTCACTACCGCTCTATCTCCCTTCTATGAGCTCTTGACCAGTTGTTGCTGAGGTGCGAGTTTGGTGAAGAGTTGTGGTTTGGCAGGATGTTATGAGGTCTGAAATAAAACAACCTACTCTGTTCTAGAATACCTACCTTTCGAGCAAGCTAGTCTGCCTTCCTGAGCTTCCGCGTAGCTGCTGCAAAGTATTGTCATTCGCCCTGCGGATCACCAAGCTGTGTCGTCATCTGCAAGATGCTTTTATTTCTACGGCTCTGCAATGTTATCTAGTCCTGCACCAATGACCCTGCCGCTTCTTCCGCTGCGGTTTCTACATTCAGGCAAGCGAAGGCGGTCGAACGAAGCTTACCATCATGGCTCCTGGTCAACAGCCCGTCCCCACCACCCCTCTGGAACAGAACACTGGCTACACCTCAAAGATGCATGTTACCGAAGTCCTCCTCGATATCCCGCGCGTGCTCGACGCCAGCCGTGGCCTGGTGGTTCTGGCCACCGATGCCAGCGCCGCACGCCGGACACCGTGCAAGTTGCATCGGCATGCCGCACTCGCCGACTGTAAACGGATGCCCATTCACGCATCGGTACCAATGCCCAGTGCCGCTGAACTCCCTTGCCATCGCGGCGACGACCATCTTCATCTCGCTCGTGGAGACGCCTTTGTTGAGCATCCTGCGGACGTCGACGATCTCGTCTTTCAAGCCTTTCGTCGGGTTGACATCCTTACCGACAAAGCTTTTGCAGACCTTGTCGGCTGAGTCTAGACGATCAAATCCCGCTTTGTTCAATACTTCCTGGACGTGGAGGGCTCCGGGCTGAGCGCCCTCCGCCGTGGCGTCGATATTGCCACACTCCATTGCTGCAAATCGAGCCCAAAAGATGTCGCCTTCAACTGCCTGGCGAAAATTCTGCGTGCTCTGAGCCTCCTTCACCAGTAAGTCGCAACGGGTGCGATTTGCTGTAAAGTCGATCTGGAGAGTGCCTTTCATCCTGCCTGCCGGAGTCTTGTCGTGCATACTGACGACGTCTGAAAGCAAGATGATTTCGCAACGAACCAGCAGGCTGGTGGCTTGTAAGTGCTCTCGCAACTGCAGCTCGGCGCTGGAGAAGTCGAACTCTGCCATGCTGGAGTCTTGGTGCTGACGACGAACAGTCTCCACTAAGTTACGGACTCGCTGATATGGCTGCTCATCTTTGCCCAGTTTCTTGGCGAAGGCCTGGATCTTGTTGCGGGTAGCGATGATTTTCTGGTAGCGGGAGACCGTGCTGAGACGCTTGACCGCCTTCACCTGCTCGGAGACCTGGCCGAGTAGCTTCAAGTCCTGGCCAGGCTTCCGGGACCTGTCGAGACTGACCAGAAGCTTCTCCTGGTCTTGAGCTAGACGCTCTTCCAGAGTGGCATGAGTGCTGTTCGACCAGGCAGTGAGCTTCTTTGCACTCTCGTCGAGCAACGCTCTCCGGACGATGCGTCCGTACCTTGCGACACTGCGGAGGGAGCTTCTGCAGGCTGGGCAGACCTTTAACTCTCCAGAGGAGAACGGCTCAGAAGAAGTCTTGAGCGCACGAGGCTTGTCTGTCTCGGTATCGATAACATAGTGTTTCGGCATGTCCATGATACCGTCCATGCTGCCGATAGTGAATATGTGGCCGCATGCCGTGAATATGCATGGGTTATCGTCGAGATTAATATCAGCATAAGTCTCGAACATAATGAAGTCAACAGTCATGCTCTTGATGTTGCCCGTTGCACAGTTCTGGCAGAATGTGGCATCTGGGCAAGGTTCGCCGCACACGGAGGGGCACTGGCAACCGCAAGCGAGCATTCTGTCGCATCGCAGAGAGCATGGAACCCAGTCGCAGGGAGCAGCGCACGGCATGGAACACCGTGAATGTCGGCAACGAGAACCGCACTGCTCCTCTGCGCAAGGAGCACATGGCTCATGACATTTCTTATCGCAAGCGGCGTGGATGCAGCGAACGTCGCACTTCTCCTGGCAAAGTGGGCATGGATCTTTATTATGACAGCTAGCTTTGCAATGATGCCTGCAAGTCGAGTAATTTCGTCCGCAAGGTTGTTTGCACTGCCCGTGCTCGACAGCATTAATGGTGCCGTCATCGTTGCGATTGCGGCATTCGTGGCAGGGCTTTTGGCATTGGTGGCCGCAGGGTAGTAGATCGCCGCAGACGGCTGAGCACACGTAGTCGAGGCCAACGTCGATGTGGCAAGGTACCATGATCGTATGGCTGCATCCCGGCACCGTCTGCTCGACTGGAGTCTCGCAGAGGGCTTTAGAGTGGTCCTGGTCTTGATAACATGGTAGAGAAGTCTTGCAATGGCCGCAACTCAGCTCCACCTCAACATTGACGATCTCCTGACACTGCTTATAGCACGGATCTCCGCATGGCAGTTGGCAGTTGTGGGTACAGCCGGCCTTTGGGCGGGTACATGGCTTCATGCAGTGTACAGCATTGTGGAGCAATTGTGAATGGCATTTGCTCATACAGGCATGGCCACATGACAACTGCTTGTCGCAGGCCAGGTCGCAGCCAGCTTCCGGCGACAGGCGTATAAAGTCTTCTGGCGTACTGACTGAGAGCGGTGTTGCCTCGTGTCTCGGGCAACACAATTCGAGAGCGTTCCCGAAGTTACCATCTCCGCGGAAGATGTCCAGGACGGCCGACCACATCTCAACATTGCTCGTTGTGTTGGAGTTGCCAATGATGTACATGCCGTGTTTGGCCCGAGATAATAGCACGTTGATCCGGTTGGAAGTCTTCAAGAAGCCTGGATTGTTCTTGGCGTTGCTGCGTACCAGGGAGATAATGATGACTTTCGCCTCTTCTCCTTGGAAGTTGTCGACTGTTGCGACCCGAAGAGCCTGTAGGAGGGTGCCACGAGCGATGGACGATGGACGAGTGAGCTTCTCAATAACAAGTTCGCCATCGTCAGGATCTGTGTCGGCTTGCTTCTGAAGGTCTTCGACGTCCCTCTCGTTGAGGACGATATTGAAGGTAGAACCCAGCTTGTTCCGGATCTTCCTCAGTTGACCAAGATACAGTGTAATGACGGCAATCTCGTCAGAGGCGTATATGCCTTGGTGGACCAGGTGAGTGACAAGGGAAGCTACCATTCCCACTTCGAAGTCATTCGTGTGAGACATGGAAATCGCACCTTCAGCACCATTCTCCTTGTGCTCGTGATGCATCCAGAACAGTCGTTGACGCATCCCGACCACATTCGGATAGCTCATGACCGAAGGCGCATCTTCCAGCTGGGGATAAAGCGTCTTGCGAACGAGCTGTGAGATGGAAGGGTGCATTCTCCTCTGCACCGAAAGCGTGCAGTATGGCAGAGGCTGCGCCAGGATGTCGCGGGGCTGGACGAGGCGCTCGAAAAGCGACACATCGAACGAGTATTGGAGTCCGCTCTTGCTTTCGCTTGAGAGGTCATGGTTCTGGATGTGAGGGCGAAGTTGCTGGTGATCGCCGATAAGAATCGCATGCTCAACAGTCGGCAGCAGTGCAGTCAGGAGATGAGATTCAAGTACTTCACCAGCTTCCTCACACACAAGCACCTTGGCACCCGTGCGGCGGATGAGATCAAGATTCTTGGCCAGGCCGCTTGTCGTGATGCCGATGATGTTTGCCTGCCGAAGGACGCGGAGATCAAGCTCGGTGCTAATGAGGTCGTGCTGCTGCTTAACTCGATTGTACTCGCTCAACGCACGTCGCAGCATATCCTGGAGGTCTTCCTGTATATTGTCCAGCCAGCTCTGATGGAGAATGCGACGCTCGAATCCTGTCATATTACCTACGTGCACGTCCTGCAGCACGTCTACCGAACGAGGCCTACCTTGACCCCATGCTGCGCTCTTCAACCAGGAATCCAGTACACTGCCACGGTGACGTCCAGAAATCTGCCAGCCGTCTTCGTCTTCGCCGCCGAATAGATTTTCGTAATGCTTTGGGTTGTGCATTTCTAGGTGGGCCGCCACAGCATCCTCAGCGCCGAGTTGACGGATCTGAGATAAAATGCGGTTAATCTCCTCAGCTTCGGCCTCGATATTCTTCCATAGCGACCATCGATCGCCCTTCTCCGTCTTTGTGAGATCCAAGCGTTGCGTCACTGCCCTCAGGTTGACCTCTGCTAAACGCTCCGACTTTGAGCTGCCACCGATGCGGACGACATGCTTTACACCTTCGTCCACGAGGCGCTCTAAGCCTTGGTCAAGAGCGTGATTCGTGTAGCAGACGCAGATCAATGGTCCGAGCTCGCCGGCTGCTCTGTTGTCTAACAGTATCTTGATTAGCTGGACTCCCGTGTACGACTTGCCAGTTCCAGGCGGACCTTGGATGAGCGCAAGTGACCTTGATAGAGATGAGACGACTGCCTGAGCTTGACCGGGATCGAGGGTAGAGTAAATTGCCAGCTCCTCGGCCATGGCGTCCATATTCTGGGCCGGCGTGAGGTGAAGATTAAATCCTGGCTCTGTGACCCCAGATAGATTAAACCGGAAGCCAGGCTTCATGGCATACGCTGGTAAGTCGATCGCGGCCTCCCGGCTTGGATTTGCTGGCGTCGATATTGGAGCAAGAATCTCCGGAAATGGCACATCCAGGCTATCACTTAGCCGCTGCATCGCTTGAAGTGTAGGTCTGAAGGCCGGCAACAGGATTCCGGGAAATTCAACAAGCGAATACTGCTCAGTGTTGCTGTGAAGCAGCTTATCGAGCAACGCATGGACGTCCGACTGCTCGACTGGCTTAGCAATGACATTTGCGCGCTCCTGGTTGGACCAGAGGTTGTACTGCTTGTGCAATTGCACTGTGTCGGTATCTTCGTCGTCTTTCTTCTTCTTCTTCATAGGTACGCGAGAGACAACGAAGAAGGTCACGGAGCCTTCGCTGCTAAGCAAGCATATCAGAGCCTCGTAGCCCAAACGCTTTGAGCTTTGCCACCACTCTCGATGCTCATCTTCCGACTTGCTGTGCAGGTCTTTCGGTTGATCAAAGCTCAGAACGAACTCCATCCCGCCATAGGCATCGAAAGCAAGATCCGACAAGGTGACGTTCTCGTACACGAAAGTACGCGCGCCTTGATGCTCGCGCCTATTGTTGCCGTCCTGCGGCCGGGGATTCTGCAGCCTCTCTAACTCGAATTTCGCAGCGTCCCGGAGTTGGCCGACGGTGTCTTCTCGCAACAGGCGGAAGTGGCGGTCAAGTAGGCCTCGAAGACCACCGATGTGCCACTTCCTTGGATCAGCGGGCGGTAGATACTCCGTGCGGGAGCTCTGTATCTCCTGCACAGTCGGCAGGATGGAGATACGCCGGATGTCGACGTTGTCGTTGTCGTGCCTTGGGCCGTCCTCGGAGAGCTCGCCTGGTAGCTCACGTGCAAGCTCGAAAGTGGCACGGTGGCCTACCGTCTTCACGTAATCCTTGGACTCCGGTAATGCCTGGCCAAGACCGAGACGCTGCTCAATCCGGCGAAGGCATTTCTGAGCTGGCTTGAACGCAAAGGCAGCTGTCTCCGGCAAGGGCTCCTCAAGGATTGTCGAGAATGTCTCCCCCACCAGCTTCAAGCCATCGTGGACTTGAGCCTCGGTATTGACCTCGATGAGCTTATGCAGCACCGCCAGACTTGTCTCGATAGCCAGCACAGACTGGAGGTTGGCCACCTGCGAATTCTCGGCGTCCAACAACTGCAGCGACTGGAGATGCCTCGTGACCGCCGCAAAGAGGGAGACAACACGTTGGCCATCTCCGCCATAGATGATGTTGTAAATTGTCATGACGCGGCCGTTCATGATGACAGAAGCGAGGACGTTCTTGTGACTAATGGCCTGGAAGAATGGTAGAATCTGAGCGTCGAAGATATGGGCAGTTTGTGCTTCATTCAGCCCTTCGAAGCCTTGATCGACAACCTCTGTGAGCCGCTGTGAGCCGCCTTCGCTGGCTAGTAGCGAGATGACTTCTTGCATGAGTCCAGCTTCGCCGCTAACGAGCGCGAGCGCCTGCTTGCAGAAGTTGGACATTGCCGGACCACCCAGTGGGCGCGTCTTCCCACGAGAAGCATCCGGAATGGGAATGTTGTAGCGCCATTGCTTAAATTGAGCTTCTGTCGTAGCAGTCGAGACGGAGCCAGACGCACCGGCAGAGGTACCGCCAGGGACACTGGCGCCCGATGTGGCTTTTAGAAGGTCAATGTCCTCCTTGGCGTGAGAGAACTTGCAATCTTTGCCTCGGTTACATTTGTTTTTCGCGAAATGCGCACAGGCTTTGCGCTTAAAGTTTGGGTCGAGCTTGTGTGCGTACCTGCAGGCCTCGCCTCTCGTACAGGCGCCGACCTGGAAGGCGTGACAGAACCTGTCACTGATTAGTACAGAAGGCTTTCCGAGCAGCAAGGCGAACCTACTTCTGGTCCACCATGTTAGACCGGTGTTGTCGTGCTCAAGGCAAGTTGAAGGTGTTTGGGAGTGCGGAGTGTATGTATGCTGTAAGTACGGTGGATCTTTGCGGATAGCAAGGCTTTGTCTGGCTAGTGAATCTGCCTGAGGCAACTCCAGATGCGCAGGAAGCCTTCAAGAGATGACTCGTATTTGCTTCCCGGCGGGACCTGACATCATATGTGCGACGGATGCAATGCAGAGGAAGATGGGAGAACGCAGCTGAAGCTCCGCGCGCGTTTGCAGCGCGCAGTCACCTATGGCACCCCATCTGCACCAGAACAACCATCAACACCAAAGCAACTGCCGCTCCACGTGTTGTCGCGATACGATGCGGGGAACACGGAGACCGCGCGCTGCTGGACACGGCATCAAATGCATCCTACTCTAAGGCGGTATCGACACCTTGCTTCTTGCTGATATCGAACAAGCGATCCGCCACCGCGACTCCTTCTGCATATGCGTCTACCTGATACCGCTTGAACTTCCGCGTTGGCACACGAGCGATGTACATAATGTCGAGTTCTTCGAACGTTCGGCCCTTGGTCTCCGTCAGGCGGAAGCAGGCCCATCTGCAAAGTCGGTTAGTCTGCATCACCTCCAATAGGTAGCACGTCTTCGCCTACATGAAGGCAGCAGTGCAGAAGGCAAACCAGAAGAAGCCGGTCTTGCCCCGAAGGTTGAGCTCGGTCGGGTTGATGAGGTACGGCTGGACGACGTTGGCGAGTGTGCTGGCGATGTAGTAGGTATTGCGACCGAGCACGATGGTCTTCGACCTCAATCGTGTAGATGAAACTTCGGGCGGGATAGCCCATCCGATCGGACCGATGCTGAGAGAGAAGGTGAACTGCGCATGCGTTAATGTTCCGCGGCACCTGCTACAGGTTGATGATTCGAATCACGTACCAACCAAAGCAAGCAAAGTGCTGACTGCGCCTGAACAGCGGCGGCACTGTGCGCATAATCGAGGCAGCCGATAATGAAGAGATATATCGACATCAGCCCAATGCCAGTACAGTAAAGCCAGCGGCGTCCAAAGCATTTCATCAAGAACCATGACAGGATGGTACCAACAAAGGCTATTGCTGTGCCGCCGAGGTTGAGCTTGTAAGTGTTACTCGAACTCAGCCCGGCTTGCTCAAAGAAATACGTTGCCGAGTATGCGAACTGGCTGTACATCGTCAGATGGAAGGATGATAGGTACCAAAGTTCAGCTCACCTCCTCGCAAGGACCTGGCCAGCGAAAGCCATGCAAGCAATTTCGGTCCGTCGCAAGTTGGTTCCCTTGCAGCAATCGAGGTACGACGTCCCAACCTCGACCTCCTTCTCGATCTCATTGGTGTGTATCATCATGGCTATAGCCTGGCGAGCATTGTCCCTCTGCTCGTCGACCGTCAATCTCTTCATCATGCGCTCGGCTTCCTCGTGCTTGCCAGCGCGAACCAACCACCAGGGTGATTCTGGCATGAACCAGCCAGCCACGAAGAGAAGGGGCGGCCAGATCCACTACAGAGCAAACGGTATCTTATATGACCATAAGTCGGTCCGGTCGAGGAAAGATTTCAACACTCCTGCGCCAACAAACTGACCGATTGCAAAGCACATATTGGTGTAGGACGTCAGGTATCCACGGAGCGCCAGTGGCATTTCTTCTGACGCGTAAGCTGGACCTATCGTGGCAAATATACCCCATGGTATTCTGGAGTGAGGTTGCAGAGTCAGCTCGCCGTAACAATAAAGGCCAAGGTCAGAGCTCACCCGCAGAGCGCCTGGCCCAGAACTTGGAGGCCTACGTTTTCGCCAAAGACAGAGATTGGAATGAACGCCGTCATTAGAATCGTGCCTCCCATGAAGACGTAGCGGAACCCAAACCGCTTCAGAAGCCAGCCATTACAGAGGGCTCCGACGAACTGGCGGCGTCAGTTCAACATACTCGACTATCCCACTCGAAGGCGTGCATACCGCCCCTGCTGTCGCGCCACCACCCAGCGCGGACTGCCATTTACCCAAGATCTGGTAGCCGTCTTTGTACGGTTGCCCAAACTGCTTCTTGAACGCTGGATAGGCGTAGAGCTGGTAAGCATCAGCGATTGTGCTCACAGCTGCATCTTGTGAAGGCAGTCACGCTCCGTCTGTACTCACATTACCAATCAGATTCGTGTCATAGCCTTCCATGATGATGGACATAGATATTGTCAGTGACCAAGCTACCGCTGGCCAATACAGCCTAATCGCTTCCTTTACCGTCATCGTATGCTCGGTAGCACTTGCTTGTTGAGCATCCTGGTGTACCCATCCCATTCGGAAGGTACGCCGTTGGTGCTTGCTGGGACATGCTCAATGAGCTCTGCGCTTTGTACGTCCGCTTTCTCCGCCATGGCTGTGGCAGATATCAGAGAGATATGAGAGAAACAGGTCGCTTTCTCAGTTCAGTAACGGAGGAGAGATCAGTCAATATAGAGTCTGCTAGGATCCAAGGCCTGCCCAGTTGTACCCATTGGCTGCCTGTTGGGTTTCTTTCGCATGGCTGCAAAAGGATCACTCGGATGCCAGCCACAATGTGCTATGATTCGGCGGAATGGCGCCATGCCCGTGGGCTACCAAAGGCTTCTCGCTTTTCGGGGCTCGCGTTGAACGACAGTGCCTCACGTCGCTCGAGGGATTCATGGTAGTAGCGGATCATCGGATGCATATCTTCCGGTATGCGTTCCCCAGGTATGCCCCAGACTTGCGGGGTGCATATGCGGAGAGCGGAGATGCGGCTTCGATAGGCTCAGCACGAAGCTCAGACACCAGTGCCCGTGCTCAAGGGCATCGTGAGCTACTAGCTGGCCGCATATTGTTCCTGGCCTCACTCACACGACCAGGGTGCCGAGCAAGTCCTCCCAGGTGAGTGAGGAAATAGGTGATAGGTGTTGGAGGAGTTGCGGACAAGCCCCAACAGCACGAGGTTATTGAAAGCAGAGCCACTCCCTTCGCTTGGTAATGTATAGTTGGTCCGTGCCAACTATCACGTCGTGTAGAATTGTGGAGTGGTTGGTAGTCTGACTTTGCTGAGGTAAGCACGAGGTATATGTGGAGAGCCCGTTTACCCCTAAACAGGTGCGGAGTCAGAGGCTCCGCACCTGGAGGAGGTTAGGTTTTCCCGCCACGAACCCAGGAGCTCCAAAGCCGCTCGACTCTCGGCTAACTTGACCATCTCCAATGGCAATGCAGGAGCATACTCATCCCGCGAATGGTAGGGACCGGCCGCCAAATGGAGTGGACATCCAAGAAAGATCGTAGTTGACAGCATGCATGCGGTTGTGTCATCGTATCATCTCGTTCCTCGCCCCTCAACTACCGGCAAAACGATTCCCGTGTTTATAAGGTTGCCGGCTCTGCAAACGATGGAAACCTAGGAGACACGGTGCTCGCGCTCATCTCGTTGCCACGATACTATCATGGACACTCCCAAAACTATTACGCTGCAAAACCACACGATCGCTGTTGTGATCTGTACTCCGGACGACTCATATCCATACCTGCGGTCTCTTGATCCTGTCGGGCACACTCAAAATGGCAGCGAGGGCGATAACATCCCACTCCCAAAGACCAAGTTTCTGCCTCTCGTCAATGTTAGGCTGACAGGCGAGGGAAATAATGGTTGGAAAGGGCAGAAGAGCCTTGTGGGTAGCTACATATCGGAAAGGTTCAGGTACAAGTCTCATAAGACGTATATCACTTCGGACGATTCGGAAACGCTTGACTTGGAAATGAGAGATGAGAAAACGGGCATCACGGTCACCAGCCATCTGACCATCTTTGAAGGCTTGCCAATGCTGCGAGCCACCGCGACGGTTCTCAACGACTCGGATCGTAATGTCGTGCTCACACAACTGACCTCTGTTGTCGTGAGTCAAGTGAACTCGACTCCCCGCTGGTGGGAAGACTGCCAACTATCTACCGCAACCAGCACATGGTTCCGAGAAGCACAATGGCAGCAGCGTACTCTGCCCGACATTGGCTTAGATTCTATCGGTATCCACGAGTTGCCCGAGCACCACCCCTGCTCGCAGGCTTACTATAGCCTGTCGAATACGGGCACTTTCTCGACACAAGGCCACCTGCCGATGGGATTGTTGACCTCCAAGAACGATGCATGGATCTGGCAAGTGGAGAACAACGGATCATGGCGTTGGGACCTAGGCGACTTCGAAAACGGTGTCTACGTCGCTGTATCGGGTCCAGAGGCTAGCCACGACTGGCGACAGAGATTGGCACCCGGTGAATCGTTCACCTCGTGCCCGGCAGCTGTTGGGCACGTTAGGGGTGATCAGGAAACAGCATTTGCGGCATTGACACAGTATCGCCGCCGCATCCGCCGGCATCATAAAGACTTTGATGACATGCCAACCATCTTCAACGATTACATGAACTGCTTAATGGGCGACCCGACGACGGAAAAGATCCTCAGTCTAGCTGACCCGGTCGCTAAATCCGGAGCGCAATACTTCGTCATCGATTGTGGTTGGTACGCAGATGATATGGGCTGGTGGTACGACGTGGGCGATTGGCAGCCGTCGAAGAAGCGCTTTCCAGGTGTAGACGGCTTCAAGAATCTCCTGCGGAAGCTTGCGGACATGGGTTTGAAGCCCGGGCTGTGGATTGAGCCTGAAGTCGTTGGTTACAAGAGTGCAGTCGCTCACGAGCTACCCAACGAAGCGTTCTTTCAGCGCGATGGCGAGCGGGTTCTGGAGAGAGGCCGATATCAGCTCGACTATCGGCATCCAGCTGTCATTGAGCGAATGGACAAGATAATCGACCAGCTTGTGCTTGGATACGGGGCCCGATACTTCAAGTTCGATTACAACATCGAAGTCTCGCAGGGTACTGATGTGAACTGCTCGAGTGCTGGTGTTGGTCTGCTAGGTCACAATCGCGCCTATCTCAAATGGGTGTCGGGACTCTTGGACCGTCATCCCGGCCTGGCAAGTCGCCCGTCTCGCATCTAGAGTGTCATTATCTAATCGATGTCTTAGGTCATCGAGAACTGCTCGAGCGGAGCCCAGCGCATGGACTATGCCATGTTATCCGTCCACACCCTTCAGTCTACGAGCGACCAGCAAGATCCTGTACGATATGCCGCCATCGCGGCTGCAATCCCGACAGCGGTGACGCCCGAGCAAGGCGCTACGTGGGCGTATCCGCAGGGCGACTGGTCGGACGAGATCAACGCCATGACCGTAGTCAACAGCCTCCTCGGCCGCATCCACCTTTCAGGACGACTGGATCAGATGAGTGAGAAACAACTCGAGATCGTATATGAAGGTATGCGCGTATATCAGGACATCAGACACGATCTCCCCGAATGCACACCTTTTTGGCCGCTGGGCCTGCCGAAGTGGCATGACGACTGGGTTAGCCTTGGCATGATGACCGCGGATCGCAAAAAGGCCTACGTGTCTGTTTGGAGACGTGGAGGCGACGAGGTGTCATGCAATCTGTCCATTCGTGCCTTTGAAGACTTGTCTCAGATGGAGGTCAAGCTGCTCTACCCTGCAGCTTTCGAAGGACAAGGGTCCTGGTCACAGTCCGGCCTCCAGGTGACATTACCAAAGACACAATGTGCAAGACTCTTCCAGGTGGCAGCGAAAACGTCGGTAGTAAATGAGAAAGGAGCAACGAGTAGGGGGTATCCTTGATAAAGCCATCCGCTCTTCAAGGTGGCCATTGTAGTGTAGACTGGGTCATCGCGTAAAAAAGATACTCATATACTATACCGGCTTCTTCAAGGGTTGGAAACAGTTATAGGCCACTGCTCGTTTACAACCTTTCGTTCAGGTGTCATTCATGCGAGTAAGAGAACGAGCGCGAGAACGAGCGCGAGAAGCGGTGGCAACAACCGGAGTCTACACCCCCAAGTCAAGGCTGCGCCGCGGCCCTACGCAGGCTTCCGGGCTTAGGTGCGCCCAGGAGGAATTAAGATGCGTTCCTGCCGTAGTCAGGAGCCAGCCGGCCAACGCTGCTTTTCGTGTAACCTTGCGCCTGTCCCCCTTACTTCTCCATGTGGTAAGAGCCAATGGCGGGTACTCCCAGCTGGCTGGCACCGAAAACCAACAACCAACAAGCAAGCGAGTAGCGATACTCCTTAAATATAAATAGTTGTAGCTTGGACAGAAGGGAGGCACCTTTCGCTCTCCCACCTCACATATTTTTGCCGGTTGATACTAGGTCTCTACTTCGCCTTTGGACATCCATGCCAGTGACTTGAACCCTTGCCACGTCCCCCTGCCCGCTTTTCTCTTCACGCTGGCACTTCCGACAGCGTCCGATTGGGGATTCTGACGTCCGTTCGAGTTCTACCACTCCATACTCATCCTTCCCGTCTCAATCGCTTCTTTCGGCGTGCGGTCAGTATGACGAAGCCGACTGGAGTGCTCATGGTCGGCAGCGTCCCCGGAGCCTCGCCACAGGAGGTCTTCACGCGCCTAGCTACCGCGCTTCCCGGCCGCCTGGAAGCTATACCGGATGGCGAGACCGGTGAAAGATGGAATTACATTGGATGGCAGCTGCAACGCTTTCCTCGCGTAGCCCGGCGAAACGAACTCGGAGGGATCCCGCTGTCTGAATCTGGATCTGGACTACCGACCTTCACGCTTGCGGACATCGAGCCAACGGCTTACGACGAGGTGGCATTGTCGTCTTACACCGAGTTCAAACGACTTCGTCAAGAACATATCATTCCGGAGAATGTTCGTTTCCAGATCGGCTTGCCCTCGCCATACAGTGTCGTGGTCGGGCATGTGAAAACGGAGCTGGCCAATGCGATCGAGCCGCTGTACGAACAACGTCTCGCGGAATCGATCGACCATATCTTCACGGCCATTCCTCACGATGATCTGGTGATTCAATGGGACCTATGCTTCGAGATGACAGCGCTCGAGTTCGATCAAGGACGGCCTCTCGACAAGCGGCACCAAGCCTATTTCCCATCACCCAGCGGTCTGCTCCAGGGCCTCGTGGACCGCGTCGTACGGCTCTGTGACCGGATTCCCGAAGACGTCAAACTCGCCTTCCACCTCTGCTACGGCGATCTCAACCACCAGCACTTCATCGAACCCCACGACGCATTGCTGCTGGTGAAGCTCGCCAACGCCCTGCTCGCCCGCGAAACCCTCGGCCCGCGGACCGAATGGATTCACCTGCCCGTGCCAAAAGAGCGGACGGATCCGGGGTACTTCGCACCCCTGGCCGGCCTCAAGCTGGATAGTTCCGCCTCGAAACCACCTCGTATATATCTTGGGGTGGTGCATGCCAACGACGAAGCCGGGACGAAGAAACGTATCGACACTGCACAGGCTAGTGTCCCGTTTCCCTTCGGCGTGGCTACAGAATGCGGTTTGGGCCGGACTCCGCCTGAGGAGATCGACAGTATCTTACGGATCTGTAAGAAGGTCACTGCAGAGCCCGTGCGAGAAAATCTATGAGCACATGGGGCAGGTTGATTGATGATTTAGGCAACTGGCCCATTCCATCAGCTCCGAAGCTTTCGCAATGGGCTGATATAGTCCTGTCCAATTGTTATGGTATAGAAACCTTAAACTAGGCTCCATAGTGTAGCAAAACATGAGCTTCGCAGATATCGAAATTTCATTGCGCTTTCCCTCCAGTCAAGCGGATCAAGTAATTCAGTTGTAGGGGCTATGTCCTGGGCGAAGGAGACGCATTTGAACGAATCGACGGGGGGTTGCTTAGCAGGATCCATCCTGTTTTTGCAGGAAGCTGTAACGTGCCCTCGCGTACCCAACGCTCAGTGCTTTTGTTACCCTGGTCACCCATACCCAGTCATGCAACCAACATACATGCTGATGACTCCCCGCTATGCCTCTCGTGGACTACGGCCATGTGACGAGCCGTAGTTACTTCGGGATACCACGCCCCGGAACTATCGGCGGCGGTGCGATGCGCGTGTCGAAGACGCGGCGGTCGACCACCTTGAAGTCGAACATCCTGTCCAGCTCGGCCTTGACAGCCATAAGCTCCTCGGTGGCCTTCTTGACATTGTCGGGCTGCGAGTCGTCGGGCACGTTGAGCTTGACGTTGAGAACCCACTTCTGCGCCGGGTCGACGGGGCGCAGGTCCGCCCACGCCGGGAGCACCGTCACGGCGCGACCCGGCGAGTCGGGCAGGTGGTAGTACCGGCTGAAGACAAACTCAACGTTTCCCCGCACGAAGGAATAGCTTTCCTGCACGAGTTCGTTCTGGTATCTAGTAATGAGGCGACCACGGTCAGCTCGATGGCCAGCACTTTGATTGGTGGGTCAAGGGAGCACTACTTGTAGTTGTTATCCGTCAGGGCCACCTGCAGGTTGCTCTGTTCCGGTATCTCGAGTTTCTTCCTCGAGATGACGGGGGTGTCCCGCCAGGGGTCCGGCAGGTCGGTCCACCGCAGGGTGCCGGGTAGCGTGTTGAACTCCATGGCGGTGCCCTTGCCGAAGTCGGCGTCGGGCGAGACCGGATACGCGGCCTGGACGACGTACGACGAGCGGCTCAGGTGCTTCGCAAGCTCCTGCCATAGCGCGCGCAAGTGCGTCATCTGGAATGCACGCGGGTTCGGCAGGCCCTTCGGTTGTGGCAGACCGGCGAAGAAGAGGATCCGGTAGACGGACCGCCGCGCCGTCATCCACGTGAGGCCCTGCAGTATCGCGCAGGCCATGTCGAAGTCGTCGGCCTTGACCGCGGCTGTGATGAATAGCTCGTGCATTTTTAAAGGTGCACCGTGGTGATGTCGGTGACGGTATTTGGACGTAGAGTGAAAGTGTCTGGAAGGCGCTGACCGAGGCTCTCAAGGGACTCGTAGCCTTGACTGTGCAGTGCAAGCAGCTCGCCGCGGAGGTCTTCGTCAACCTGGCTCACGATAACAGACAGTCTGGATTCTGAAATGTTTTCGAATGACGGTTGATTTACATCGGTCAAGTACCTGTCAGTTTTCTCTGGATCGCAGAGTTGTTACAATGGCCGTGCCCGATGAATGAATGAACGAAGATGAAGTTGAATAAGGTTGACATCGGCCCCACCACAAGACATTCCTAACCTTAGGCCGTAAGGTGGCTCCACTACGACCCGCGCTCTCGGTAACCCAGTGTGGAGCCGGGCCCCGGTCCCTGAAACCCCCCTGCTCTCAGTGCACCGATGTCAGCCCCAGGGGGTCCGCGAGCGCCAACATTCAGGGCTTTCTTGGCGGCCACAGACGCCGGGTCAGAACTCCGTGCAAGGGTGGAGGGGAGGAAGGGAAAGCAGACAAGATAGGTCATTTTCAAGTCGCGTTGGTATAGATTCAAATTGCTCAAATACCGGTAGACTCGCTATGCCCACGTCCTATTTACCCACCTGAGATACAATTGGCAAAAGAATACGTCTAAAAATGTAGCAAGGCAGGAGGTTCTAACTTATGCCAACTCATCACCACATTGACAGGTAATAGTACAGCACGGATTTTCTGCTGTAAAGCTCGTGACTGATATCCGTGTCGTTTGCGTCTAGTGGTGGTTATATAGGACTTCGGTGACTACCTACTGTAGTGGAACATGTAGAAGGGGTAACAGTAAGTACCTAGGCAGTCAACCAAGGGTGTTGTTATACAAGAAGGCACTTCAAGATCCGTGCTGGCCATTCCGAGTATGCCTTCTTGGCAATGCTCAAGACGGAATCACAAAGCGGATGTTGTTCTGTTTCGCAAACACGAGCGCTGCTGTGACATTCTCGACCTGTGTTGCGTCTACAGTATACTGTGTAGGCATTATAATTGCCTACCTAATGCTGCAAGGCTCCCTGCTCGGGCAAAGAGATCACCTGCTTTGATCGGTGAAATACTGCGTCATTAAAAACGACGTTGAATCCAGCTCGCGAAGTAGTGTAAGCACCAGGAAGGGGTACGTGAATGGTCGATAGAGCCTACTAGATCTTCACATCATCCCAGTTTGCGAGCATTTCGGCACAATTCGACTCGTCGTATGGCGGATATGCACCGATGTCAGCCCTAGGGCTATGTAGAGGCTAGGGTAGGGGGTCTTACTCAGCGTGCTTCCGGGTGGTCGAAGAAACAAGTAATGAAGCAGCCAGCTCTTATGCGACTAGGTTCATCTATATAAGCTGCTGCTCATTAATTGGTCGCTCTCCATGCATTGTATGCACTCCATGCTCCGAGCGGGGCACTCGAAGGAGCACCTCCTACACGTGTGTGTTGCTGGACCCGTGTAAAGCCATCATATCGAGCTTCCTGGAAGTTGGAGAAATGATAGATCACAATAACTCAGTTAATGGTAGTCGACAGTGTGCTACTTGGTCCGCTCCGCCGACTGTATTGGCAAGGGTCGCTGAAAATATCTGGCTTAATTAAGGTATATGCCCACCCCCTATCCTCATACGCATCCATTCTCTATCTCCAACGAGATGGCTGCACGAACTATTGAAGAGCTCAGCGAGATGATTGCCCGCACTTCGACAGAGCTCTCGGCAGGGCTGAAGAGCAAGGGCATCGCTTCACCGAGATTGCAAGACACCACAGCAACGAGTTTCGAAGCAGTAAGCGAGAATGCTGCCCGGGCTCTCGTTGACGCCGCACGTGAGCTCGAGACCCTGGTAATGGGTCTTCGAAGCTGCTGAACCTCATGTCTCTGATCGTGAGTAACTGTCGATCTCCGTGCTCAGTCCGGCCTGCGCTTATGCGATAGCGATACATACAGTATCACGATACTTCCTCACTCGGGACCCTTCTCGAGTTCAATACCCCGGCCCTCGTCCCGCTCGATGGGACAGCAACTGTAGCCGAGCTGGCTGCGAAGAGCGGGCTTCTGGAAGATAAGCTGACGCGCTTCCTCCGCTACGCCGCTACGAACTTCATCTTCCGCGAGCCCGAGCCCGGCGTCGTCACGCACACGGCCGCCTCCGCCGCGCTGGCACGCGATCCGCAGTTCTGCACCTGGCTGCAGTTTGTGCTCGTCAACATCGCACCCATCTCGGTTTCCATCCCCGCCGCGTACAAGAAGTGGCCACAAAGCGAGAAGCTGGAAGAATGCGGCATCAATGCCGCCTTCGGGACTAGCGACACCTTCTGACCGTGGGTCAGCGCCGGCGCCGAGCGCCAGAGGTGGTTCGATCGCGCCATGGCCGGCTTCTCTGGCAAGGGCGGAAGCGAGGGCGGTCGGAACCAAAAGTTCGATATCAAGGCGTACCACGGGGCGAAAAGCTGGGGTCGAAGGCTAGGGTCGTTAACGTAGACGGTAGCTGTCAATCCAAACCCTCTCTTACCTCCCATGGTGGCTAGTTGCCATACCTTCTTCTTTTTTTATCTCGCGCATTTTCGACTGATATGTCGCCTTAGCTGGTCACGTCTCGAAAGCCCTGGCTCTCGCGTACCCCGACTTCACCGTCACAATGCAAGATCGGCCCGAGGCCATCTCCGCCGCCGCGAAACTGTCGGGCCTCCCGCGCAACCTGAGCTTTAAGCCACACGACTTCTTCTCACCGCAAACCCTTCACGGGGCCGATGCCTACTTCTTACGGCACATACTGCACAATTGGCCCCAGGCGGAGGCCGTTTCCATCCTAAGCGCGCTCGTCCCGGCCCTAAAGCCGGGCGCCAGGGTGCTGGTCTCGGAGTTCCTCATGCCGGGTGCGGCGCAGCGCGGCCGGTCGCTTCTGGACGACAAGCTCATTCGCCAGATTGACCTGCAGATGATGGACGTGTACAACTCCAAGGAAAGGACGGCCGAGGACTTTGCGGCCTTGTTCCGGATGGCGGGCGAGAAGCTGAGGTTCGTGGCCAAGTACCAGCTCCCAGGAGACCAGGAGAGTTGCATCTTTGAAGCTGTATATGACGATGATGATGGGGCCCCCTAAGTTGGGGCGGGGCGCTGGCCTTGTCCTCCGTGGTATCTATTCACATTGCAGATGCCGCATGCGGATGACTCTACCAGAGCAGGTTTCCAAGTTGGGTGGTTATCGCCTGGTATGACCATACCTTGGCAATGAGAGAGAGCCTGAGTAGAATCCGAGCGGAGAATAGTGGCATCGAAGCGTGTTACTGGTGGTGTGATACCTGGCGTACACGAATATTTCTAACCTTAATAAGTTTTCTCTACCCCTAGTATCCTACAACGTCGGGCTATAAGTTTATATTTCAGCAGTTGGGAATGTGAGCCGAGGATGTGCATTATCGTGACGTCGTGGTCGACCAGGGATAGATAAAATTCACCAGGAATAGAAATGTCCGTACACGCGGCGTATCCACCAGGGATAATTTTCGATCCCTAGTCGATATAAAACGCACGTTTGACTTACGCTGCTACTTGGCGATCACTGCTCAGAGCGTTCAAAGCCTGTGATACATGGACCCAGTGTCAGGAGTTCTATTTGGTGATTTTCTCTTAGGGACAGAACGACGATCAGCCTTTAACTAGAACCAATATTTTTTTTGGCAAGTCGAAAACGACAATCGCTACTGTTTGCAGAGGATCGATGTCCATCCACCCCACAATTATACAAGGACAGCTACAGGTGTAGTGGAGGCGCCCACGTGGTTATTGATACAATGAAGAACCTCGTGTTCAGTAAGGATACCTAGATGATCAAGGACCCTCGAGAATGAAAGAAAGCATGCTCAGAGCCTACGGGTCCGCGCGAGAGGCCATCGTATCCAGTTCGATCCCCTCGCTCTCGGCATCACTTCGATCATGGAAGTGTATGCGGACCTCGTCCGTCTTGGTGATCTTCCCAATACCAGTCCCGTGCAGTATACTCCTGTCGCTGTCATCATCCTTGGAGAATTGGGTCGTCCGCGGCCGGCCTGTGGCGGTAACAGTCACGGTATTGTTGCCCGTTCTACCCTGTCGAGGTTTCTTTGTGCCGTTGGCCGACGAATGTTCGTAGTACCGGCCGTTCGAGGACCGCATCTCGAGAAAAAGCACTCGGAGGACGGGAATCGATGCTGCGATGATGGTTGTGGCCGTCTCGGCTGTGCTCCAGATGAGTAGGTGGACGCCCTCGTCTGTTCATGTCAGTCGGGATGGCCTCGCGAGTGAAAGAAGTGAGAGTCATAAACTTACAGAGGAAGTCATTGCCCTCCAATGTCACGATATAAGTACATTTCAATATCGAGGTAATGGCTGCGAAGACTCCCATGCTCATTGCCACCGCCACCCCTATCTTCTCCTTTGTCTTCATCTGCAGTTTCAGGATCACAGCCCAAGGCAGCATTGCTAAGCCAATGTCCATCAAGGCCGAATATGCACCGGCGAAGATGGAGAATCCGACATAGACACCAGGTGACCAGCATGTTCCGGGGGTGTCTGGTTTCCAAACCTTCTCGGCAGGCGTGCACTGGGCAAAGTTGAGCAGGCCACCGACGATCATGAACACGTTCATCGTGATGATTATGACCCATACGAGGGCTTTGAGTTTGCCGTCGGTGATCCGAAGCAGCGTGACGGCAAACGAGGTCTTGCTCCAGACATTGCCCAGTACCAGGAGCATACCCTGGATGGCGCCCCTGAAAGCGATCTCGGGAAGAACCTGGGGTCCGTGGTTCTTAGCGATGATGTCGGGTGCGTGCATCCCGAAGCCCAACGCAACGCTGTTGCTGATCATGCTGCTGCTGACTAGCATCACAACCTGTCCACAAAATCAGCGAAGCTTCCTCGAGCGACAGGCGTTGCTTGGAACCTCTTACCCATGATATAATCAGGATGTGATCATCCCACCATAGTCCTCGGTGACTCAGATACTTGCACCATAAGCGCAAGGCAAGGAAAACCAAGGACATCACTACTAGGGTCCATACAGATCCGTTCAGGAGCGGCCCATTGTTAGGGACTTGTTGCTGGGAATCCATCGTAGGCTCAAGCGGTTGTGGCAACGAGTGTGGGCAGGACGGGCTCTGCTTGTGGAGGGAGCGGATGGTCGAGGCAGGAGTGGAAAGCAAGATGTCTGCAGCGGTCACGATGATGCTTGGACCGGCAACCCTTGGGATATATTTGCTGGTGAGACGAGACTCGCTCCTTGGGTCAGCCCACGAGAAGGAGAAGGAACTTTCCGGGAAAGTCTTTCCCCAGGGGCGCTGAGGGTCACCCCAGATCAGAAGCTATTCTAGGCGATCGGGACTATGCGCGATCAGAAGTTATAGGATGAGCTACAGGGAGATGATTGGCCACTAAGCCCATGCCAACCACAGTGCCATGTCAGCGTGTACCTGGCGATGTTCGTCCATCACGGAAACGTTTCTCCCGAGGGACTGGATCGGGGAGCACCCGTTACTCACGCTAAGTAGCTTTTTGTTCTGGGCTGACGCTGAAACCCACTGAAGCCCGTCAGATCATCGCGTTGACAACTTCGAGTCACGAGTCATGCCCGCCCTAAAGCAAGTTCAACCCCTGGCACCCTGGCTTACTGTAGGCTAGCCCTGGGGCAGCGTTTGATAGGACATCTAGCGTCAAGTAGCGTTGGTCGATCCTGCGGCTAGACCTGGAACTAACAGGATCATTGAGCGAGTATCATCGGCCCCCGTATCGTACCATCCCGGGCGTATAGTTGTTGTCGGGGCTTGAACCCGTGGGGCCCCGTATGGTAGCCCCGTCCCACTCGGGCTGTCACCAACGACTCGTTCAGCCGCTTAGCGGGGAATACCCGGGAATGAATGTGCTGATACCAGAGAACATCCTGCCGATTCCCGGGGAGTCGGGGCTCAACCTTATTCTAGCCGGCCGGGGTGATGCCAGTCGGGGTAGCCCTCGCTGAAGCCCGCCTTGCGACCCATGAATAGGGGTCATGGTCCAGCCACACGATGCTACCTCTGGGCCCGCGTTATCGAATATTATCTATGTTATAATAAGCATGGATGGGGGAGGCATCCGAGTCGAGTCGGAAGTCATGACTCCGATATCGAGTCCACCTCGACGCCTTGAAGCTGCAAAAAGTGTTCCTGCCCAGAACCCTCCCAGAGCATCCCAAGACGTCTGTAGAACAAGTACAGTTGCAACAAACAAACCAGAGGTGCATGACCCATAGGTTGCTGATATCATTGACTCGTCGTTGGGAGGTATCGGGAGCACGACAATTGTGACCACTCAGGAGGGTTCCATACTTGCTTGCAAGAACCTTACAAATACTCCATTAGTCGTCTGGATGTGATGGCCACCACATACTAACGGGTAGTAACCTTGATTGCTTAGTCTGAAATCGACATGAGACCTAACGAGTAGCTCTCATGTCTCGCTTAAAGGCACATCAAGCACCCATTCGCGCCCGTAACGCAGTCTCCACGGAGGCTAGGCCACGGGCTTTTCGGCGACACTTCCTCAAGTTGGCAAGATGCCTCCCGCCACAGCTGGCAAGGGTGACGACTAGACATCTTTAGCCTCTTGGGTAGAGGTCAACAACTGGAAGCCGCGTGCTGTCGCCCCAGATAAGCCTTTCACATGCCTGGCTGAGACGTCATTGGAGCTACATGAGATGAGGCTCCTGATGTATCTCCCAGCAACATCATCCCAGAATCCGCTGCTAGCTTAACCCCCTTTTCGGTCTGGCGTACGGGAGATACCGTATCACAGCTGGAGTCAACCCTGGACAAGGCCCAGGGCCATGGTGAGCTACATATAGGGCGCACTCGTTCGACACGAGTTGCCTCGAACCACGATAGTGTCCTTGGCTCAAGTAAGCCAGCATCTGAGTCATGATACCCCATCGGGATCTCTCCGCCGTGACCATACCACACAGGCTACAAAGCCCGACGACCTGAGATCAGTGATCACGACCCCCGTCGCGGCTCGCGTATCATGATGTCAATCACCACGCTCCCGCCGTCGTACTCGATGCTATCAACAGCGACGAAGCCATGCCGTTCGTACAGCGGCGTCGCCCTCCTGAGAGCATCGACATAGGCCGTGACACCCTCCGCGTCCGCGACATCAAGCATGGTCTTCAATAACATAAATCCGAGCCCGCGGCCGCCATACGATGGATCGACGCAGAGCACCGAGAGACCTAGCACGACATATAAGTTACTCGTCAGCATCTGGTCTACGACAGAGTTGAGGCTTTCGGTCCGCTCGATCGCCGAGTCGCAGCAAATGTGGACTCTTCTTGACAGCCCTCTAGTAGGAAGGAAATGAGAAGGCGGAGGAGACATGGTCGAGGGTACAGTAGTTAGGTAGGCAGGGACTCACTCACCCAACTTATCCTTCGCTCCCCATTTGTCCGCCAGTTTCTTGGCGCCGCTGGAGAGCTCCTCGTATGCGGCCACGTCGGCACCGGGCGGCGGTTTCTGCCGGCTCTTCTTCTCTGCGGCGCTCATGTCGCCCGCCGTGGCCACCACGTCTCCTTTACCATTCCATTCCGCTTTCGCCCCATCTGTACCACCACCACCAGCCGCAGTCCCACCTACCGTCATTTCCCCCATACGCCGACCCCCCTGGAGCATGTCCCGGATCCGCCCAGGCGGCACATTCCACTTCGCAAACGCAACCACTTTGCCCCCTTCCCTCTCCTCCTGCCTCCCATCCCCATCTTCATCCTCACCCCCACTCCCATCCTCATCTACAATCTTAAACAGCGCCTCGGCGGAATCCTCGACGCCGAACCTTAACTCAACCCAGTCACGCATAGCCGCCGCCGACGGCGCCCACCAGTATTCGAAACCGGACCCGCGGAACGCGGCGAGGTACACCGAGGCGATGGCGGCGGTGTCGGCGGGCACGCGGCAGCGTGCGAGTATGAGGTTGGCGGGGAGGGAGGAGGAGGAGGCTGGGAGGGGGGAGAGAAGGGGGACGTCGGGCATCTTGGTTCTTGGGGCGGGTGTGAGGTGTGGAATGTGTGAGGTGCGAGGGACGCCCGGTAAGACCGAGGGTGCGAGATGTTCGGGGTATAAACGCGCTCACGCAGCGGTCAGGGTGGATATGAGTAAGGTAGGTAAGCAAGTAGCGTCACAGGCAAGACAAGTAGGTAGGGTAGGTATGGGGATGGATACGAGGCCGCAGGCCAAGTAAGATCCCGAGTAAATGGAGAGGAGCAGCCGAGTATTGTCAAAGGGAGAACCAAGGCGGAAAAGGGAGAAGCGGGTGAGGTTTTGGACCAGACTCGTCCGGCGAGTCTTTTATACATATCTCTACATGAAAACCCGGAAGCGGAACGCCCCCGCACCTCGGAGGCATGGCTTCGGCTTCGGCTTCGGCTTCGGTCTTGGTCGCCCGGGCGTGGTCTAGCTCACCGTCGTGGGCCGAGGGTGAGTGGGTGACTTGCCCTTAGACCCATTGAATCTAAGGGGAAGAAAGTTGTCGCCACACAATCACCTGGTCGAGGTGTCATCTCGTGGGATTGTCCTTGATGGATGAATCACAGGACTGGGACGATGACACAACATGATCTCGGATAATTGCATGCCTGGCAAAATCATCTTAGCGGGACGCGCCCATGTTTCTTCAAGATATTCAGCTTTATTCATATTGCCGACTAATCCATAGGTAGTAGGTATGATATGTCCCACGATACCTTCATCGTAAAACATGCACATTCATTATATCATCCACCATTAAGCCTCCCATGCCCCACTTCTCCACGGTCTACAAGTCGCACAGCGCTCAGCAAACCCGTAGTGCCATTAGATGACGCGGCCCTTGACCTGCTTGAAGTCCTTGACCTTGATGTCGCGCCAGAACATGACCGCCACAAGACCAATGATGGTGATAGTGGTAGCGGCAACGAACATCCACTTCTGCGCATCACCGTAGGCGCGGATGATGGCGTCGCGAGTCGGGGAACCCACAGGGTACGAGAGCTGGGTGACGAGGTCGCCGTAGATGCTGGTGAGGTTGGCTTGCGACTCCTCGGGTAGATACTCGGCCAGCTTGACGGGGAAGAGGCCGGTCCAGATGGCGCCGGCGATGGAAAGACCGATGGCGCCACCAACGCTGCTGAACATGCCCTCGACGGCGAGCACGACGGCGACGTGCTGATGGGCGGCGGCCGCCATGACCGCAAGTTGCTCGCAGATGACGCAGGCGCCACCTGCAAAAGCGTAGAGGATCTCGCACATGATGATCCATCCAAGGTGGGTGCCCGGTTCGCGGAAGTGGATGAGTAGGCCAATCGACAATATAGTGACCGGCACGCCAAAGTAGAGTGTGATCCACTTGAAGCGGCCACTCCATCGCACTACAACACCGACGATGATGGAGAAAAAGCAGGAGCCTATGGAGTAGATCTGGCTGATGTATCCGGTCTGGGTGAGGTTGAGGTTCATCACAACTTGGAGCCACGAGGAGAAGTAGGCGGTCCAGATGTAGTACTCGACGAAGAGGACGGCTGAGAGGACGCAGGCACCCACTACAGTGCGATCCGTGAGCAGCTCCCACGGCATGAACTTGACGGGAGCAAAGTATTTCTCCCAGACCGCGGCCGCGATCAGCATGAGGCCACCGAAAATGATGAAGCAGATGGTTAGGGGATCTCTCCACCCATACTTCTGGTAGGAGTAGATGCTAAAGGGCAGCAGGAACAGCGCAAAGCCGCCCGAGATCAGAAGGAGACAGATGACATCGAATTCCCAGAAATAGTACTTGATGGACTGCAAGAGCGTCCGGCCGCTGTTTCGAGGAACAAGCACCCCCATCTTCTTTGCCTTTCTCTGATTCCAGGTGAAGAGGAAGAAGAGAGGAAGACACATGAGGGGCGTGATGATGGCGAAGATACCAAATCCCCACCTGAATCCAATACCGCTGATAAGGCTCTGGGAGATGGGGCCGGTGATCCAGACGGTGGCGATGTAGGGAGAGCTGAGGAAGCCAAGCATCAGGCCTCTGTTCTTCAAGGCCGAAGTGTCGGCAATGAAGACGGATATGGTGTACGAGATTCCATTGTACCTGGAGGCAGGGATAGATCAGTTTTCAAATCTAGTATACGGGCAGGCAACTTCCACTTACCCAACCCAATAAAACACTTGAGCGGCAGCATAAGTCTCAACGTTGTTGCAAGCCGCCATCATGACAAGCCCAAGGGTCATCAGAAGCATGGTGAGCATGAAGCCTTGCGGGCGACCCCAAACATCGAGAATCTTGGCCAGGGTAAGCTTGGAAACACCTCCGATAATGCTAGACATGACACCGGTGGTGGCAGTCAACGAGTGCTCGGCGAAGGCGCTGGTGACATAGGGAGTCAGCAGAGTCGAGGTGCCCTGTTGCATAGCATCGACGAAGTAGATGACCCAAATGCTTCGACATGGTCAGTCCACGGCCCACAAACAAAAATGAAGAGCTCGGCTCGGCAGATCAACGTACAAGACGTAGGCTGCTATCAAATGGTTCTTTGACCAAACCTTGGTGACAGCTTCGATCTTCTGCACACCAGCTTGGGCATCGGCGGAGATGGCATCGACGTCGGCCGACTCGGAATCGCTGATTGGGTTTTGCTCGGTCACCAATCCGGCCTCCTTGTCTGTTTCCGGCACGGTCTTTTCAACGACAGGCTGCTCGGGCTGAGCCGTGAAGCGGTTGGGAGGGAGCCTCATTGCGAATACGGGGTGATATGGAAGGCTTCAACGTTGAAAGATGGAAACCAGAGTCGGACTGGAAAGCCTGATGGACCACAATGGGTGAAGTGAACCTCCTGGCTAGGGGCGGCTATAGGTGTGGTCGTGGAGAATAGGCAATGGAAAGCTCAGAAGAGAAGGAAAGGGCAGCATCGGCCTTTTAATGATTGCAACGTCCGGACGCACACCGGAGCGCAGTGGACATGGCATATGCGCGCATGGTCCTGATCCTCGGGCCTTGGCCTGGAGTCCACCGTGAGGTACGATTTGGGGCAAACGGTCGCGGGTGTGGAGATGGCTAGGCAATTGTTTCTCCCAGGGTTTCATCAGGAAGACAGCTGGAGCGGCAGCTAATCCTGAACTGGTATGACCGTCCGGACGGGCAGCACACTCGACGTTGGGGACTCGTCAGTGCCAAGTTGGACAAGACTTCCCAGATCAATGATCAAGCTCTAAGCTCCCTCCCAGCTTTGGGATTCGGTCTACAACTTACGCTTAAGGCCATGAACCTTCCAGTTCACCAAGGTGATTCTTTTGGTGCTGGTCAGAGTTGGTAGCAGGTCCATTGGAGGAGTATCCTCGAATATCAATGGCCCTCGAGTCTTGTTGACTCTTGACGTCCGGCTTGAGCTTCGGGGAATCCCCTCGACAAGCGGGGACGGGCTACAGGCTGCAGGGAACTAGGGTGGGACCCGTATGGGGCGGCGTGAAAACTTTTATCTGATTGATAAGATTACATCTTATCAGATTGATCAGTTGGCGGGATCACTGATCAGACCGTTCAGATGCATGCAGCATGGGTGCATCATGCCGCCATAACCCCATCATGCGCCGTCTCGTTCGACTTTTCCAATAGCCCCTGTCTTGGCAAACCCTCCGACAGCGGCCCTCGCGCCTCATTCAGGTTGTATCGAGCCCGCATCTTCTGGATGGATTTGCTAACAGATTCACTCATGGACACGCGGCTTCCGAATCCAAGTCCTGCCAGCCTAGGATAATAACTCGTCGATGGTGTATGGTGGATGTAACTGATGTATCGGTGAACGAAGCCTTCAACCGCAGGTGCTTGGCAGCTTGGGTGGCTGGCTACTCGTTAATTATGCCGTCAGGTGGCTGCAGCTACATGCCAATTTGCATATCATCATGTCGACCGCTCGTCGGCTATGGATATTCTACAACTTTACGGTCCCTGGCATCTGACAGATATGACTATCAACTCGATAATGGGTGCAACGATAAAGTACGGCTCTCTAGAGCTCCGATGGTCTTTCCTAAGGTATGCGCCGCAAGCAAAGGCTTCTCTTCTTCGTGCTAAGAAGCATCGGTCCCTGGAAGAGCGTGAGATCGACCTGTGATGAACATTTGAACAGGCTACAGAAGTAGGACATCGCTTATCACGGACAGGCAAAAACCTGATCATGCCGTTTTTCGGCCGAATCTGAAAGCTGTACTGCCTTTAACATACAGAGTTTCCATCCCCACATCACTTTTACACACATACACACACACAATTCTAAGCTGGTGCCAGACACGACAAAAGTACGTTTTACGACGACTACGCTCTTAAACTAACGTTGCATGTATTATTTCATATATTCTAAGATACCCTTAGTTTGCTAGCTATTAAAAAATATGTAAAATGATATATACAACGTCGGTTTAAGCGCGTAGCGGTTATAAAACGTAATTTTATCGTAATTATTAAAAGATACCGAGGTTTATTACCTTTTATACGGTTAAACTAAAACATTAACTTAATAACAGTAACGATAAAAGTATTATAACCTTTTTAAAATAAGGCCGTAAATATTTACCTAACTATATGTTAATAAATACGATTTTAAGCTATTATTATATATATATATCGATATATACGATGTTTTAACGGTAATAACAAATTTAAATGCCGTGTTTTTATCGTCGTTATTAAGTTGGTATTAACTACATTTTTAAAAACTACGCTTTTAACCGTATATATGTGACGGAACGCTCACCATAACTACCATACCCCGGCTGTTCCTCCGAAAAGGATGTCGAATATCAAGTGTGGCAGCTTGACATTCAATGGTGGTACATGTACTCATGGCCGGGCTCCAGGATTCACCACATGGGTTGAATGGGAGCCGGAGATAGACACCGGAAGATCTCTAGTGGGGCGGGCAGAGACGCACAGGGCATCTGACCCACCAAGAAGACAGATAATCAATCTCTGCACACACAGCAGAACAAGCAATAGCATCAATCAACATCCGTGTATTCAACACTTTGTTCGTTAAAGGCAGTAAATTATTAGAAGGGAAGCTAGAAAGGCTAGGAAACGGGCTGGCCATGACATGGGGCTCAGTTATCTCAGTACAGTTGAGACCACCTACCTCAGCCATTTGGGGGGGGGGGGGCTAATTTTGCCTAGCTGTGGCTAATTGTGGCTAGGGGTGGATATTCATGTGGTAATTCTTCAGCTTCCCGGAGCTTGAAGGACCCACGCGATCCCTTCACGAACACCACCAACGACGACCCGAGTCGCGACACCGCCTACGCCTCCAGGATCCGACGAATCCTCAAACCAACCGTCCACCATGTCGGCATCCCAAAAACCGATCCGTCTCCCGCCCCTGAAGGTGCTGCGCGTCCGAAACCCGAACGGCCAGCGCGAGCGGCCCTGCATGCAAATCATGTCTTCAGTTCTAGGTAAGGCTCCAAGCGACCTTATTCACAACCGATCGACACCCATGGCGGCAAAACAGGACATTCGTCCTTCTGAAATACATGTCCGAATTCAATTGCCCGAGCCAGTAAGCTGACACACGTCCGTCATATAGCATGCTGGGCCTCGGCGGGATACAGCACGACCGGATGCGCACAAGTCGAGATGGCCCTGCGCGCGTGTATGGACGGACCCCAGCCGTCACCGCCAAGGGGCAACGAGATCAACTACCACCTGGCGCGCTTCAAGAACAAACTCACTTATCCCGAGAGCAAGAAGAAATGATAAGGACTACGTGGCGAGGGACCACCGACCTCTTTGGATGTGCAACGCTGTCGTAACGAGGGAGTGTGCTCTGGATTTGCGAGTGGTCTACGTGTCGTCCGACCTGGGACCTGTGGGAGCGGATCGAAGGGGCGATACATGACCGGCATCCTCGACAAACAGGAGACGGACACGGGCGCCTGTGTACGCTACACTCGAGCATCACGCACTGGCCGAGAGAGATCGACTGCAGGAGGTAAAGGCATTTACGGCGTTAGGGACGATGTCCTGGAACCAGACACAGCTTTGGCTATTTTGTAACACAACATGTACATCGAAAAAAGCGACAACCCATAGTGTCGATGTAAATATGAAGAAGACACCCAACAAGACCGCTCAACCATATTTCCGGCGCAACACGGTGGTGGCAGTCCATCCATCCACGCCAGTCTCTCTTCTCCGCATCGCTCCAAGCCTCACCTCCCTATAACCACCCACAAGCCCATCCACCCGCCTTCACCCCCTACCACCCCTACCTAGCACAAACAAGGCAAATGCAAACTCTGATAATTACTACAAGTCCTCCCGCTCGGCGTATCGCTCCCCGTCTGCAGGTAAACCTGCCAGTACGCACTGTCCGTCATCTGGCACGCCAAGAAGTTGAGCTGGCGCCCGTAGTCGCTGCTCGTGCTCGTGATGATCGTGTCGCCCTCAAGGGCCCAGGCGCTCGTCGCCGCTGACGAACCATTCGAGAACGACAGCGTCTTGTAGGACGTCGTGTCGGCGCCAGCGATGTCGAGGTAGGCGCTGCTGTTGGTGCTCTGGATCGTGCCGGCGATGGTGTAGTACTCGCTGGAGGCCTCGGGGCCCATGACGGGGATGGTGGCTGTGTTTGGGATAAGTAAGTATTAGTGTGGGAAGGAGAGAGCGAGTGTAGTTATCCCAATTGCGTCTTTGAACTTTGAGAAAGCAACATGGGAAAGGGTATCGAAAATATCACGTACGGTCCTCCGGATACGCTTGCAGGTAAAGGTGGAAGATGGGGTCGGAAACCGCGCGGATCTGCTCCGCCTTGGCCCATACGGCCACGGGTCCGACGAGCGCCGCGGAGGCGAGCACGGCGTGTAGGAGGGAGTGCATGTTTGCTGTATCTAGCTCTTCGAGTCTGAAGACAGTAGATAGGTATGTAAGTAGGCAGAGCGAGCAAAGTGTGTAGACTATCAAAGGCGGAAGGCAGCTCGGCAGGTGGAAGGTACCTCTCTATTATATATCTTCCATGTACACGCAGTCAATCAACCAAAGGGCCTAACGGTTTATACGGGGTACAGACTGCTAGATTAGGTGCGTCACGTTGATGGGAAACTCTGCATTTCGGGATGGAACCCTCCGCGGCTGGAGTGGAAGCGCGGACCCAGGGCCCGGATTCTCAACAGAGGTTGGGGAAATGTGCAGCTGCAGTATGGATAAAGGAGAAGCAAAATGTAAGGTATTTATCAATCTAATCAGCTGCGTATTTATTTATACCTTTTGTAGCAACGTCACACCAACTATTTCACTCAGAGTCCGTCGATGAATCAATCTGTCGCGCGCGTCCTTTACACGTCGGGGACACTGGCAAGTCTTTCCAAAACCTCCTTATCCCTCTCCCTATCCACCTTGCTCTGATCATCTCCGTAATACTTATAGAGTAAGTAGTCGCCGGCGTAGCCGAACCCGTCGGGTTCCTTACCACTGCTACACAACCGCGTTCGAATCTCCCCCGATTCCTCCATCCGAACATTGCGGATCGGCAGAAACAACCTGCGCGTCTCCTCGCGCCCGAGGAAATCATGGTTGCGGGTGACGTAGGAGAAGTCGGCCATCTCCAGAGTCGGTTTCTTGGTAAACGCACTCCTCACGGCACCCTGTGCGCGCTCCCGAAGCTGCGATTCTTGCGCCGGTATACGTGGGATCAGTGCGTTCACGTAGTCCAGAAAATACGACTTGAGCGGCTCGTCGTCGTCGAAGCGTGCTCGGGAGATGGGCTCCAGGAGAACATTGACAAAGTATAGGATCAAATCGTCGTCGCTCATATTCTCCCTTGCACGCAGACTCTTGAAATCAGTGTTTCCGTTCGCGGGCAGCAAAGCCAGATCCAGGACGTCGACTCCGTTTTGTCGCTGGTGCCGCCCGACCCTCCCTTCCATCTCGCCAAGGGTGCGAGCAAAGAACGGGTCTTGGGTGGCCTGCTTGAAGACGTCCTCGGGCAGTTTGGGCTTGACCTCGCTGCTGTCGACTGTGCGCCCGCCTCGGTCGTGGAGGAATGCCGAATTGGCAAAGACGAAGACGCAGGACGGGTTGCGTTCCTTTGCCATCTTCCTGATAGCATCCAAGTTCGCCAGAGTGGATGGGCTCGTTGGGTAACCCTTGGCGATCTCCCCGTTCAAGTTGAAGCCGCCAGTGTGGAAGAATCTCTGGATGGCAAAGTCCTCTCTCGCTTCCATCAAGTCTTTGAGCCATTGGAGATCCGTGGGGGCGGTGATGAGGACGTCGGCCTTCTTCCCATCACCGCGAACCACTTTCTCCAGGTCTGCTTGCTGGTGAATTAGATAATTGTTGGAGTCAGGCGGACCGCTTTGGGGGAAATTCCTCTCGTGGGTTGTTCGGGGGTCCTGAGTTTGCGGTTTGCCGTCCTTGAGTATTTCCCGGCCATCAGTCCCGCGCTTCACCAGACAGTTCTCCCCGTCAACCCATGTAGCACCCTTCATAAAGTCCTTAGAGGCACCCGTGTTCAGGAGGAAATTCTGCATGTTCCAGGTGGCTCGGCGCGTCTCGTCGACACCCTCGGAAATGAAGATTGAGTTGTCGTAGGCGTCATCCCTGAACCTGGAAAAAGCGCCTGCGGCCAACAAATCGTCCATCTTGGCGTCATGTACCATGACCACATAGTCGCCCTGGGCTGCCATCTTTTCGTTGATTCTATCTGGGTGTACTGTTTTGGGAATATCCACATGGTCCAAATCCGTGTTATAGATTTCATTTCCAACCGTTAACCGGGCCAGTGATTGCAGAATGACGAATAATAAGACCTTGGCAAGTCCCCTTCTGCTATATGTCTCCATTCTAGCCTTCAGTGTACGTGTTGTACGGGGCGGGCTCAATGTCGCAAGAGAGAGGCGGGAAACTGGGAGACTCGATAGCGATTATGTGTTTGGTGCTGAGTCGAGAATATCATGCTCAGAGAAAGACTGTGTCGAACGAGAACTATAAGTTCTGTATAGGCGAATACGAGCCAGGAGCACCCAACAAGTGGCGCATATGTGTTAGATTTCAAAGTGTTCTATTAAGGAGAGGAATTCCAGCTACTCTGGAGCGGCCAGAATGGCCCTATATATATCCAAGATACTAAAGGAAAGGATACGTGGCCTTATATTGGCCACGTATGTGACAGAGTCACAAATGGGGATAGTGATCCTGAAGGATGACTATGGATGGGCTAACGTAGCCCAGAATCCAACACGCCCTCTCAGACTGAGGGAATTAACATAACCAGAATATCACCCCTCTACATGAACCAGTCCTAGCAACTCCAGAAACTTGAAGAACCTTGCCTTTGTCAAAGCTTTGGTGAGACCGTCTGCAGGCATTTCATTGGTTCCGAGGAAAGAGAGCCGTATATGGCCTTCCAAGATCTCCTGACGAATGTAGTGTTCCCTGACTCGAATGTGCTTAGTTCGACGATGGAATTCAGCGTTCTGAGCCAAATTAATAGCTCCAGCACTGTCTGAATGGATGTTGATAGCATTCAGAGTGAAACCAAGTTCCAGCATCAGTTCTCGTAGCCAGGCAGCCTCTTTGACGGCTTCAGAGAGTGCGTAGTACTCCGATTCCACAGTAGACTGAGCCACAACAGTCTGCAGCTTGGATGCCCAGGAGACAGCGCCCCCAGCAAACGTGAACAGGTAGCCTGAGGTGGATTTGGCGCTGGTCTTGATGCTTCCAGCATAGCTGGCATCACAGTAACCAACCAGCAGATCCGGAATCATCTCAAGGACCTCCTGGCGGGTCTTCCTGACATATTCGGGACCTCCAAATTTGATCCCAAGATCTTGAGAGTGCCACAAGTAGCGAAGTAGGCCCAGAGCGGCCTTATATTGGGCTGAGCCAGGGTTGTGAAGGTATCGCGAGAGAACACCCATAGAGTATGCAATATCTGGTCTCGTATACGACGCAGGGAAGTTCTCAGAACCGATCAGGGACTGGTATGTCTGAATAGGACGTGTATCGACCTCAAGGTCGTTGTCCAGGGACTCCATCTGTTCTACTGCTTGAGGAGATATCGGCACGTTCATCTTGCCAGTGTTTTGCTGGTCGAACGCCTCCACAGTCCTTCTCACATACGTCTGTTGAGAGAGATATAACGTCCTCTCAGCTCGGTTTCTGACAATGTGGACTCCTAGGAAGTGTTCAGCAGCTCCCATGTCCTTTATCTCAAATGTAGAACCTAGTTCCTTCTTGAAGGCAGCGATCCCGTCACGATTAGCCCCCAAAATGAGGAAATCGTCGACATAGCTAATCACTATAATGCCACGGCTGATGTTGACATAGACTGCGTTGTCAGAGACCAGAGGGTCGAATCCGAGGTCCTTCAGAGCGCTGCGAATGCGCTTCTGCCACTGCCTGGGGCTCTGTTTGAGCCCATATAGCGGTTTCGCAAGCTTCATAATCATGCCAGGTCTCCAGTTGATGGTATTCTCATCTGGATACATCTCAAAGAAGTCAGAGAGACCATCAGGCGTCTCCATGAAGATCTCTTCATCCAGTTCTCCCATCAGGAAGGCAGATACAGCATCCATCTGGTCAATTTCCCAGTCCAGAACGGCAGCAATGGCTAGAAGGAGCCTCCAGGTGGTAGTACGAGCGCTTGAGGCCTGGGTTTCGAAATAGTCGAGGCCATGGCGTTGCATGAAGCCTCGTACAACCACCCTAGCCTTGTACCGAGAGGTGTTGCCGTCAGAGTCCCTCTTCCGCTTATAAACATTGCGGCTAGAGAGAGTTTTACGCCCAGCAGGCAGATCAGACCTCCACAAAGGAATAAAGGTATTATTGCGCAGCAACGCCCGTATCTCTGTGTGAGTGCCATCCAGCCATTGAGGTGCCTCGGCAGACTCCATGGCTTCCTTGTAGCTAAAAGGCTCGTCATTACGGGGAAGTGCCTGATCAGGGTCAGAAGACGGCCAATTGGCATAAGATGCCTCGATCGTAACATGTGGAGATATGCCAGGGGTGGAAGACTCGGCCACGTAATGGTTGTGAGTCCTCTGAGTGCGCCCTCCGGAGAGTACATTCTCTGGGTTGAGCCCTGATTGGATTCTTGACCTCGGAGCAGCCGTTGGGGCTACTTCTTGACGAGGTGGTTCAGATGATAGAAGAATCGAGTCAGCTAGAGCAGTACTAGGCTTAGGGTTGCTATATCCAGAGTCAGAATGATGACCATCATCATTATCAGAAGCGTCAGGGGACCCAAGAGGGGTCCCTAACGTGACAACTGGTTGGGGTGAATCATCTCTACCATCCCTTCCGTTATCTGACTCGATATATATATGCTGAGGATCGTGAGCGCCCTCTGGTGAAGACGGCGCTGGCAGATCTTCAGCATCGGGTCTGGTTGTCTCATAGTCATCGAGTGTACCACAGAAGTTTGGAAAGATGTGGATCAAATCCCTTGAAAGTACATACCCATCCAAAATCTCAAGATGGGCAGTAACTACAACCTTTCTCAGGTGTGTAAGATACACCTGGTACTGGTTGGAACCAAGGGAACGAAGAATACGACCTCTCCTTGCGTGTGGAGTGGTCTTGTCTCCCTTAGGGCGGCGCTGCTGCGGCAAATGGACCACAGCGGCCTGCCCGATTGACAGTAAATTCGTCAAATCAGGCTTGTTATCCTTTCCAGGGTTCAGATCGTCAAAGAAAACTTCAAAGGGAGTCTTCTTAACGCCCTGGAGGAAAGATGTATAGCTCACATTGAGCCTATCACATACGGCAGGTCCAACAACCGGCCAAAGGGCTTCAGGTAGCCCGGAATCCTTCATAATACTGCGAATGAGAGCGTGTATAACGCCAAAGGATCTCTCAGCCACTCCGTTCTGCTCGGGAGTGTATGGAGCGCTGACTTCGAACAGGATACCACGTTCAGCTCCCCATTGCTTGAATCTTGCATATTCAGAACCACCATCCATTCGGAATCGCTTTGGATAACGCCCGTACTGGGTGTGAGCGTATTCACAGTAGCGAATGGCTTGGTCGGAAGCTTCCCCTTTCTTCTCGTGAGGGCAGTACTCCCTCAAACGAGACTTGCCATCCACAAATACGGTGGCATAGAGAGAACCATCATAGCCTTGGACAGAGTGCTTGGCTGTATCCATATGGGCCAGGTCTAAAGCATGATCTGGATGTTCCTGCTCAACTCGAGAGACTAGGCGACGTAGATTGGACTCCAGACATTCCAGACAGGTGAATTCTTTTGCCAGCTCTTGTACATTCGGCGGCAATTCAATCCCTTTGGTGATACTGGCTGTCTTGATCAGGTCACCAATAGATCGGTGGCCAAGTCTTGTATGCCAGCGGTGGAGTAGTCTCAGCGCCACAGATTTGGCTTGAGAGGTCAGTTCCTGGGAAGAATCCTCGGATACCATATTGGTGAACACGTCCGGGGCTTGATTGATCCCGTATACGTCCTTCTGGACACTAGGGATCTCTGTCTGAACGTACATTCCCTGGTGGAATGATGCCACCCATGTACCATGGGGGTCAAACAGATCGCGGATCATCAAATACTATCCTTGGCGATACATCTGGTCTCCCGAGAGAATATTGATTGGAAAGGAAGGCACAAATAGTACTCCAGAGATTGTCCGAGTGACGGTATCACCGTTGGAGGTAATGAATGGTATCTCCACGTCGCCAATACCTTGAGGAGTAACAGGGCCTCCTCCAGTGTTAAAGGGGACCAGGTCAGGGTCCATTCGAAGGCGAGTAAACCACTTCTTGCTATTGCAAATAGGAACGGTAGAGCCTGTGTCAAACAGCCATGAGTCTGTGCTTGTCGTGGCATGAACGATGTCGATCAGATTGGTACTCGCTCTCTGGTTGGCGCTATGTGGTCCTTGAGTGAGGACAGATTGACTGGAGATGGCTTTATCGGCATAATTGCACCATTGAGCGGCGTCAGAAGCGCCAGTGCGTCCACTCTGGTGAGTGGGAGCGCTGCTTGAAGGCCTTCCATCTTTCCTAGCCTTCTCAGAGGCCTGGATGATCTGGCTGAGGATGCGTTTGTTGCATCCAAGGTGGCCCTTCTTCTTGTCAAGCTCTCTGCACTCATAGCACCAGATAGGATCCGTGGTATTACTGTTAGAAGAGCCCTGGTTGACTCCAAGGGTTCTGGGGCCATCAAGAGATAGGCGATTACTGCCTTTCCCCTTGTTCTTCCACTTGCTCTTGCCTTTACTAGGCGTAGCAGGCTTGCCAAAGTTGGTGGCAAAGGTCTCATCTTGAGCCTTGCGAATCTGTATCTCCTCCTGGAGCCGGTACAAGAGATTCTCGGTCGTAGGGAAGATTCCACGGTTATAATCTTTCGAGATTTCGCGGTGAAGGGTTGGAAAAGCCGTCCGAATAGCAGCCAGGAAATTGGCAATGCGAATATTCGGAGGATATGTGATATTTTGCCGCAGGACCTTGTCCATTAGTCTGCGGTAGTTGCCCACGAACTTGTCTCCATGGTCAGGGAATCGAATGGCAGCCAGTTCATCTATAACGGATGAAACTGCGTCAATTCTCGTGCCTGAATATGCCTGTCGCAAGGCTATCCAGATCTGACCAGGGTCAAATAAACCCGTGATACGAGAATCAGGGTCAGACTTGATGTTCTGGGTGATAGCGAGGTATAATTTTGACCTCTTGATGCTCAGACTAGCATCCAATTCAGGGGGCTTGGAAGAGGCTCCCGCGGAAGGTGTGGCTGGGGCGTCGACAGCTCCAGTTGTGGCCTTATATGGTTCCTTCTCGTCCGCCTTGATGGCTTCAAGGATAAGAGACCAGAGCCCGAGAGTAGTGAGCAAATGCTCCATCGTTTGGGCCCAGACCTCCCAGTTCTCCTCGCCGACGAGCTTCTGATGGTCTTAGAGGCGAGGGATAGAGGTGGATGTAAAGGCGAGGGCCGTCTCTGGGGTGGATTCGGACATAATGTAAGAAGGATAATACGTCGTAAGGCTAGCCTACAAATAAGGCAAAATATAAGCCAAGGAGCGACCTCTTTCTGTATAAAAAGAACAGTTACAACGGAAAAACACTTGAAGGCTTGTGACAATAAGGGTAGCTAGTCCTGGAGGCGCGCAAGCAGAAAGAGGGTGATCAGAATGAATCAGACCAGTAGAAAAAGCTTAAAAGGTAAGGGCTGCTGGAGGTCGTGATCGATCAGAGATGCTACCATGTTAGATTTCAAAGTGTTCTATTAAGGAGAGGAATTCCAGCTACTCTGGAGCGGCCAGAATGGCCCTATATATATCCAAGATACTAAAGGAAAGGATACGTGGCCTTATATTGGCCACGTATGTGACAGAGTCACAAATGGGGATGGTGATCCTGAAGGATGACTATGGATGGGCTAACGTAGCCCAGAATCCAACAATATGACACTGTTGGAAGTGGTTCAACGGTACCCCGTACAGGTGTCCAGGACGGTAATATTTGAGGTTCTACATGATGGGGATCTTTTGCGTCCGTACTTTGCCTCTTAAAAACACCCAAAGTAGTGGCGTATAGAACTTTACGCGATGGGAACTTCTCGAAAGTTCTAATTAATCCGCTAATTCGTGGCAAATTTAGATCCTTTATTTGAAGGAACTTTACGACTGGAAAACTGGCCCTGACGAGTATTGCTGATGACAGCTCACTGTACTGAACAATTGTTAAGGTGCCATGATAAGGGAGGTAGTCAAGGAGAAACAATTCTGAGCCAATCGGGCTGGGCCACAACAGGCAAAATACGGAGGACTAAAGTCGCCCCAAATGTATTTCCTTACCACGTGCACACAGGGGAAGACATCATGGACCCTCGATGCATAGCGTATTAGGTACTCGTCTGTCTAGGCTTCCAGGCACGTGTCCTTGGGACAAGCACCTCGAATCATGTAGCGTAGGCAGGCCAACGGACAGCTGAGCTTTGGAAATCATCGATCGATTCTACTACTTCCCTCCGCCTATATATACCCCCAGCAGAGCCTCACCTACGACTCTTGGCCAACCTCGAGAGTCACGACTGGCACCCACTCTGAACGAACCTCGCACCTCTGCCACTCACTCATGCTTGACTGGTTCAAAACATGGCACGCTCGCGAAAACTCTTGCCAAGTCAGATGCGAGAAAATCAGCAGAGCCGCCTTCCTGTAACTAGCGCCGTTCCCTTTGCAAGAAAATGCAGATGTGATCGGAGTATGGCCTCTCTCGATTGTCCCTTTCAGCCAGTAACTCCGGTGAATGGAGAGAGCAGCTTCTCTCATGCGGAAAACAAATCGTTGGACGAGTCTACAGCATCCCCGGCATACGCTGCTTCCAAAAAGGAACAATCCCCAGCAATATCCACAACGAGCGAACGCAGGACGGATGTGCCGCCCATATTGGAAAGGAGTGCCGGCACTTTTGATCTGCGCAGGGAACCAAACCAGTCGTCATGCGACCAAGGGCTGGTATCGTAAAGTATGTCCAAATATCGTCCAAGTCGTAAAACGAATGTCGTCTCGAGGTGAATTGCGTACAGAAATAAAACATGGTATCAATATGATGCTTCGTCTATCGTGTTGGTGCAGGAAGCGCTATCGACGCGCGTTGCGCAGATGCCGTGGACTTCCCGCCACTGTTCGCACCGAGTATTCCAATCAAACACAACCGTTGTGGCGTACTCCGAACTTCCGCGGCGCGACATGTCCGTTCATCATTCAGTTCGTGGCTCCAACGCAGAAAAGCTCTATTTCTCCGACGCCGCCGTACATATTGCGCGAACCCTCGCGCCATTCGAGGAAGGCGATTTGAATATCGTCATCGCTCTCGATCGTCACGTTGTCGCCATCCTCGTCACGATATCGCAGCTTCAGATTGCCCTTACCAATCGAGTTATTTGTGAATCGCGCAAGCTTGGCATCAATACGGTCGACCAGGGACTGGTACGTGATGTTAAACGGAACGACAAGCGTAACGTAGGTTCCCGTCTCACAGTTCACCTTGACCTTCAGTTGTGTAGGAATTGGTAAGTCGGGACTCGAGAGCGGACCGATCTGAGAAGCGCTCCCGAGGGGTGGCGACACCGGTTGCCGGTCATCGAGACTCAGCGCCTGCGGTACCGAAGAACCAGTGTTCTGGCCCGGCGCGGGCGTTGTTTGTCGAGAATAGATGGGTTGTGTGGGGAACTGGGCCATGGTCCCTCCGCCATACTGGCCGCTTTGCGAGGTCATGCGGTCCCGCTGGACACCTGGGCTCTGAGTGTTAGTGCGGATCGGGATATCCTGGCGAGGGGACCCTGTCTGAGAGCGCGGAATGTTCGAGTCGTGATGAGCAGGGTGAAGGTGGGCGGGTATACCCGGCACGGCAGGCACAGGAGTACTGCTATTAGTCCTGCGCCCGGTGGGCTGACCGTTGATATCTGGTGTGCTATACGACCGGCTGCGCTGCTGCTGAGCCAAGGATTGCTGCGAGGCCAACACTGGCAACGAAGGTCCCCGGGGATTCCTGCCGTTCATGGGCGATGGCCCATCCCTAGACGGAGCACGCGGCGCGGCCGGAGCAGTGTATCGGTTGTGGTCTTCCCAACCGCCTTGCGGTGTACCAGTCCGGGGAAAAGGATACTGACCATTTGGACCAAACATGGTGCTGGCTGTGCTCGTTCGCGTCGATGCCGGCGACTCCGCCGTAGGAGAAAAATACGACTCCCCTCCATAATGGCCTGGGGATTGCGCCGTGCTCTGTGTTTGAAGGCTCAAGTGCCCGGGAGCCCCTGGAGGCGGTGGTACGGCAAATCGCGGGGGCGGCGCTCGGGCGATGCCAGCTAGCGACTGTGTACTTTCGATGGCTCCTGATCGGTTCCTGAGGCTAGTACTCGAAGCATTCCGCGTCATGACACCTCCAGTACTGCCATAACCAACGCTGGGGGTCGGTAGTTGAGATGCCGTCGGGGGCGGTTCATCATCATCGTCGTCGTCGTCGTCATCCTGTTGAGCGTAAGGGTTCTCCATGCTGACATTCCGCGTCCAGGCGAAGTCCGGGGTTGCTGCCTCGGGGCTCACAGTCGCTATCGGTACGTTCTCTTTCCGCTGTACGTCAAGACCTGCTGCCCATTTCTTCATGGTTTCCTCGTTCGTGAACTTGATGACGAAGTTCTCGACGCCCGGGTCACCTCTCCACCATATCTGTACCGTGTACGAGCCTGTGGGAGTTAGACCTAGGGCCCTATACCAGGTCTTTGGGACATACCTGGCTTTGCAAACGAGAGAATCTCGGTCACGTTCGTCATGAAAATCCGCCCCTTAAGTTGGAGTTTGTTGTTTTTGTTACGAACCTTGGTAATCGACTTGTTCTTCTCTTTCTTGTCCTTGCTCTTATTCGGCTGTACTTCCTTACAGCACAACAGGATGCACTCGAACAGATAAATCTCATACTAGCGGCGGGAGATTAGTCAATATACGGTAGCGATAGAAATCGAGGGCTTGCAGGACTTACATCTTTCTCTTGTTCACTGCGCCCGGTGACAACGGTGTACACGCCATGGAGCAAGAGTCTTCCGAACTGTTCCACTTTATGGCTCTTCCAGTCATCGACTCTCCGTACCAATTCCTCTAACGCTTCGTCCAACAGGTCGCGATCAACTGCTTCGTTGGCCTTCTTCAGGACACGTTCCGCAGCAGAAATACCGTCTGTCAGCACAGGCTTGAGATCCGGTTCCTCGGTCTTCTTCAGCAGATCCTGAGATAGATTAGCAGACATCGCGTTTGGCATATAGAAGCACGAACCTTCAGGAGCAACGGATACTTCACCAACCTCTGCATGGGCTTCAGCAGAAAGCCATCAAGAGTGTTGAAGTCGCACGATACTGGGTGTTCGGCCAACCGAATCTTGTCAAAGTCTCGTTTGGCGAGCTGCGCCGCTTTACGTTGATTTGCGATGAAAGGCTGATAGATATGGAACGCTTCTTCGTATGTAACAAATGGTTGGCCCCATTGCTGCGCCGACTGCGGCAGGGAGTTGGTGGTTTCGACTCGGATCAAGAAGCGTCGCTGGAAGTCCAAAATCGCGTTGATGTTGAGGAAAATCGAATGGACCGAGTCACCAGGTATCACTCCCTTCTTCTCCAATGCTTTCTTCAGATCATGTAAGTTCTCCAGGTCCTGGACATATTTCCGCTCCGTATCGACGAGTTCTCGAATGATGTGATCGCGATATGTCATCTGGGAGCCAGGGGCTATAGGTCCATTTTCTTCCGGGTTGGCTGAGCGTTGGAGGAGCCGACCACTCTGTTCCGCGCGGTCAAGGACGTAGTTGACCACTGAAATTACCTGGTCCGAGGGGTCAGCGTGTTGTCCGTATAGCTCGAGAAGGCATATCTGCAAGTTGATATATGCATAGATGAACAAACCTTCACGAACCCCGTGGTATCGTTGCCCATGAGATCACTGATGACAAAGCATTCGGAAGCGGGGATCTCGAGTTGTTTCAAGCAGGCCTCGATGAATCTGAAGATCGACAACTTGGATCGCTTGCTTTCGTTGGTGATGTTGTCAACCCTGAGCGGTGTGCCAAGCTGCAAGCAGTTGTAGATGGCAAGCAGAGGGGGGCCAGCTCGAAACAAACTCCACAGAGCTTCCACCGGACCGTCATCGTCTCCAGAGGCAGGTTGCTCCTCCAGGGTCTGGAGATGTTCTTCAAAGTCCGGGACCTGGTTCAACCGTTGTCGCAAAGACAGGCAGATCTGATACAGAGACCTCGAGGCGTCGGCCCTCTGGTTGATAATGTTTGCCGTGGCCACCGGATTACCGTTGGCGGAGGGCGCAGTAGTGTTGCCAGTCGACATGGACGCTAGAGAGGTGTTCGAGGCAGAGTTGACGGCGGTCGACCCAGACAGCTGGCTTATCCTGGGGCCATTCATAGTGGACGAAGATATGCCGCCGTAGGTGTTACTACTGGCTGGGAAAATCGGAGCGGTGTTCGTCCTCAAAAGCGCCGGTGCAAAGGCCATGACAACCTACCCCATCCGACTGTGTCTCGTGAGTGAGTTGGTTTACTCAGTTTCGCCGTGTTGGCAGGTCGTTGGTGGGTTGGAGGGTTGGAGGGAGAAAGGGATTCGGTCGGTCGGCGTCGGGCAGCGCTGGCAGGGGAGACAATACGGTGAGGGATCGTCAGATCGCAAGCGCTGCGTGGGGAATTTGATTGTCGGTGTTGCTGCGTATCCTCAAGTCGTTCGTGCGCTGCTCTCCCATTCACTGCGGCGCACGTGCGTTCAATAGCAGATTGGAGTCGGGTGTGCTTGGAGTGGCTGCGAACACCATCAAGTTGGGTTCACTGGTTCGTGGTGAGGCTCTGAGTCTCAGGCTGCGATCGGTGCTGCGCTGGTTATCCCGTTTTCTATTGGTATCGTAATCGCCGTGTTAGGGTGATAGCGAGGTGCCGAAACAGCGGGCGCTTGGCTGTGGAAGCCGACGAGCACGAGCTGCGGTTGCAGGAAGGCCCTCTTCAGGCTTCTTGCAACGCTGGTTCTGACAGATCGCAAGTCGTGGCTTGTTCTCTGTTCTCACTGATGTGATGCGCCTTTGTCCCTGTGCTGTGCAGGTGACTGAGGTGACGGCACAGGTGTTGGAAAGGATGGGGGGATGGCAGATGCAGGCAAATGCATGTGGTATGTGGAGGGCTGGTGTGTCCAGATGCTCTCAGATTGGTTGGTCCAAGTCCTTGTTGTAATATGCCAAACTCGACACATAATCACTTGCACATAATGTGTCTTTGTCCCTCTGCATTTGTGTTTGTACATCTGCAACTGCAGTTGCACCTGCAGATCATTGTCCATTATGGTGGCTGACGGGAGTGAATGAACAGTGGCACTTGCGCTACAACCGTCTACTGTGATACATATTCGTTTAGGTGTGCCTTATTACCTGAGGTAGTAGCATACTCCATCCGCCATTGGGATCCAGAGGTGGCATTGACCGCATGTGTGCAATGGAGCCTTTCGCTGTTTCAAATTGACAACCTATGGCTCCCAACTACTCCCAAAGCAGTCGATTACTGTCGCACTGGTCGAGAGACTGCCGCCCCGAATTGTCCAAGGTCGCCATTGTTCCTCGTTGACAATTACCATTTAATGTCCGGGAGCTGACGATGGTGGGCTGCCGAACTTTGGTAGGTACTCGAAGCTGGTGGCATTGTCTCCCAGTGGCGGCCACTATGGTAGTCTTAGATTTCAAATAGATGAATGCGTACACCACTTGTACTGATACTTATGATACTCATGACTGCTCGGGATTCTGGAACGGTCGGAAGGATTCACAGCTGATGAAGATCGCGTCAACTTTCTTCACCCCGGGGATGCACAAGAGGTCAGATGGTCAGCCACTATCTGGGGAAGGCATTTCGCCCTATTCACTACCATTTGTCTTGCAGAGTCTGAATTGACCTTGATAGGACTTGGGTGCCCCTTGTAAACAGGTATATGCTTTGTAGATACATAGCTTCGATGCCTGGTACGTAAAAAAGTGAGGTGCCATCCTGACGGAAGAGGTCATGTCATCATAGCCGCTCCTGCGGTCATTAAGGAATGATTGATAGAGTGGTATGCGATCATTGTGCAGAGCTGGTCGTATACACGGGATTGGAATAGAAATAAATCTATACATAGCAAAGATCCAGTAGCTGGCCTCGCAAGAACAGATCTCTTTCTGACAGAGAGTTTTGATGATTGGTAAGTAACCCCAGGTAAGCAGCCAGAATCAACCAATCTCTATCCGGCAAACCATCAAGGGCTGACGAAGGTTTGGCCGACCCTGACCAAGAAGTTTGCTGCTGCAGGTGGCTTGCTTCATTCATCGTGGACCCCTCGGCACTCTCCTCATCGTCTGGATATCTCGAGTCCTGTACTTCATGTGTATGTTGGCGGCAGGCCACGCGGGAAGGGCGGGAAGAAAGAAGTTCTTTGATGCTTCGATTCTTCGGTGCAATGCGCTGCCGCTGCGCTCCTCCCACCAACCTTGATGGCCCATCCGTCAAAAAGCCAGGGCCCATCCCGCTCATATTGCTGCCCGCCCATCTTACAATGCATAAAGCGTATTTGACAAAGAGTAGAAACGGCCAGTTTGCCAGTTCATGCGCGTCCGAGTCCTGCAGCGGCCGCTGATCCGCAGCGATGGTAATATGTCAGATTCGACCCCGCCCATCACTCTTATCTAGAAACCCCGCGTCCCATGTCAGAAGATATGTGTTTCACGAGCAGATCTTATCACAGAATCAGGCACCCCAAGAGATAGGAACGTGGATTGCTCATATTCCCTGTCATGGTGGGAGATTCTGGAGACTGTGTTGGAGGTGAGTTGAGATTTCCATGATCGGCGACATGGAGCTCGCTGTGTTGGGCGACGTTCAAACGTAAAAAGATAAAAAGCGAATTCCGGTGGTATTTGCTACGGGGACAGTGTCGTGATTCAGGAGCAAACCACAGGATGGTACGGGAGCACCAAAAGGTTGGATATACGAGCAAGCGGCCGTCAAACATAAAAAGAAGACAATGCGAGTTCCCGTGGCATTTGCTGCGGGTAGAGGTAGTAATTCAAAGATAAACCACAAAACGGTAGGGAAGCAAAACGAAAGGTTGGATGCTCTACGAGCAAAAGATATAACGACTACCGCCTGATTCGAACAGACGCCCCCGAAGGGAATAGATTCCAGATTTCTGAATTTGATACAGAAATTTCTAGTCTATCGCATTAGACCACTCTGCCAGGTAGCCATATTTGTTGAAAACTTTGTAAATTATCAGCCTCTATAATGGCTGGGCGGTGAGGAGAAGGGCTGTGGACGGCACTGTATTGACCCACTGTAAACAAGCCATAAGGCACCCGACGACGGCAAACTGGTCACAGACATCTGCGAATCAAACTTTGCGAGAGAGAGATATATATATATGTATTCGGGAACTTGCAGCACGGGTTAAGCAGTAATTATCTCAGTGTTTAATAGATCTAGAAAGGCAGTACGAGTCCCCCGACTTGGACTATGGCAGCTGGTGATGGTGCGATGTTGTGAGGCTATTAGAAAAGGGGCCAATGCAGATATTCGGGGAGGCCAATTCAGGCGGGCTGCTGTCTGACTAGGGCTGTGGAGCCAATGGAGGCAACGTTGACGTTGGGTGTGGATCTTGGCATGGTCGGCATCCACTTGATCACTTAGCCAATCATGTCTCCATCGCAACCCCAATTGCGGCGCACTGACGGGGCAGGAGCAGGCTTGCAGCCGGGCTACAGCAGCAGCAAGAGCGAGACACTGCGGCAGTGACCGCACTGACTGATAGGCCGATTAGGCAGTCAGGTCAACTGCCCGTCGCCAGTCCAGTTTCAACAGCGCCCTGGAAGTTCATGAAGAGTCTGACCACAACTTACCTACCTAGGTACCTAATGATCATTCTTCAGAGTTACATCCGGAACTCCAAGAGACCCTCGCATACCAATAACAAACCCGCTGCACACCACCACTCCTTTTCCGTCGCGGCTGTGCTGCTGGCTGTCGTCTGTCGTTTGTCATCATCATCATAGTCGTCAGTCCCCGCTCCACCCTGTCTACCTCGTCGAAATACCTGGAACTGGGACACGGGAACAGGACGAGAGCACGACAAGAACAGGTTCATCCGCCGCCAAGTCCTGGCTGAATACATGTACGTATCACGGCATGCCCAAGGTTCAGCCAGTTCAGCCCTTTGTTGCATAGAGTTTGCGCCACCGTCACTGCTAGGACATCCCGGAATTGTCGCTGGCTGCCGCGTCCTACGCCAGCCCACGCTGCCAACGCTGCCAACGCCTCCGCCGAACCTTCTCAGCGACGATCCATCAACCCTACTTCCACCCGTTCTCGCAATCCAATACTCCAAAACGATGGAACCATTTCCTTCTGCGCAGGAGCCTGACGAAGGGTATTCCGAACATCCCCTCAACACCTTCGCCGCCGGCGACCTCGAGAACGATGCCGCTACGCTGGGGTTGCCGCCGCGCGCCCAGCTGCCCGCATGGCTATCAGCACGACTTCCCAAACTCTCTGTACAGGAGAAGAAGTGTAAGTTCATCGGCATGCCCGCAACCGCAGGTCTTGGCCCGTCCTTGCAACGAAACCCCAGTCTGCTTTCTATTTGAGTGGAATGATGGCTGACCATGTTGCTTGGTACGACATACAGGCCTCGCCATGTTAATCCTAAAAGAGCTTCCCACCACTGCCATTGCTGACATAGTGATGAACCAACTGAATCCGCGCCTTTACATCGACTTCGTCGAACGTCTACCGCCCGAAATATGTCTCAAGATCCTGGGCTATCTGGACCCCGTGTCCCTGATTCACGTTGCCATATGCTGTCGAGGATGGTACAATCTGGCCTTGGATCGCAAACTGTGGGAGAAGCTTTTCTATATGGAGGGGTGGAAAGCGATACCGTCCGAAATCTTAGCTGCGGAACAGCGGATGAACGCCGGACTTCTTCTATCTCAGATGCAACCCCAGGGAGTGCAATCGGTTGAAGATGGCCACGTTCATAAGAAGCGGGCAGTCTCCGACCCGACGCCGCCGGACGATGATGACTACGAAATGGTGGACGCGGATCTGATAAGGCAGGACCACAGAGACACGGACATGTCTGGCACAAGTCTGTTCGGTGGCCCTCAACCTGGCGGGAGTGGCTCCTCTATACAAAGTAACACAAGCGTGGTTCAGCACATGGGAAACCTCATGATGAAGTCACCAAGCCCCATGCCAGGTCTCAAAGGGAAAGCAGTCGCGAGGCCTACTCGGACTTTGGGGAAGGCTGCTGCTAACCCTCCGGACGGATCCTCACACGTTGAGAGCACTTTCGGCTCACCTACCCTTCCCCAAACAAGGCTTTGGATTTACGACACCCGCGATCGCAGATATAAGATCAGCTGGAAGTATCTATACACCATGAGACGCAGGTTGGAGAAAAATTGGGACAGTGGCCGCTATACAAACTTCCAGCTACCCCACCCGGACCACATGGATGAAGGGCACAACGAATGCATTTACAGCCTCCAATACAACCCTGAATATTTGGTCAGCGGTAGCCGAGATCGCACTCTTCGAATATGGAACCTACGTACACGGCGCCTGATACGCCCACCTTTGAAAGGCCATCAGGGGTCGGTTCTTTGCCTGCAGTTCGACTCGGATCCAGACGAAGACCTCATTGTATCTGGAAGCAGTGACTCCGACGTCATCTTATGGAAGTTCTCGACAGGTCAGATTATTCAGCGTCTCCGAAGGGCGCATACCGAATCTGTGCTGAACGTCAAATTCGATAAACGGATTCTGGTCACCTGCTCCAAGGACAAGAGCATCAAAATATTCAACCGCACACCATTACGAGCGGGCGATGTTGGCTACGGCTACGATCATGGTGTCGGCCCAGTTCCCATTCACTTGCGGAATTATGGGTATGACGATTCACCGCTGAATCAGTTACCTATCAAGCCGCCCTTTACAATGATTGCATGCCTCGAAGGGCACAACGCCGCTGTCAATGCTGTGCAGATCTGCAATAGGGAAATTGTGTCAGCCAGTGGCGATAGGAACATCAAGGTCTGGGACTGGCCAACTCAGACGGTGAAAAGGACGTTTATTGGACACGCCAAAGGTATTGCATGCGTCCAATACGATGGGCGTCGCATCGTGAGTGGGAGCAGTGACAATGAGGTCAAGGTGTTTGATGTCGAGTCTGGTCTCGAGGTTGCGAGCCTACGTGCCCACGGCAATCTCGTCCGTACGGTGCAGGCCGGCTTTGGCGACCTCCCTTACAGCCGTGAAGAGGACCGGCTTGAGGCAAAGGCTGTTGACCAAGCTTACTTCAGCGCCCTGACTGCGGGTACCCTGCAAGAGCTGCAGAAGACTAGAAGTCGACCCCATAACGCGGGTAGTCGCCGGCCACAAGATATAACAGCCTATGGGGCAAAACTACCTCCTGGCGGCGGGGGCGGTCCGTATGGACGCATCGTGTCTGGCTCCTACGATCAGCAGATCATAATATGGCGCCGAGATCGCGAGGGCATATGGAGGACGGCACACATCCTCCGACAGGAAGAAGGAGCTGCTGCCGCCCTCAGACAGAACTCGCGAGGTCCAACTTCAGTGCTGTCTCGTCGACCAACACCGTCACCTGCCGATGTTATCGACGCGTCAGACAGTCAAACGGATCAACCCTCTGGAAGCCGACCGCCCCATCCACCTGCTAGCGCTCCGCCGGCGCTGCAACGGCCACCGCCCAGTTATACTCATGTTGAATACCCTATCATCGCTACCATCACCCCTCAAACCACCGCTTCTTATACCCAGATGATAGATGCGTGTGTTCCCCAAGGACCTGGTGCGCTCCAGCAAGCACTGATGGCCTACCCGACGATTCTGACGTACCACTCCCACATCCAAACGGCCATTGATCGCGAGCCGAATGCGATTACACGCTCCCAGCTACGACAGGTGGTCAGTGCCGCCTTGGTCAGAGCACAGATCGCGCAGAACCGTGTCAGAGACTCGGTGCACCGAGCCCTTACGGCAACATCCGGACCGGCTGAACCCTCGACATCTCAGGCAGCACATGTTGATCCCCAAGTGACGCCGCGGCAGAACAGTTCAAGCATGGTGGCAGCCTCCAACGCTAGTCATCTAGATCACGACGCGACGCCTCATGCCAGTAATGGTGGCGGTCCTCCTGTCACCGCCAACGGTGCACATCATCCTCATCCATCACTATCTCAACAACATGAGCAGACACAGCCAGCCGCGGCTACGGCCCCAGCGCAAGCACAAGCTCCGCCACCCCAACAACCCCAGACACATCCCCACATTGCCCAGGCCGACACTAGCCCGGCCAGGATATTCAAGCTGCAGTTTGACGCACGACGGATCATTTGCTGCAGCCAGATCAGCACCATTGTAGGTTGGGATTTCTGCAATGGAGACCCGGAGCTGGAGGAGGCGGCGAGGTTTTTTGGCACGGTGGATTGAGAAACAGGCGAAGTTTTCCTTTGGCCCGTTGCATTTGGACCAGGACCAGGACCAGGACCAGAGTGTAAACCGTAGAGTATTATGATGAACGAACTAAATCATGCAAGAGCATACAATCCTGTATTGTGTTATGTGACAACCCCTACAACGCCTGCAAATGCTCATCCTTGGAACGGTGGATTTGTTCATGGGTGGAGGAACACACGAGGACGTCTCTACCAGGACTAGTGTCGTAGTGTGATATCAGCATTCGGCTGATGCGTTCGTGTGGACAGCCTCCTCTATGACCTACGCTTACTCTCTGCCGATGCGGGACTTCAAGAAAACCAATACAGTGAAGTCGGAGATGGTGTCTCTTGTAAGGCCGTCTATAAAGACCATCATGGTTGTGGTATGATCAACTGGCGAGCCACATCAAAGGTGAAAAACAACCTGCCTGTTCCGTGCCTGTCCCCTGCGTATGCAAACGACTCCCCAAACGCCCCGCAAAGACCAATGCCGGACCCCAATCATGATCATGATCATCATTCCTCCCCATCAATCACCTCGCCGCCTCCTGGACCTTCCCAGACGCCTGCGGCGGCTCGTCGATGAAATCCGGCACCTCGTCGCGCATGAAGTCCGGCACGCCGCCCGCTTCCGCACCGCCCATAGCGCCCTCCATCTCCATCTCAGCGCCCAACATCTCGAGCTCGGCATCGAGCTCGGCCTCATCGACATCATCAGGCACCTCATACCCGCGACTCAGCGTCTCCTGGATCTCGTTCCCCACATCCAGGAGATCGGCCATCTCGTCCTGCATGCGCTCGATGCGATCCAGGTCCACCTTGCCGTACTGCTTCTTGAGCTCTTTCTGCGTCGTCTTCATCGCGTCCACCGTCGTCATCACGCCCGACAGGTTGTCCTGCATCGTCTGCGCCTGCTCCATGTTCCAGACTTGGGATTGGAGTTGGTCGCGCTGCGCCTCGTACTGCTTTCGCCGCTGGAGGACTTTCAGGGCTTTGGATTTCAGCGCCGTCTTGCCTGGCCCGTCGCGCATCTTGGCCATTTTGGATTGGTAGGTTGACAGCTCGGCGTTGGCGGAGGCGATCTTGACGTCGACGGAGGAGATGCGCCCGTCGATGTTGCCGATGGCGCTGTTGAGCGTGGGCTTGGGGCCCTTTGGGGCGCTGCCGAAGAGGCGGTTCATCGTGTGGTGGGGGTTGTTGGGACTATTTTGGCTGCGCTATTGCGAGGGAGGAGGAGACGCAGGGTCGGAGAGTGCGGTGCGAAGAAGTTGAGTAGGTAGATAGGCAGCGAAAGTCAAGTGTCTTGCGATGCGTCACTGCGAGTTGGAGCCCTGGAAAGCCGAGGGTTAGGTTAGGTACGGTTGAAATAAAAATGTGCATAAGCAGTTGGCATAAGTATTTATTCAGCATTATGTCAGTTGCTGCTGCCAGGCTCAGCTGACTGCCAGCTGGTGCCGACTGGCAGCTTGCCCCTTTCTTGTTTCGACAACGGCGTAGATCTCGCTCTGCCCCCTACTTACCCTTCTACCCTTCTACCCTTTCACCCATTCACCCATTCTCCTCTCTCCCCACCCCAATTCCCTCACTGCAACCCACGCTCTCTCGCCATTGCTTATGTTTATCATGTCTTTGATTAACAATTTTAGGGTTCCGTAGCTTCCGTCACTACCTTATCTGCTTCCAGGTTCACCTCCTGTAAACTTCCTCGACCTCTTTCTGATACAACGCCAACGTCTTCTTTCTAACAATACTTACCTTACCAGCCCTCGCAAACGGCCTCTCCGGATTCGCAACAACCACTAATTCCCTACCAGTAACCATCGCATGCTCCGACAACAACTCATTAGCATCCTCCACCGCACCCCCAACATCCCCCAACAACTCCTCTTTCCCACCACCCTCCTCTTCCTCCTCCGGCTCCAACAACAAGCCACAACTCGTATGCCCGTCCCCAAAAACCAAACACCCCCTCAGCAGCGGATGCGCCTGCAGCAGCCTCTCCATATGCACCGGGTTCACCTTCAGCCCGTTCGCCAACACACCCCTCGTCCGCACACCACCTCAGTAGGTCCCTACTCCTGATCTCCTCCGCCCCGGGGAATAGCTCGAGGACCATGCGCGACGGTCAGGTGTATTCCGGCGCGCCCGGCGGCAGCGGTCGGCGCACGACTTCGAAGAGCGCAGGGTCGTCGGAGGTAGCGTCGAGCGCCGGGCCGATGACGGGGTGGAACTCGATGTAGGACCAGTGCGAGCGTGCCCGGGGTATCAGGAGCGGGAGCGCGGCCACCTCAGTCGAACCAAAGATCTGCCAGAGTTTGACGCGCGGGAGGTGCGTGGTTATCCAGTCGCCGGTTGCGTCAGCGAGGGTCCTACGTTTGTGATCAGTTGTCAGGCTTGGGGTTGAAGGAAGAGGCTTGGTGGAAGTTTGGAAGGGGGGAATGGCATAGCATACCGCCTAACCAGTTCACGTGCTCGAGTTCCTGCAAGTGCTCCTGCTCCATGAGCTCCCTCCCGTATCCCATGAACACGGCATCGCACACGCTCGGCACGACAACCACCACCTGCACACGGACGCTCTTCAGAACATCCGCTGCCACCTCACCCCTCGGCAGCTGATCCGGCGGACCCCAAACCGTTGTGAATCGTCTGAACAGCGCCGCGGTCGAGAAATGGATCCCGCTCAGATGGAAGAAATTCGTGCCGAGGAACACCTTGGTGACCGGCCGACACAGCGCGAACGTGCTGGCGTGCTCGCGCCCCCCTCCACGGGCGGGATCAGGGCGTCGCGGTCGGCGCGGTTGGAGAACGCGTTGGTGAAGGGGATGATCGGGCTTCGGGTCGCCGGTGCTGCTGGATGTGTGGACGATGAGCACGATGTCGTTCCTGGCTTGCCAGAAGGTCTTGGTGTAGGGGTAGTGTGGTGTTGGTGTTGGGGTGAGCAGCATCTCATCCAGTGGGGGCAGAGCTACGGTCCGCAGGCTTGGAACAGCTTGCGCGAGTGCGGTGGCTTGGCCGTTGAACGGGCCGGTGGAGAAGAGGGTGGTGCAGTGGGTGCTCCGGAGTAGGGAGACGGTGTTGAACAGGGCGTTGCGTGGGTTGGGGAGGAGGAGCTGCCGGCCCGATTTGAGGGCTGCGTACCACATGACCCTGTAGCGGAAGTCTTGCAGGCCGACGAAGGCTATTGTCTCAGGTGTGGTTGTGGTCTGGGGTGCGGTGGAGAGGTTTTTGGCGAGCCAGTGCGACGTGTAGTCCACGGTGCTGGCGAGTTGGGAGACGCTGAGCTCGGTGAAGTCCAGTGGGACGGTTGTGGATTCGGGTTTGGCCATCATGCCTACGATGTAGTCTGGATCCTCGGCTGCCCAGTTGTCGAGGACCTGTGGTAGCAGGCGCTCGCCATACTTGATCTGGGAACCATTTTGGGTCTCAGAAGTGGAATTTCCGTTGACAGACGAAGCCATTGTGGCGAAATCACAGTGATATTTCAAATAGGTATACAAAAAAACGGATTGATATCCTGAAAGCAGAGGAAAAAGGTAAGACAACAAGGAAAGGAAAGGATGTTTTGCTCTTTATAAATACACCATCGACGGTTGATACACAGTAAGAACTTGGCCGCTTTCTTATAAGCAACAGACTGGCGGGTAAGCATCGAAGGGTTGACGAAAGTTGCGGCGAAGAAGCCATGCGTCCTGTGCATAATAGGATGCCCTCATGTATGGATGGACTTGATAGAATTGGAAGAAAGTTGGCAATTTGCAAAACGAGCGCGACGGCTAAGGTGCAGCAGAAGGGGGGATTTGAGCGGGCCGAGTCGAGAGCTGAGCGACCTAGATTTCAGGCAGTGAGACCGACACTGAAAGAGAGTGCGCCTCGCAGGCCAGAAGTCTGGTGGCATGTCATAAACGAGAGATTTTCGCCATGAGACACATTAGGTATGTAGATGAGCTAGAAGTCTGAAACGGCCTGAACGTCGTGTATGGGGAGTGGAATGGACGGTAGCCTGCAAGGAAACCATCCACGGAGCCACTTGTGATCCCCCGCTCCCCTTTTTCCATCCTCGTCGAGTACAGGAAGCAGTTGCAGGCGTGAATCGCAACTGCTATAGCTTCGGCGTAAGTAAGATCCGTGCCGTCCTCATGGGTCGGGACCCTTCCCGTGCCCGACTCCGCGAACCCGTCCCTTTGATATCCTATCCTCGGTTTGGCACGGGCGAGGGCACAGACGGCGTGGACAGCAGAAAAGCCAAAAGGCGTCACATCTACCACCCGCACGGTGAGCTGGCGCCTGCTTCAGGCATCCTGGATGACCCCAGCCATATCGGTACTCCCTCCCCTGGGCCAACTCGAACGGCTCCCAGCTATGCGGTCGTATCGGTCCATGGCGATCGGCGTGCGAGTAGGTCGTCGGTACTCTGGTAGGTTTGGTTGTCCTTCTTCACGCATAAGTCTTTGGGTGAGCGCTGCCGCCCTGTACCAGGGGAAGTCCTGGTGAGGCACGTCCTTCCTCCAGTGATGGTTCAACCCAACGGTCCCTCCTGTCGACCTTTCCGCACATACGTGGACCCCATTGGGCTGGCACGCAGATGATGATGAGAAGGACGATGCTGACAACGGCGGCAATGCAGAGGCAGATGCCCAAGTCTGTGCCGAAATTGCCAGTGAAACCCATGTTTTGTTTTAGAACTGGTTGTGGGAAGTTGAAGACTTGTGACGCTGATAGAGTGAGTGGTGAGGGGTGCCTGATGGTATGCTACGGAAGGGTTCGATGGATTTCGGGGAGCTCAGGGATGCTTTTCCAGCAACATGTGTGAGTGCAAATCATGCTCGTTCAAAGTTTGAGTGGTGATGAATCACCCTTATTCTGTCTGCAAGGTGATAGACGATGTTGACGGGCAGGGATTGGGGTCCTGGGTGGTTGCTACAAGCCGCATGTGCCGCTCTTCTTTAGCTCACCCAAGCAAACAACAAGCAGTTGGAAGCCCTCGTCATTGTCGACAACTGGGGTCGACTGCCGTTCTAGTCAGCCCTACCATGTCAGACATAATATGCCGGTACTACCGCCCGTTAGTGAGTGCGATGTGTGCAGGGGCCAGGGGAGTACCAACGTCGACGACAACCTCCATAACAGCCGCAACATGAAGCTCTGGTGATGAGCTGGCACATCTCTGCACTTGACCAAAATGCTGCTCCATACCAAATGCGATGCTTGGTTGGTTGTTGTTTCAACATCACCTATGGGTTGTTGTGCCGACGAAAGGCACAAGGCGCGGAGGGTTCGGCGCTCCAAGATAGTCTCCCGCTCGCGCAGGCACTTCCATGCGTGAGAACTCATCGCATTGGACTACACCCGGGCCAGTCGGAGAAGGTGGATTTTCTTCCAAGAGCTTGTAACAGTAAGTAAACATCAGCAATCCACGTTGTCGTCTCCATTCGAGAATAGAGATTGAGGCACCGCAGTGGACCTTTGCACGGTGTCGCTGTTGAAACCACATTGGGCTTTTACTTGAGAAATTACCTAGACGCGATGCCATGACGAGACGAAAGCATCCAAGGATTTCAGCTGGTCATCGAGGACTAGTGCTGGGTGTGAGCGGTGCGTGAGACGGCTGGCTGTGGTTCTTCATGTTGCTGGATGATGTTCCAGAGCAGTAACATAGACCGAAGATATCCTCGCGAGCATCACAGAACTTGCTATCCTCCTAGTCGAAGATTTCATCAGCAAGAGGTTGAAGTCTCGGAATGCGACACTGTATGTGTTGCTGGAAAAGGTGTAGTTGCACAGGAGGAACCAAGTAGCCATCCAGGTCATTGTACTACAACTCGTGACTGATGTCAAGTGCAAGTGCGATTGTCGTAACGGTACGCCTGGAAGCGACGTTTTCCAATTGCACCGGACCTGACACATGGAATTTGGCGACGAGTCGCGTGTTGACTTGACGTCAGGTGTTGACAGCCTGAGTGACGTCATCGCCAACTGCCCCTACTGCCCTGCCTTGCTCGATCCCGAGGTCCAATACATACCACCTAAAGATCCGCCCCGGCAGGGAGGGCAGTAACTTGAGTGGACCTTTTTCAACGACATATTTGACTTGATTTCCACGAGAATAGAGCAGCTATGAGCTATGCAGTCCGCGCATACTCGCAGCTGACCGCTTCAGGCGTGCGGCGATTCGCTGGCTGCAGACTGAACACCGCCTACGCCTCTCCTTGCGCGCCGTTCCAAAGGGCCCAGCGGCTACCGCGTCCGCCGTTTCGATGCATCGCGACAACACCACACGCCAGGAGGGAACTGAGCGATGAGACGGCTCGCGAAACCAACCAGAGGGACCAAGACGCCCACGAGAAACAGGTCAAAGACGGTATCGCTGATGTTACGAAAGCACAGATCAAACGCCCCTGGCAAAGGGAGGGCGCAGATGAACCCCCTGTCAGCGACTCTCGGCGGAACGTGGACAAGACTCTGACCAAGGGTGAGTCAGACTTTATTCTGTCATTGATCGAGGACCTTTCGGTTTGCTGATCTTGTAATAGGGAAGCTCCTCACGACCCCGACTCGCCTCCTGAAACTCATCCTACCGCTGCCGGTCGACGCCACACACGACGAGCAGGGAAACAGAGGGGAGTTCCGATCACTCACCCAAAACGAAGACATCCAGCCCCTGGCGCTCCTCATCCACCCCCAACAGCCCCTGTCCTATCTCGAGCGCCTGATCCAGGCCGAGCTCCCTCCCGTTCACGACGAAGATGGCCGCGAAAAGATGCCCAATGTATACTTCTACGCCGAGAGTTCCGAGAAGGACGCGTCGGGCGAGGAGAAGGGCAAAAAGGCACCAGGCATCGCGTCGTACTCAGGAAAGGGGCGCGAGGGCGAAGAGACGCCCGCCGAACAGAAAGACTGGACGCGCTGGAGCAGCAGCACCGAGATCGGCGACTTCATCCGCGATGCCGCACGCGGTCGTCAGTTCGCTATCCGCATCGACGGCCATGATACGGAGCTGCTTGTCGGGGTGCCCAGTTTCAACGACCGCACGCATTTCATGCGGATCCGTCTGCGCAGGATGTCTCGTAAGATTGAGCAGCTGTCGGAGATCAAAAAGGAGTGCGATATGATCGCCCACCGCGGCGCCCATAGAGTTGCCAAAGGCGGATTTGCTGTGCTGACGGGTTGGTGGGCGACCGTCTACTTCGTGACGTTCCATACAGATGCCGGTTGGGATCTCGTCGAGCCTGTCACGTACCTAGCTGGCCTAACTACCATAATGGGAGGTTACCTGTGGTTCCTGTTCATTTCCCGGGACCTGAGCTACCAGGCCGCCCTGAAGATCACGGTCTCCCGACGACAACACGCACTCTACCAAGCACGGGGCTTCGAGCCGCAGAAGTGGGAGCTCCTCGTCAACGAAGCAAATGCGTTGAGGAAGGAGATCAGGATCGTGGCCGAGGAATACGACGTCGACTACGATGAGGCCAAGGACCTCGGCGGCGAGGAGGTCAAGGAGATCCTCGAGGCCGAGGAGGATAAGAAGACCAGGGGCAAATCGGACGAAGATGACGATGACAGCGATAGTTCGAAGAAAGATCGGGCGAAGCCGAAAGAGAAGAAGAAGGACAACGACTCATGATATACCCGTTCTTCTCTTGTATATCAATACAGTACATCAGCGCATAGGCATAGGCATAAGGCGAGGCGTCATTGCTGATACCATTGCGAGTGTGTTGAGCTAGACAACATCTAGAGTGTAGTAGAATAGCAATAGCATACGGAAAGGGTCGTGGGGCCCAAAACTTGAAATTAAAGCAATTTTTCTAATCCTTTTTCAACCCCTGGGTGCTCCATCCGAGTCTACGTGATCAGATCGTCTTGCCGCCAGCAAAGCCCCGCTTGGGAGCCGCCACACGTCCTAGGTGGATTTCGACTTCAGCATCTGCCGCATGACGGCGATCTGCTCCAGTACGCAGGCCTTGCTGGTGCCGCCCTTGGCGGAGCGCATCTCGACACTGCGCTCGTAGTCGAAGTAGTCGGCGATGTCCTTGTCGAAGCGGGCGTCGACCGACTTGAGCTGGTCGTAGGTGAGCTCGTTCATCGGGGTGCCGGTCTGCTCGGACAGGGCGACGACACGGCCCGAGATGTGGTGCGTCTCGCGGAAGGGCACGCCCTTGCGCACGAGGTAGTCGGCGATGTCGGTGGCCAGCATGAAGGGGTCGAGGGCTGCGCGCATCTTCTCTGGTTTGATCTCGAGAGTGGCCAGCACGCCGGTGGCGATCTGGATGCTGTCGCTGACGGTCTTGACGGAGTCGAGCATGACCTCCCAGCTCTCCTGCAGGTCCTTGTTGTAGGTGCTGGGCAGGCCCTTGAGGGTGGTCATGAAGCCGCACATCTGGCCGAGGACGCGGCCGCTCTTGCCGCGCAGCAGCTCGAGGCTGTCGGGGTTCTTCTTCTGCGGCATCAGCGAGGAGCCCGTCGAGTAGGCGTCGGCCAGGCGCACGAAGCCGAACTCGGCCGTGCTGTAGATGATCAGGTCCTCGGCCCAGCGCGACACGTGCTGCATCAGCATGGCGGCCCATTGTAGTTCTTCGGCCACGAAGTCGCGGTCCGCCACGCCGCCCATCGAGTTCCACAGCAGGCCCTCGAAGCCCAGCTCGCGCGCCATCATGTCGCGGTCGATGCCGAACGGGTTTCCGGCGAGGGCGCCGCAGCCCAGGGGGGACCGGTTGACGCGCCGCACCGTCTCGCGCAGCCGCTCTAGATCTGTCGCGAACGCCAGCCCGTACGACATGACCCAGTGGCTCCAGCGGATCGGCTGCGCCCGCTGCAGGTGCGTGTACCCCGGCATGACGTGCGCGACCTCGCGCTCGGCGCGGTCCGTCGTGATCTGGAGGAAGGTCACGAGGTGCGCGTCGATCTTGCGCAGCTCGTCGCGCAGCCACATGCGCATGTCGCACGCCACCTGCTCGTTGCGGCTGCGGCCCGTGTGCAGCTTGCCCGCCACGTCCTTGCCGATGATCTCGCCCAGCCGGCGCTCGTTGGCGGTGTGGATGCTATGCGAGACGGGAAAGTCAGTATGTACACTCTCTCGACAATGACATAACCCCTCCTGGTGTAAGGGGCTAATCTAGGTCAACGGCAAGGGATGGTGTTGTAGATACGTACTCCTCGTCAACGCCCGGCACGATCTTGAAGGACCCGTCCTCCCACTCCTTCATCACCTCCCGCAGGCCCGCCTCTATCTTGCTGAACTCGTCGGCGGTCAGGATGCCGCCCTTCTGGTTGGCCCGCGCGAAGGCGATGCTGCCCAGGATGTCTTGCTTGAACAGATGCTTGTCGAAGTGGATACTCTCATTGTAAGCTACCATGAGAGGGTCGAGGCCGCCTGCCACGTAATATTAGCATGAGCAGACATATGTTGAGTGTTCATGTAGCACCACAGTGCTCCAGTTGAAGTACGATCATACCGGCTTGTTCGTGAGGTGAGGCATCTTATGAGATTTGGATGATCTGCCCGGGGTGGTGAGGTGTGAGGCATGAATTACAGACGTACCGGTGAATCGACCTCCCCACAGCATGTTCTCTCCGGGTTTGCTGCTCAAATCCATGATGGATATTGGGAACTAGTATGAGATGAAAGAGATGACGATCTTCAAAAGGGATTTGTCAGATGCTTCACTGGGTTTATTTCATCAAGCTTTGCTTGTTGACTCATAAGATGGCTGCCATGTCGGGTACACCTACTAAAAGAAAATTATATCAAAGCTTCAATTGATGTATATCCTGCAGATCTGAATTGGGGCCGGACATCGCCATATCGCGGCTATGCAATAAAAGAATACGAACTCCCCTTCTGCCAGAGAGCTACAGTCACCCCTCTGATAGACTCCTGAGGGTCAGTTCTTTCTCCTTGTTTACAACAAAAACCCAGCAGCGACAGTCAAATTGAGCCATTGACGACTCAATATGATAGCCACAGAAAGTTCTACACAATTACAACACACTTACCTGATACATGTCTCCATACTAATGAGCTGAATGCCAAAACGCTACCGGTACGTGCCAGAGGATCAGTGCCAGCCTTCACTGCTTTTTAATTGCCGTGCGCCCATTGGGCTCCTGCAAGATGGACACCCCTAGCTATCCCACTAGATCCCGCTGTTCGAACGATGGATATTATTCATAAAGCCTCCCGATAGCACCACCATCGTCACCACCAAGTTGGTGACAGGCTTCCAGGTTGAGAGGACCGGACTCCACAGTCTCGGGAGTCTGCTGCTGTTGCTGCTCCTGCTGTCAAACCATCTCTTTCTGTTGGTGGGCAGCTTGCGCCGTCTGCCTGTCACCTGCAGTCCGACAGGATGACGTTCGTGATGGACGACAGCAGCGGTCAGTTGTTGTTTGCTTCTGCTGGCCTCGTCCCACACAGCGGGCTGTCCTACTGTAGGTCTGCTTTCTGTCGCTCCTTCTTACCTACCTACCTCCTGATAGTATCAGCTCCCACCGTGCACTTTGAGTGTCACTAGTGAACATTGACCCCGTTCGCCTTATTCTTCGACTACCCCGCAATCATCGCGTCTACTCCATGTATGCTTCACAATTTGAAGCTACTGACGAGACCGTCTACTACACTTTCTATTTCCCACACAAGCTGCCAGAGCAATGGCTCCGTCTGTGGTACATCTGCCAGATGGACAGGGCTTCACTGTGACGCCCGTTTTCTCTGGGCTGTTTTTCAAGTCCAATGAGCTCAACAAGCTCCAGACGCCGTTTCCTTCCGGATGGACCGTCGTCCTACACAGCGAAAGCGAGGACAGTGCCGAAGACCAACTCGAAGCTCTCGCTATTAAAGACGACGCGAACGAAGGTCGTCACGGGCATAGTCATAGTCATATCCACAGATACACCACACCGACCCTCCAGAATGACACCATCTCCATCTCCTCGATATCGAGCCCATCGAGCAGCGAGTACAAACCCCACGCGAGCCCCTCTCGCCAGATAGCCTTGATGCTCTACGTCACCTTGTACTGGTACTTTCAACAACCCGAGCCGTTGCCGTACCTGGACTCGGACCGCTCGAAACATACGCCACTCGAAGCGAAGCCGCGGGCCGACTGGCGCATCAGGGTGAAGCGTGCAGGGGTATTCCACTCGAAGAATATGATTCCGAAGATGGAGAGAATGGGACTCGTCACGACGTTTGATACCGCTGTTGGAACGAGTGTCGACGAGAACAGTCAGGGATGGGACCAGATGTTTGTTACTCGCCGCATGTTCTGGCAGATCCATAGCGGGCTCTTCCTCTTCACGCTGCAGCCGATCAAACCACACCCAGGGTCACCTGTGAGCAGTAGGCCTACTTCACCTGTTAGAAACGAGGGAAAGAAGGCATTTCATTCCCCGGCAGCCTCCTTGGGCAGCTTGGCCGCTGATGTACCTGGAGGACCGATCCCGACTACTGTGTCCGGTGCGCCGAGTACCCCTATTGGACCATACTATTCCTCTTCTCATCTGCCAACGTTTTACCCTCCAGCCCCCTTGCAATACACCATGACAAACAACATCCGACACCCCCTGAGGCAAAAGCCTCCGCGCATGGGCGAGATTTTCTACTCGCGGTTTATACCTAGCGTCGGGCGATATCTGTCGTTCCGTGCGGCATCCCTCTCGCCCAAACCTGTACCTCATCTAGGACCTGTTGGACAAGGTGCTGAAGAGCATGCTCACCTGCGAACGCTGACCGACAGCGCCCTCCTTGAGACGTGGCTATCAAATCCACGAGTCACGGCCTTCTGGGGCGAATACCATCCTCATCTCATATCCGAAGCTCTTCGGTCTCGCCATTCCTTCCCGGCCATCGGGATGTGGGACGGAGTCCCGTTTGGGTATTTCGAGATATACTGGGTGAAAGAAGACGCGTTAGGTATGCGTATGGGTAACGATGCCCAAGACTTCGATCGGGGGTTGCATGTACTGGTTGGTGAGGAATGGGCAAGAAGAAGAGTGCCATATTGGTTGACCAGTCTCGTCCACTGGTGCTGGCAAACAGACTATCGCACGATGAATATCTACCTTGAGCCGAGAGTGGATAACCACAGGTGAGAAAGATGGCCCTTTGCAAGACCAACGGTTACTGACATTTGTCCAAGGTTCATTCAGCACCTCCAGGACGCCGGCTTCGCGAAAGAGAGACAGCTCGCGTTTCCGCACAAGCAGGCTTGGCTTTGCCGACTGAGACGAGATGCTTGGGATGGGCCAGCTTTGTGAGAGGGAAAACTGCGCTCGAGCGTTTGCTGAGATACCATCATCGAAAGTGACGGACGGACGTGCATGGGCATAGAAGATCTCGACTCGGAAGTCTATATCATCTCCAATGCACCATCCTACCCAGAAGAGGCTCCGATAGGAACAATGCATCGTGAGACCAGGTAATGGCATAGCATATTGTTCTACTCACGATGGAAACCCACCTTTAGTTCCATGTCCGATAATCCGTCCAATAGCTTGAGGTAGCAATCAGCCAGTGCAATCAATACATTCCCAAGCCGGGCAAGGGGGGCGTCTCACTTCTCTGGCATCTCGGGCCCGAGACCAAGCCCCACCATCCTAGGCCGGAGACCACCTTGGCCCATGACTTCATCAACGCCCATGTCGCACTCGCACTCGGACTACCTACATGTCAACATGGCCACATCCGATTTCAAAGCGATATCATAGGACACGATGACACTTGCACCGGACATCCCAATATAATATCAGCTGTCTATCCAGCTTAGTACCTACGATCGAGTATAAAGTCAAGTCACTCACTCACCAGAAGACTGAACAAGTCGTAGTGCCTCTAGCACAGCACTCCCGTTCCGTAAAGAGTACAAGCAGACCACATATCCTCAGTCATACTCACACACACATCTCGGCCACAATGTCCCCTCCGACCATCCTCATCATAGGCGCCACGGGCAAGCAAGGCAGCGCCGTGCTCGACGAGCTCTCCACCGCCATCTCGGCCTCAGCCTCCTCCAACTCCAGCCCGGCCCCCAAGATCCTAGCCCTCACGCGCTCGGCCTCGTCGCCCGCGGCGCAGGCCCTGACGTCGTCGTACCCAGGTCTGGACCTCGAGCTCGTCGAGGGCAACACCAAGGACCCCGCGCCCATCTTCGCCGCGCACCCGGACATTAGTGCTGTTTTTAGCTATACGACGCCGCCGGACGAGGAGGCGCAGGCGCTCGCACTGATCGATTTCTGCGCCAACTCGGCCTGCAGTAGTAGTAAGGGTAGTAAGGTCCGCCACTTCGTCTTCTCGAGCGTCGACCGTGGTGGTGATGTCGCGTCCTGGGATACGCCGACGCAGATCCCGCACTTTCGGTCCAAGCACGTTACCGAGCAGCACCTACGCGCTGCGTGCGAGGCTTCCTCCCCCAGGAATAAGATGACGTACACAATCCTGCGGCCCGTGGCCTTCATGGACAACCTCAACCCCACCTCGGCCTTCGGCATAGTGTTCGCCTCCATCTGGGGTACGATGCCCTGGGACACCAAACTGCAGCTCGTCAGCGTGCGCGACATCGGGCGCTTCGCGGCGCGCGCGCTGCTACACCCGGAGAAGTATGCGGGAAGGGCGGTGGGCATCGCAGGGGACGAGCTGACGCTGGGGGAGGCGCGGGCGGTGTACCGCAAAGTGGCGGGGACGCAGCTGCCGCAGGCGTGGGGGGTCGTCGGGTGGGGCGTGAGGTGGGCGGTCGCTGAGGTGGGTAAGATGTTTGAGTGGTTTGAGACGGATGGGTATGGGGTTGATGTTGCGAAGTGCAGGGAGGAGGAGCCGAGGCTGCAGAGTCTGGAGAGGTGGTTGAGGGAGGATAGTCGGTTTGAGTGTGGCAAGGGGACGGGGACGGGGACGGAGAAGTAGATGTGGATGTGTGAAGAGGTTGCTGGGTGGTGGATGAGAGGATGGATAGGATGGATGGGATGTGAGAAGGTGGTAGAGGCTGATGTATACTACTTTGTTGTATACTCGGTAGTTAGAGCTGGCTGGAGATGATACGATCCCTCTCAGGGGGGACTATATCTGTCAGCTAATGACTTAGGCTTGAGGATCCAGACGAACTCACCAATAAATCCTCAGCAAATGTAGCCAGTGATCGCCTGACCCAGACTCTAACAACATGACAGGAACGTCAGCCAGTTGTTACTCTGAAGGTACTCCAGAAAGACTGTGGAGTCTAGTATCAGATTTCCCAGGGATAACACCTCCCTAGAGCCGAAAGAGTCTGACCTAAAGCCGGTCAACACGAAGATAAGAGCTTCGTGTGGTAGTGTGTCCAGCCCACCTATCTAGTCGATGGCCCAGAGATACCGTATCTGTTATATCTGTTAGCAAGCTAGTCTGTACCGCAATTCAGACTGTCTCGCGTTTGCCTTACGTTGTTCACCAAGTCCCGAAGCGCCAGAATATATATCTTCGCCATCATGCACGGACTGAAGTTGGTGTATCTACCTACTTGCTTGACTACTGTCAGTGACAACCAGCTTCCAGTTCGGGTATAAAACACAAACAACAGGTTTGGAGGTCCCTATCGTTTGCCATTTTCTCTCCTTTGGTGCTGTCGCCACATGCATGGGCTGCTTCATATCGAATCGCGGCAGAGGGACAGGACCAGTGGCACGATGAGGCCGCGTGGAATTGAACAGGGTAAGTCATTCTTCCGTTCGATATGGCAATTCACATTCATATCCACATCAAGGTATCTAGAAACTCTTCAAACCAAAAAAAGAAATATGCAAACAGGAGAAAGGTAAGTCAAGGTTCGCGAAAGAACGCAACCTAGTAAGTCAAGTAGAGTTTCAAGGAAGAGGTTACGAAACGAAGGGCTTTAATCTTGTCGGAAGGGTTCTCTCTGGCAGCTTGCGGTGCCTGAAGGTGAATCATCTGGAGTCTTCATGCCGGTTCCAAGAACCATCAGTTGTTCAATACAATGTCCATGTAGAAAAGGATCATGGCACTCCCTGCATGTGGATGAAGTCAGTTAGAAACAAAGTAGGCCTGTTCCACCCACAGGAACTCAATCACTCATGTCAAGAAGGTGCTAGGTAGGGTCTTGGTTCATCACAATTTCGTCTACCAATCTATGCTATACTCGGGCCAGCAGCGTATAGTACAACAGTACCATCTAGCTGGCCTAGCGTCTTCTCACACCATCCATCAGATGTCCACCTAGCCTAGACATCTCACTCAGATCGCGCAACGAGAAACCCCAGCCATGGAAATGCCGCCTGCTGTTGATGGCTGGGACCTCTTCTCGTCTTCTGAATTGTCATCTGCTCCCTGGCCTTACTTACATCCGGGAATCTGAACGCCGAAAACATGCGGGGTATGTAAAGAAATGTCATGACTGGCTGGCACCGACCGCCCAGCTGCTTCTTGCAAACACCCCCTAAAACGCAAATCGAAATACAAGGTGCGCCATTCTCACATGTCCGTCCCGTCCCAAGTGACGAGCTCAAGTACTAGACATCCGCCAACCTCATGTAGCGACTGCCTCTGAGCGCCGACAACCAGATTGCAACACGGGCAACAGAGATGGCCTCATTCGCTGACAGAGAGCTGCTCGTAGTCCTCGGCCTCGCCATTCTCCTCATGACGCTTGCGCGGCGTCACCAGACCGACTTGAAGTCGTACGTCTGTCTGTATCTTCAGAAAGTACGTCTTCAAAGACGCAAGCCCGCGCAAGAAGCCTAGGTCCGGCTCATCCGGGTGCTTCGGCGGGCACGGTTTGCCCGTAGCCAGATCGCCTGCTGTTACGCTGTTGGCAAAGTCGGCCATCTTGAAGTCGATCTCCTTTTTGTTTTTCCGACGCCTCTTGACGTCCGACGTGTCCTCCGCATCCGTCGCCAAGTCCGTGGTGGAATCCTCGGCGGCCGTCTCGTTGCCGTCGCCTGAGGTGTCGGCATCGTAGAATATGAGGAGACTGGCGGCGTAGAACCGGTATCCACGTAAGCAGCGAATGGTCACCTCAAGCTGGTTGAGCTTTTGTAGAATCGTGGGGATATGTCTAAGAACGCTGCTATAATCCACACCATCATAAAGGAACATGGTCAACGCGTCTTGGAACTCCCTGCCAGCCTTGAGATCTCTCCCATAGTACTTGTCTTTGAAGACATACGTCTGGCTTTTCGCATCCCAAGCTTGCAGCCCACATACCCTCACACCGAGCTCTCTCGACGTTGTTGCAGCACATTTTCGCCGCTGGGACTCTCGCTTCTTGGAGCTAGCTTCAATTCCGTACTGCCGAGTGCCCATCTTCAGATCCATGATGCAAGGTCTTTTCATACCCGCAGTGAGGTCCTCGAGCAGGAGAAAATACTCCACCCTAGAATCATGCCGCGTTTGCGCCTCCTTGGGATTGATCGGCCGAGGGATTCTCTTGAGCTCCAACGCTGGACTCGGTAGTTCAGATGGGACCGCAGACGGCAAGCTCGATTGGGGTAGGTCAGCTGGCTCTGCATGGTTTCCGTGTCCAACCCCGTTTTCAGCCTTTGTGCCGGCGCCTTCCGACACGGGAGAAAATATATCAGGCTCCCCGTCACCTCGGTGCCCCACATCGTCAGCATCCTCAAAGAACTTCAAGCCGCCACGAGGATCTCCAACTTCCTGAGGTTTGCGTCGAAGTTTACTACCAGAGTAGCGCCTCTTCCGTATGTGCTCGGGGAAGTTCTCCGCGAGTGTCTCCGGTTCTGGGGCGCTGGTGCCAGTGACGTCTTTGACATGGTCCATGTCCTCAATCTTCAGGCATTCTGTCCCTGGTCCGACGTCGCTGCAGCTTTGCAAGAACCGCGCTGGAAGAGCTGACAGACTTGATTCAGGGAAAGGTCTAGCTTTCTCCTCCGTAACTTCGTACCTCGTCATTCCCGGGTCCGAATTTTCAAGACGGGGCTGTCTTGAGCGGCGCGGTATTGTTCGTTGGTGTGAAGCTGGTCGCTGATGCTTGTGTACAGCTATGGGTTGCTTCAAGAAAGCGTCATTGAAAACTTCATTGCGCAGTCTCTTGTTGACTGTCGTCGCTCCCCAACTATGCGCATGTCGATCCTCCAAGGTCGGCCGGCCTGTCTTGGCGGGTTTATTGTCCCCTTTCGAGTCGGGTATGTCACGAAACCATTGTTGAACCAAAGCTGCAGAGGCACTTCTAGGGCGCTCTTTGACAGCTGAAAGTCCTGAAGGCTGAAGCAAGCTCCGAGGGAGGATATGTTGGTTATCAACGAAGGTAACCGTAGGTATCGGAATCTGCGTTGATTGTAGCGATTGGCTGACTACCCTGCGATGTTGGTGGTCATCTCTCTTTAGATAGTTGATGTTCTGAGCGACCCCCACATCAATATTGTCATTGTCGGTTCTGGGTTTCGTGTCAGGCTCGCCGATTTTCTTCTCTCGTGCTTGGGTATCATCTCTCCTGACTGTCGACCTGCGCCGGGGTTGTTTCTGGAACGTTACATTCAGAACGCCGATGTACCTGCAAGATAATTAGCATCTGGTTCGTATACCAAGTCAAGGGGTACGTGAATCACTTGGTGACAATCGTGCAATGGACTACAGACCTTGGGAGGAAAGGCAAGAGATCGCGATGATATCTTTCAATATTCTCGTAGAACTCATTCTCTCGATTGTTTAGTTGCTTGCAGACAGCCCTCTTGGAAAACCTCCAGATGGTTGTATGACCCCCAACCTGATGCTTGTATGGTATGAGCTCAATCGCCTCCAGGGGCAACTTGGGTCCAAGCTGATGCTCATGCACGACCGAGTCTTCGTAGTATTGAGAAGCCGGACGCAATAGCTTTGGTGGCGTCTCACAAGGCTTCTGAGGGAGCTCGACATCAACCTCAACCGGGCATTCAGCAACATCTTTGCGAGGCAAGTCTCGCAAACATGCTGCATCATTCTTACCGTTCGGAACGTCACTATGGTCTCGCTCGATCGCATGCTCATCTTCAGCCTCCGGCTCATCTGCCTTTACTAGCCATGGATGGAAATCCTGGCTTATAGAAGGCCTAGAAGGAGGCTGCTGGGACTCATGTTTATTAGTAGTAGGCGGCCTATCTCCCGAAGACTCCTCCAAACCCTGATGTGGTAAGAATACTGCAGAAGATATCTTTTCCTCGGAAGATTCATCACCTTCTTCGTTGGCCTCTCTACACTCGGTGGCATCGCTTGAATGTCTGCGAGGCCGCAAATCGTCATCAACAAATAATGCACGAATGTGATTCGGCGCATCACGAGACTCTGTCTTGACCGCTGGCGTTGCGACCGGCTGCTCTGGTCGAGGCGACACCTTTGCTTGCTCAGCGGCAGTATTGTGTGGCCCTGACAGGTTGAAATAGTCGCCTTGACGATGGAAGCTCGAAGGTACAGTGGCAGCTGGAGTGCTGGTCGGATATGACTGAGCCCGAGACAAAGGCTTGTGATCCTCGAGAGATTGGGGTGAAGGTGTGGAGCTCGGTAAGAGATGGCTCTCGGTATGCTTCAGTTGGGTCCCCTCAGACGACAGCTTTTCACGATGGCCAGAGGGGTTGTGGTCCCTTCGTTTGCCCCTGTCATCAGGGAGGCCTTCTTTGAAGAATCGAAGACTGTGGCTGGCTTTCCGACTGCGCGAGGGTTCCATCCCAGCCAACACCTCGGCGATGGACTTCTCAACTTGTCCATCTTGGTGACCGATGACGTCGCCAGTGCCAATGGACCACACCTTCTCGGGACCCATTGAGACGGTTCGCTCGGTTCTCCACGCTCGGTACTGAGCTCGAGCATCAAATGTATCTTCGAATTGGCCAGGGCCGTGTGTAGAAGGGGCTTCCCCTGCGTCTACGTCATGCGAAAGTGAGGTGTCGCCAACATTGCCCGGTTGTATCGCAGCGCCGTCGAGTGAATGTAGCCGAGTCTCTTTGTCCGTGCGTTCCAACGACCGTCCCCTTACTCGGGTGGTTGCAAGTAGGTCTCGATGATCCGCCAATACTGCGTTTGTTTCCGTGCCGCTATACATCTGGATATGCGAAGCAACACTATGATCAGCGCCAGTATAGTTACCGGTTGGGGAGAACGACGGGGCTGATAATGTTCTGGCGGTGTCGGCGAGCGGTCGTGGCCTCTTCGGGGTCATTGGACCGCCTCGATGTTGACCATAAGCGTCATGATGTGGTTCAACTGCCGTATGGTCTCTGGGCGCATCAGGTGTTGTCTTGGGTTGGTTTGCTCGAGAGGGTAGGTCGGCGGGGTTCGGCTCGGGGCGTTGTTGATCTGTGTGAGACGCGTTGGAAGAGAGTATGCCGCGAGCGGAAGCAAGAGCCTGTGTAAGCAAGGAAGGCCCAGTAGATCTCTGGATGCCCAAGGGAGGCCTTGACTTCTTATGGCTGGCGGCGGCGGCGACAGGATGTGGGAGAGTTGATATGGAGGGTACAGGGACACCGGGGAGGACTGATACAATAGGTGCATGGTCGGGTACGGCAGAGGAGCCAGTCACAGGTCGCGACTCGGAGGATGGGCTGTCAGTCGCGATGTCAGTGGCAGCGGTGATAGTGGTGGCACCGGGCTGCGGATGGGGTTGAGGATGGGGATGTGCATGGGCAAGGGCATGGGAAGCGGCGGGCGCTGCTTCGCTCACCCGTGCAGCAAATGCGGCATTTTCAGGCTGACGACACGGACTGGACATGAGGATGACATCTGGTGAAAACCATGGCAGTGTGGGAGGGATGATTTGCAGGAGACGGCGCGATGTCGCGGGTGGTCTTCGGATGCATCCGTCGTGATGAGGTCCAATATTAGGTCATGTATGGTGCAGGTGTGTGTTGGTGGGAAGAGGTACAAGTTTATTTTTCATATCGGGTGGCGGGGGCCCCTTGGACCTTCAATGCTGTGAGGTGGGGCCTGAGATTCAACGTTAGCACTGTATCTAAGCTGCCTATCTGTCAAATGTATCATCTTAGAGTACCGAGATTTAGTGGAGATTAGCCTTATCGCTTGGCTGTCTCTACAGGCCTCTAGTGCCTCCACCTCACCCACGTGTTTGCGTCTCTCTTTCCCATCCAATGTTGATGGGGTTTTGATCTGAGTCGCAGAGTCGTTCCTGTCAGCTTTATGGACCCAATTACTTGTCCCGACTCATTGGTCAATGCTGTTCCAAAGACAAGGGCTCTAAGGCGTCCTTGGAGCCAGGTACCTGCTATGTACCCATCGTGTCATCGCCTTGATCTTGCAACATTTAACGATACTGGTAACTCAACACTGTCCTCTCACTTTCGATGTTTTCGGCCACGGAGCATTCCTGACCTCAATCGTGGGACGATTTTGAGGCTTCATTAATGCGTACGTTATACGTCATGTTGCACCGGCAATATACTAAGACAGCACAGGTGCTACCTCACGATCTTGGGTAGGATCCAGACGTGACCCCCTTTTCCCGGCACTGAAGAGAGGCGGAATTTCACCAATGCCTAACGCTACCTACTCAGTCACCAGGACGTGTTCACCGTGTTGCCCAGTGCCAAATTGTTCTTCGGGATTATGTGTCTTAGGTTACCGCCTGATCGATACTAAGACTGATCAGTCCTTGTCTTATTGCGTTTGACACCGGCCGTTCACCACTCAAATCAGAGTTTCTTCTTGGGTTTCATGCTTCGATCGGCAGGTTCGAATACAATGATTGTCTGGGCACCACGTTATTACTCTCTCGATTCTGACAGGCTGCTAGACGTGAACAATCCTATGCAACCAGAGTTGTCCCTTCCGGTGCCACGGCGGACTCCTACTTAGGGCGAACCGAAGAGAATGAAACACGGCTAAACATCAAGACGGTCGACTACTGGGTGACTCCTCCAACAGGATACAGATGGGCAGCGTTGGCATCGCAGTGACATTGGCCCCTTTTCGCTTCTGCTCGACCACACCTCAGCCCATCACGGCGTTGAACTATATCCTAGTCTGCCGCCTCAAAGTCAATACCAGCAGTTATCCACGGCCACAAGTTTGATACAGGTTTGTCCTCTTCCAAATTTGGAATGGTGCGTGAACTCGGGCGGCCTCCCGAGTGCCCTATGTGCCCCTGTACCCACACTTCTCACAGAGAATGCCGCGTTCAAACGTCAAAGCTTCTTCTGGGCTGTATTGAACATCTTAGCCAGGTCCTGAGCGTTCCCAGCCAGGAACAGCAATCCATATCACAATATGACTGGCTGATAGCCGCATATGAAGACCAAGGTCTCAGGGGCCCGGGGCCTCAGCTGCAGGACCTCAAGATCGTCTCTCAGCCAATCGTTCAACAACGTGCTCCATCAACCGTCATCCAGTCGCACATGCGACAAATGGAAGTCAACGAACGGGTCCGAGACACATATGATAAGGTCTGTCTAAAGCTCGTCACGCCATTCCATAATTCTCTGTTCGCCATTTGTCCGCTCGAGTCACAATGACAGTAGGCCAAACCGGCTCTCGAACGCATCTCGACAACAACTTCTCGGCGTGGCTACTGGCAGCCAGAAATGGCTGAACTGAACTTGCAGTACCAGAAACGACTGCTAACGATAGGACGCTCAGTACTTCTCATCAATACTATTGGCCTCGCTCGGCTGCCATACACTCGTATTGCCAACAACAACCCGCCAGCAAGAGGGTCAACAGAGACGCCAAAAGTCCCGGTCGCTGATGTATAACGGACCGCAGGAATGGTGAGAGCTCACATCCGTCTTGCCAACTAGTGTTGTGGAAGAAGGGATCCGCCACAGGTCAGCTAGCTTTCTTAGGTGAGTAGTCCTATCAATCCTACAGCATCCGTGTGAAGTCTGCATGGGGTATGGTGGTGGTACTGGCTACGCCCAATGGATATCGTTCATCCAGCACTATGTCTTTCTGCAGAGAAGTGGCAATGAGACGCCCTCCAGCCCCAGGTTAAGATACGACTTCGACATTTAGGATCCGAGTGAAGTTGATGAAGTGGAGGCTATCTCTTACATCGGCTTGGCGTCGATGGGAGGCTCTGGCAACGGCCCCAACTTGCTTGGCGAAGGAGACCTCCCTGACGAGGGTGTTGATGGGGTCACGAGTGTACCATTGTATAATGAATGACGTCGCGAACGTGCATAGACGATCCAGCGAGAAATCTCAACTGTGTTTTGAAGTCATCCTTTTGTGTACGGAGTGACCACAGTAGATGGCAACAAATGTTCTTTTGGGCCTCAGCGAGTGGCCCTCACCGAGGCTGTTGAGCTAATCTCCAGTTGTATGCATTGGGACCAAAGAAACCGATGTCCGCTCGGCCTTTCTCTTCCCGCTCCCGTCTGAACAATTCATCCTCTGATACAATAGAGGCATTATCCAGGCGATCTCTCGATTTTGAGAGCTGTTGAAGCTTGGTCCCTCAAGTCAAATGGCCGGCAAGGCCGGAATCACCGATCCCCTACACTCCTATAGATTGATTGATTGACTGATTGTATTTAACGGGGGGGATCGCTCCTCAGTAGTGCAAACCACGCCTCCCAGAGCCTCTGCATCGCAGGGTTATGGAGGTATCAAGATAATAAGTACAGTCAGTCCCGCTCACGAGCCCATCCCCGTTGTTGCGGCTGTATGTCTTTGGGGTCATCCATCTGGTCCTTTAAAAATAGCTATCTATCAGGGACAGATTGATGAAAAGAACTTGCTCTTTTTAACAAATATTGCCCATTCCGCGCTCCTCTCCCCCAAGTATTGTAAACAGGCTGTCTTAGGAGAGTACCTAAACAATAGTCAGTTTTTCCCAAGCCTCTTATAAAAGAAAATGTGTTGTAGTGTTTTCTTTTCACCGCAGCTACAGTGATCATTCGAGTCTATATGCCCAAAACGTTCATAATATCTAGCAAAGTCGCCATGTCCAGATCTGGCCGCTAGAAGTCTGTATAGAGTGTTTCTTTCAAAAGATATAAAGTCCCTTTTAATTACCGTATGTGAGTATACTTCTTGATATCTAGGTTCTGATTGGTCTTTCTATAATTAATTGAATTCTTTCTTGCCTTTCTTTTTGAGATCTCTCTTTACCCAAGAGATTATGGGAAGGTGTGTCGCGTCCGTTTCTAGCATGGCACCCTCTTTTGCTAGTGTGTCAGCAGCTTTATTGTCATCGATATCTCTGTGTCCAGGAATCCATTTGACAGTCACTCCAGGAGTGTGTGCTGTGGCGAGTTTTTGGAATCGTAGAAAAATGTTCTGTGATGTCTCGGGTGAAGTCCCATTGAGCCCATCTACCACTGACGTGTTGTCTAGGCAGACATATAGCCATTTTCCGCGTCTAATTGCCCTGGCTGCTATAAGATCTTAGAGAACGTTATGGACTTCAGTATCTACTACTTCTGCTTGTAGAAATCTGCCATTTCCCCGATATACTTCTTGTGTAGTGCTGTCTTTCCTGATAGTATAACACCATCCAGTGTGGGTTGTGCCTTGGTCGTTTAATTATGATCTATCTGAGTAGATGACAAGGTCAGTGTTCACGTTTCTTTATCATAGCCATTGCTTGAAGAGCTTTGTTTTTTTGTCTTTGTCCTTACGGATTGGGGGCTTTTTCCATAATGGCTTGGTGAGTATTGGTCTCTGGAAGTCAGGGATTAGCTGGAAGCTCTTTTGTAGCCTTGTTAGTTCCTTATAAGCTTGTATTTAGAGCCTGCCAATAAGAGGGTGTCTCTGGTCTATTCGTCCTAGTCAGAGGCCATGACATTGTCTTATTGACTCGGTGAGAACTCCTGCTGGGGGAATCTGTGATTCAAAGTGTAGGATATGTCCAGGGTATATTTTCTAAACCGGCAATATAGCCCTGATCACCGTTTGTAGTACAGTATCTATTATTCTAAGAAGCCCCTTAATGCGACATGCTGATGTCCCACCTAAGGGGAACGCAATCCTGCTGACAGCTTGTGCCAGGAAACGATTCTGTACAGGTTCTTTGGTTTAGTCACTGAATCAATTAGAGTCTGCCAGTACTCTCTCCTAGCTTTCTGAATCACGCGGCGAAAGTCCTGTCGGGCTGAATTCCGCCTTTCTTGGCTTGCGGTCTGTTTGGACAAGGCCCTGTATGTCTGAATAGCTGCTTTGCATTTATCATTCCACCAAGCAGTGGGCTTAGATTGTCGGGGCTTCTTGTCTACTGTTCTAACGCAGCCTTGGATTATGTTGATCAAGTTCTGCGTAAAGGCATCTACCTGGCCAGGGGATGCACCTAGCCAGGGGAGCTTGTGAATCTTGTTTTGGACATTGTCCACCAGCTCTTGTAGTTGATTGTCCGGGACTATCCACCGATCAGCCTTGTGGACCCGGTCCAGGTTTCCTTGAATTGGGACAACTATTCATAATGTCTCGTGATCTGAGGTGCATTAGAGTGCATCATTCACTGAGGCTTTGGTCATAGGGACATCTGAAAAAACCAGATTTAGTACATTTTTGTCATTATGTGTCGGGACATCTGGTTCAGAATCAGATCCAGTCCGTAGTCTGCTATAGTCTGCGCAAGTATAGCACCACCATGATATCCTGGATTGCTTGAGTCCCAGGATATGTCGCCAGCATTGAAACCTCCGGCTATGACGCAGCCAAAGGATAGAGTCCATACTTCCAGAATGTCATTTACTTCCTGCGGGTTATTGTATGGTCAGTAGATGCTGGCAAATATAATGCCTTGTACCTTGACCCAAGTGATATCTTGTGTAGCATAAGGCCAAAGTTGATCTGCTTAAAGATGTTTTCTCACATAGATGAGAGATCTGGGTCATGTACTGTCGCTGTCCCAGGAATCAACCGGGGAATATATATCATAATTTGGGTGTGTCTTTACTTTCATTTTTCTGCCTGGTATTGTGCTGACCCAGAGCTCTTGCACCAGAATGATGTCTACTTGCTCTCCTTTGTAGTCAGCCAGGTTAATGGCTAACTATGTAGGGCTTGCACTCTTTTGTCCTCTTGTCGCATTTACAGAATGGATGACCAGGTGCCCATATCGATGTGTTTTATTTGATGTATCTAGCATTGATAAATAACGATGGTGTTGGCATCTCTGGAATGAGCTGTATTTATTGTGTCAATTTGTATTGTGGTGTCTTTGTTATTATTGCTAGGCGTTGACCCAGCTTGGTGTCTGCCTGTTTTATTGAAGACCCTAGATCTGGCTCTCTCTCTGGCCAGCCTTATTTCCTGGATTTGCTCCCATGTGTGCTTATAGATGATACCTTTCACGACCTTGGGGTATACATGGCATTTGTCGAAATCGGCAGCATGAGGCCCCTTACAATTGACACACTTTGGGATTGGTTTTTTGCACTCCCCCTGGTGTACTGTGCTGGCGCAATGTGCACATATTTGCTTTTCACATCAGTAGTTTCTACCATGGTATCTGAAGCAGCTCGCACACTAGTGAACCTTGGGGGTGTATAGAATGTGCCTCGAGGTCATTGAGTGAGCAAAAAACGTGAATGGTTTCTTTGCTGCACGGAACAAAGAGATCAATCATGTGGTCTCTGGATCTGAATCAACCGTGTTCTTTGAGAGTATGCACCTTAAAGGTCTGTCGCCTGATTGGGCTTCAACCTCATCAGCAACAACAGTGTCGGTAATATCAATTATAAACCCTTCCGCACTGATGACCTTTTTTGGGCATCCATCAACCTTGTAGTAATGCCAGACCGTGTGGGTTTTGATTTTTTGTGCCTTAAGAATGTTGGCGATTTCTTCTTGAAAGGCCAGGAGCTTAGTCTGAGTTGGCTTGTCCCTTAGGTGTAAGGTAAATCTGGAGGGGCACCGTGTCACCTTTCTAAGCTCCTGAGGATAGAGTTTAAGTCTTCTATTTAGTGTAGACTTTATCTCATAAGGCTCTAAGTGGCTATTGTCCATGCAGACAAAAACCTGGAGATCATTCTGCTTCTTCTTTAGTTGATTGGTAGCAGTAAGGGCACCAGGCTGTGTTTTCTTTATGGTGGTGTTGACTGTCAGTGGATGCTGTCGGTGGTTAGAAGAGACAGCTTGGGCAAAAGTCATGGTGGGCTTTCCCATCACTATCCCCCTGGAAGTGGCCTTCCTTATGGTTGAATCTCGGGTTTCCAGCCACTCGTTCAGGCATTTAGAGAAGAAGATGTTGAACTCCTTGGCATGTGAGTATAATTCGGTTCCGGCTTTCTTAAGTGTCTTGTCAATTACTGCAGCACACTCTTGAAACATTGTTATCTTGGCTTTATAAAGGTGCCTGTCTTTATCTAATATTTTTGTAACTTGGTCCTGGTACTCTGAGAAAGAGGCTTTACTCCCTGTATCGCGTTTAATGGCTTGGTTTGTAGAGATTTCGTTCAATTGAGGTCGTTTCATTCTAGTGGTGCTGTCGTCATTGACATTTCGGGATTTTTCTTTCAGAGGGGAAACAATGGTGAAGTCAGCCTCGGAGACCTGTGACGGGCTGCTGCTGATGTCGTCAAGCAGCGCCTGGCGGAGCCTGCTCGAAGTTGCCGGGCCGTATGTCTTTCTAGGGGCCGGGGATTTAAGCACGCCGGTGGTCGTCTTTGGGACGGCCACGGGCGTGTTTGGGGGCCCGTTGTGGAAGGGTGCCATCCGGCTTATGGAAAAAATTCTCTTGTGCCTTATGTCACGGGGCAAGCAGAAGGTTTGGACGAAGATGCCCAGCAATGACCTCTGTTGAAAAAAAATGCTTTGGTGAGGAGGGGAAGAAAGATCTGCAGCACCAGCTCAATCTGGTGGTGGGATAGATCCCAAATCCCGACCCACAATTATCTAGCTATCTGTGCGGCGGCAACGTGTCTGCCTTACCAACCACCTGATAGATAGTTGATCCATCACACCTTAGCAAAGATAGTTAATTACTGAAAGAAGTGCCTGCTTTAGCGCAGATATTGAGGTTGCGCCCTAACAGCGGGGCGCCAAGAAAAATAGTTGTTTTTTGGGGGGTGCTTTTTTCCCCCCTACAGTCCTACAGAAAGACACTACTATAATACAATGCTCAAGGATAGATTACACTAATTCTGCACATGCCATACAGAGGTTCTAGTTTTTGCTAAGGGGCACTTGATCTTACCCCTGTGTCGACTTGGTGTGGAACCGCGGTGTTAAAGGGGCTAAATGAATCCTTTCAGCTAATAATAGTGGTGCAGAGTGTCGACGGAATGGCTATTGCTAGAAAAAGTCTATTGTACAGAGCCGGACAAGCATCCGGTATCATACATACTCTATTAGGATCGAATCCTTTCACCTATGACAAGCGGGATTGGAGTAGCTTATCCCTAAAATTGCCAGATTAAAATAGGTATGATGAATCCTGACCACTGGAGGAACGGGTGAGAGAGTATGTGGCGGTTGAAAGGTTTGGAAAAAGAATCGTGTGTGTCGGTCAGTAGCTCGCGAGTTGGCCTTTGATGATGCCAAAAAATAATTCTATCGGTATAGAAATAACATGGAAGACAGAAAACCCCAGCAGGTGGCGCTGTACAGATGCTACTTATAGGTCAGCTAAGCTGTATACTGATAGCAATGCCGCCCTCTCAAGAGAAGGCGTCTCTCAAGAAGCGATTTATTTTATTATCAAGCTCTTCTTAAGAAGCGTCAATTGAAATACTCTCGCCAACAACACCGTGTACGTATTCCAATATTTCTCTACTCAAGCCAGCTTCTACCGATACACGCGCAAGATGGTCATTGTGTCAATACTGATCTCCGTGCTTGCTGGCGCCCTGCCGGTCTTCGCATCTGTCATTCCCGGGCTGCGCATAGCATCGTACCACGCGACAGGTTCGCGGAGCCCAAGGGCCTCTGCCTTTTGGTAGCTTTCCAAGATGCTGATAAATCACAAGTCTTGTTGTAATCTATCAGTGGTCTGGGTGGTGCTTGATTAAAAGGTCGGATGGAAAGGATTCCATCCGAGATGTATCTAAATACCTAAATTACAGTGGTGAGGTACCTGGGGCAACAAAGGGTTGCCAGGCAGCCTTCATTAGGTAACCTCCAACATATCTGGTGGGGTTACCAGAATACTCCATATGGGTCCATGCACTGGATCCACAGGCCTCTGCGAGCAAGACGATAACGTACAGCAGTACTTGGGCTACATCAAAGTCGCGGACGATACCGAGTTGTTCTTCTGGTACGCAAAGCCCAGATCTGACTTACGCACTGCTAATCATGACGACTTCGACGCAGGTATGTCAAAGCCCGCGAGAACGCAGAAGACAAACCACTCGTGGCATCGTTTGGTGGAGGTCCTGGCAGTTCCAGCACTAGGTCTATGCTCCAGAGCGGCCCTTGTGACTTCCAAGACAAGAAAGATGAGCCAACGCGGTCCGGCACGACCTTAAACTATATTTGAGACTTAATATTTGCGGGATGGAATTTATATTTAGCAAACTGATAACTAACTATTTGTGACGTTCTAATACGGTACAGGTATGTCCGAATGAGACAGAGCCCTGGAGCCCGTGGAACGTCAGGTATATCTACCACCATAGAATATTCAGTTGCCATCCTGAATATTCCACATCCTTTTGTGGGGAGCTTAGCCAATTGGTGTGGTGGTCAATTGCTATTCTGTGACACTATTAGTAACCCTGTCCGCTTTATATTCCTTTCGACCTAGTCGCCTTATATCGGCCCTTATTTAACTTACGCCTTTTATTTCTTTTTAATTAGCTTTTTGTTGCTGTCTTTAAGCTGCAGTTAAACGTTTTTAATATAATCCGTTCTAAAACACAAAATTATATTAGCCTTAAACTTTTTTAATTATCAGGTTACGTTGCTATTAAGATTATTTATTTAAACGTTATTAAATATAACGTTAAATTGCTATACATTGCAAAAAAACCGGTAATTCATATTTTAATTAATAATATAACTACCGTTTTCTTAAAACGTATCGTTATAGTAATCAATATAAAGATAATTTATTTAATTAACTTTATACTATTACGAAATAATTTAAATATTAACTTATAATAAACTAAGCTTTTATAAAGGTATTGGTTTTTTAAACTTCTTTAAAAAAAAGACAAACCTTTAAAACCCGCTTAAAAGCCAGCAACTTATTTTTAAGCTATAACGTAACTTAATGTGATATCCGGCACGTTTTAACGACATTTCATTAAATTAATTAATTTTTATTATTATTAAGTAAAGTTTAGCTTTATAAGCGAAGCTTTGTGCATATATTGTTTGGTATATAAAGTATCCGCTTAAGCCTATAAACCTCATCCGTAGTAAAGGTTTTAATAAATTAGAATAATTTATAACGTTTTATTTTAATAAACTTAACGTATAGTACGAAAACTTTGCTTTTTATTATCTTTTAAGGTATTTAGGCTTAGCTCCTCCCTTCGGTCGAAAAGCCTAAAAAAATAAAACCAAATCGAAATAAGCCAGTGCGTAACGAAAACAGTTACACTTCAGCCGCAAACATAATCTATATAGATCAGCCTGCCGATATTGGATATTCCAAGGGCAGCAAAGACGTGATCGAGAAGATGGACAGAACCGAGAAGGCCGCTCTGTTGGTCTGGAAATTCTTCCAGGAGCTTTACGGCACTGACGAGTTCAAGAAGTACAAATACCGCGACGTTGGGATCATGACCGCGTCGTATGGGGGCCACTGGGGTCCCGCATTCGCCGAGTACATCTTGAACCAAAACAAGAACTCTAAAGTTATTCCTATTCGTCTTCGATGGCTTGGTGTCGACGGGGGTCAGTTTGACCTAGGCATTGCGACAAGAGCAGAGCTCGAATACGCTTATAACAACCCGTTAAAGGACCTCATCACAAAACAGGAGGACTATGATAAACTAAACAAAGCTTACGAGGAAGAATGTGCCCCCCTCTTGAAAAATTGCGCGGAAACAGGAGACGACAGCGACTGCAGCAAAGCCGAACTCGACTGTCCCAACGCAGTTGAAGACGAGATTTGGCAGCAAATGGGTCTGGACTTTAGCCTGTACTGTACGATGTGACGCAGCCCCGAAAGAGCACAGGTAAGAACTTTGAGGTGGATTACATATCGCGGGAAGACACCAAAGAAAAACTCGGTGCAGACCAGAACTACGTGCCATTTAGTGAGGAGATCTTCGATCAGTTCTGGAAGAAAGACGATGGTAAGTTACCCCAACAAGGCCTTCGGGACTGGGTCAAACTGCTAACGGCTAACTTACACAGGTGCTCGCTCGGCGTTGCCCCAGCTCAGCCGAGTCGCATCGGCAGGAGTGGCCATCATGTTGACCAGCGGCGACGCAGAGTAAGTCACTTTCCAGCATCGACGCCCACGCTGACGTGTTACTGACAACATGTTGCCTGCAGCTACATCTGTAACCACATCGGCGTCCAGGAGACGGCTGAGAGCATCGAGTTCAGCGGCCAAGCCAAGTTCAAGGAGAAGGGAGTGTCCGACTTCAAGGTGGATGGTGAGGTTTACGGGAGTTACAAAACAGAAGGCAAAGTCTCGTTCTTGAAAGTCAAGAATGCAGGACACGGCATCGCTGCCTTTCGTAAGCCATCCTTCCCTCCGACGATATGTCAGTCATGTTTCTAACCTGGAGCAGAGCCCAAAGCCGCGCTGGCCGCTTTCACGCGGTTTCTAGTCGACGGCCACTTATAAGCTCTGCAAACAGTATGGTCGAGTTGAGGAAGACACAGAGGCTGGCTTGACATGTACAGGTCAGCTTCGGAATAGTGTGCAGTGGGCTGGTCACTGAATGTTGGGATACCTTGCTTTTTGTTTCATCAATAAAATCCAGCCGCATTCGGAGGTGCGCCCTCCAAGCAGAAGCCCTAGAGCAAAGACTGATGAAAGAAGAGGTCTAAACAACATATCTGTGTACATATGCCTGAATGATGTCCATGTACTGGGAAGCCGGAGTCCGGGTGTCCGGATCTTGGTTCGGGGAATGAACCGCGATTTCACCATCTCCACAATGGCCGGGCTCACACCAGCCGGCAATGTGGTCCCGGATAGTGCGATGTGCAGGATACGATATCCAAGTTGGGCGTGGTCGTGAGTGTTTGTTGTTCGGGATATAAAATTTGACAGTGAGATCAACTGACCCAAACCACATAGTTTATCGTCAGTACCAAAGTGGGTTGACTCCTGGTTGACTGACCGTGTGATGCATATGCATATGCATAGTTCGTGGGTATTGCATTAGCATCTGCACAGATAGGTATGTAGACGGTAGAGGCAGGTAGGGATGTGCCTTGTGGTAGCGGTATCCAGAATAAGGACCAGGGTCACGAATGGTGGCTGTTGGTCTGTATTCTGGAAGTTGCTTGATTGAAAGAAGGGATGGGTGGTGTCCCCATCCCAGAAGTAGCTATCATCCCAGTTGGGTACGAATCTGGTACAAATGGGTACCAGTTGGGCTCCAAGGTACCTTGTACCCTGGTCCGTGACCCATCCGTCATTGTGGCTGGAAAATGGGTTGAGGAGCCACAGGGACGCACGGAAGCGACGATGGGAAACAGTTATCGGGCATGATGCAAGATCGTAGATGATGCTACCTTCCAAATCTTTGTTAGCGGCTGCCACATCGACATGACCTTGGGTCGACGCTAAGATGACGGGTCTACGGTTGACGGTAGCCAACAGTCAGCAGCAACAACAACAACAACAACATTGCATACCTTATTACCTACCTCCTCGAGAGATGCACTAAAAGAAGGGCGACCAACGTAGACAAAATCGAAAAGGCTGAGAACACCGTTGATGGACCCTTTCTCGCCTCATTACTGTAAATGAGGAATACAAGGCGACATGGATGGCTAGGGTGCTGAGGCTTGAATGTTTCAGAGCCCAGGCCCGTCTGCGCCTTCCAAGTTCCGTCATTTCGAGGTCCAACGTGCATCCATGGATGCCCGAGTCCACCTTCTCCATCAGTGATCCCCGGCCCTTCTAAGTTCTGACAAGTTACAACAACAATCTGCCTCCATCTCCTCATTCCCATCTTGACTTCTTTCAGCCGGCCGACAGCTTTGGTTCTATTCAACGCCTCGCGACAGTGTTGCGACCATCGGCCATTTGTATTCGCATTAAGAATTTCACTTTTTTTCTTCCGCCGCCTTCTCCGTCGATCAGTACCTTTCCAACCGCACCCCGCGGCCCCCCATCGTTCGGACTGTCATTCGTTCTGTCCGGGCTGCATACCTTACCTTACTCTTGTGTTGCGCATTGCGTCACTTGTTGTTGGTCAGCACATATCACCATAATCGCATCGAGTCACTCGTTGGACCAGGACAAAGGGACCCTGTGACGCGCGCAGGCTTACCAATCCGGGTTCCTCAAACGGCGCCTTTACTTCATTGCGTGTCTGCATCCGCTCCCGCCTGCAGTTTTGTCTTCCGCCTGCGGTTAGCTTGGATGAGAACGCACCCACCCCAACAACCTCGTCAGCATGCATCGCGCGTCCTTAGACTTGACCGATCCTTCTCGGAATCTTGAGGAATCCGTTGGCACACCGAATCCCACCTCGCCAGACCCCGACCCAGACCTCGAGATGACTTTGAATTCGGAGGAAGAGGACGGTAGAATATACACCCCGCCCCCTCACATTGCCGCCCGATTCTACCGACCGAGCCAGAATCGTCGAAAAGACTCGGCCGCCTCGTCGCGACGCAACTCCATCTCATCGGTCCCATCGCGCTCCTCGCACGGCTTCAACCACCATGGCGGCCCGCAGAGCAAGTACATTGCCCAGCAGTTGCGCCGTGCCTCTATACTCGAAGACCGCAAAGCGCGACTCGCCGACAGAGCCGCGCATGCTGAGAAGGTCCGATTAAGGGCCGCCAATGCGAGGGCTGCCCATCAGAAGAATTCGAACTCCGAAGAGCGTGCCTTGGCAGCCGCCCAAGCACGCGAGAAGAACCTTGCCGAAATCGTGGCCGCCTGCGCCGAAGAGGTCAAACGCGCGAAGGCAGTGGCCGAGAACATGAAGGAGAAGAGAGAACAGGAGTTGCGCAAACTGAAACTGCAGATGGAAGAGCGTCTCGCCGAGGCTGAAAAGAGAAGGGAAGAACTACGGAGTCGTCAAGCCACGAGACGGTCAAGGGGTCAGAGTATGATGACTAGGAAATCTGGCGACGAATGCGCCGGCTCCGAGGAAGAAGACCAAGAGATAGCGAGCGTGAGCGATGACACGCCCATGAGTGACGATGTCGCCGTGTCTAAGATCCAATGGTGGTGGAGAGGCATGTTGAGGAGAAAGGCCGTCCGTGACTTCTGGGAGCTAGGCCTCAATATCGACGGGGTTAGGGAGACTTCTTTCGAGAAAGTGGTCGAGCTTCTGGCCCAGGAGAAGGTGCTCATGGTGACGGCACAGGTCCTCCGCATCTGTGGCCTGAGTGAAGGGGACGCAGGATCCGTCGACGAAATGGTGGCCGTACGCACCTTTCTGAGTGCCTTCCTCATTCTCGGACACCCGACTCAGGTGCTCAGCAATAAAGACCACAAAGGAGAACAGGAGCAGGTTGGATCTTCTCAAGGGCTACCCATACCTCGTGATGATCTGGCTAATCCGCAGTTACAGGATCTTGTCGCCAAGGCACGAGACTTGCTAATATCCTTCGAGACCATCCTCTCGCGGCTGACTCTGACCAACCACTACACGCCGCCGCCGGCCCTGCAAGGAGCTCTGCCCGAGGCTTACGCCACTTTCCACAATGCCTTCATCGCATGGAAGACTCGTGACTCCAACGCGTTGGTCGCAGTCATGATATTGCAATTCGTGGAACTAGACGCAATACTCCAGACAGTCAAGGACCGAACCGAAGAGGTTGTAACCGAATCTTATCGACAGAGTATTAAGGACAATCAGTTGATGCTTATGGTACGGATCAAGCGACTTGCGGGCGCCCAACAGGGAAAGAAGATGATATTCGACGCCGTGAAACAGGCGAGGCAGGCCAGAGCAGCAAAGAAGCCGGCTGGGGACACGAAGCCGAGAGTTGCAGAACACTCTTTGGGCAGTGGCGGTCCCTCATTGGCCGACGATGCCACCGCAGACCATGTTGTGTCGTCTCAACTTCAAACGCTTACGCCTCCGCCGACTCCGCCAAGCAAGAAAGAATTAAAGCAAAGTATTCTACAGTCGAGCTACCCTCCGATACTGCCCGATAATCGAGTCATTGTGCACGAGTTGGCAATCAATCGCGAATACCGTATCGAGTATCAACATTTTCAAGAACAGCACAAGTTGCGGATGGAGCCGCTCTTCAAGGATCTGAGATCAGGTCCAAGGAACGAGGAAAAGGAATTCCAATACCTCGTTGTCATGGCCAATTATATACGAGACAGGCTACAGCACCTCGTAAAGCCCAGCCCTTCCATGCACACGTTCATCGGCGAAATTCTCGACACAGAAGTGGCTCAGCGGCAATTCTTGGCAGGCAGCTTTTCATATGAGAAGTTTTTCTCGTCGATGGGATCCCTCCTACCAAAGCTCTGCGCGCCAGTCCGAGATGAAGAAGTCAAGGACTTGGTCGAGAATAAGCTTAGCCAAGGTCATGTTGTTGATCGTTTGGAAGCACTCATCTCTTTCATTGATGTCATGCTTTACGACTACGCCAATTACATGCTGCAAGTGGCGGCGCCTAACCTGGCTGAGCATGCAGCTCCGTACGAGGCGAAGAGATTCGCTGAAGGACTGGACAACGGCACAATCACACTGACTCGGGCGGAGGCTTCGTGGCGTAATGCCCGTAATAAGGTGCACGCCGACGCGGCTCGTCGTGACCCTGAGGGCATCAATCATCCGCGATCACGACCAAGTCCCGACAAGATATACTGGCAGATGTTGTTGGACGAGTTTACACAACCTTCACCGCCAGCAGATACTATACCGGAGCCCCTGTCTCTTGATGCAAAGCGCCGTAGTCGCCTAGGTAGACAAACCCTGCGCATCGTCACCGCAGGGGCAATCCTGCTACAGTGCAAAAACATGCTCAAGCGCGACGTGCGAGCTCCGTGGAAGACGGAGGCAGGGCGCATATTTTCTGTTCTGGAATCGATGGATGACAGTACGAAGCCTCTCAACCAGTCCACAGCCGTTCATGGCATTATGGCAGCCCTCGAAGCCGGGCGCTCGATGCCGGCAGCAACCAAAACGCATCTGCAGGCTCTAGTAACCAAGGTCCTTTCAGCCGGTGCAGACGCTAAGAGCGACAACACAGGAACTAGAGAGCCAGTAGTGAGACTGCTCCTCACACGTGTAAGAGGGCATATGCTGGCCAGATTGCAAGCCGGCTCGGCCAGTGAGAAGGTCAAGGCCACAAGCGCTGCTAGTGAAAGGCTTGCAGGCCTTGGACTACCCGAGTTCGTAGAAAAAATACGGGAAATGGTTGACGAGATTGTCAGGGTCGGCGCTGTTGATCGGGATGCTCATGGTGTATGGTGGGAGAGCGTCGCTGAGAAGGTGGAGAAGGAGGAAGCTGCTGTGAGGACATCAGCATAATCTTGCATTAGCCAATGGCTACACAGCGGTCTTTGCTGTTTTGAAGCTGTGTGCATTATTGGGGGGCATTTCGCATGGCTCGGCTTTTCTTTCGCATGACATTTCTATCTGGCTTGGACTTGGGTTGGGACCGGCGTTCATGGGCGAGCATGGAATGACATACCTACCTAGGTAGTCGGGGATGGACACGACGTCAGATATCGGACGTACCCAGTTGGGCACATTGCTGGGAAGGATACCATTTGCATCATCAACACATGTTAGGCTTGTATGATTGACCGCGCGACGGGCTCCTGGCCTGTAAGCTGGGTGTCTGAGCCGGTAGCTAGCGAAGATCATTGATAGCGAGAAGACATCAACTATGCATTTAAGGCTCTATTGGAGAACCTATCATAGTCACACCTGTCCATCTTGCAATGATGTGTGACTTGGTCTGGGAATAAAGAAGAACTACATAAATATTATGCGCGCACAAGTCTTGGACGTTCTAATGAATGAAGCTAGGCACGTGACTTCGCGGGGCAAACACCCCGAGCCAGAACGCGCTTGACGCCCTTTGTATACCTGCAGTTGAAGACCTCAGTCTGCCTGGAGACCGCCTGGATACTTACCTACTTCAGGCAGTGGCAGTAAATTGCAGCAAGCATCAGTTTGACTCAGTCTCGCAAAACCCAGACGCCAGACCAGAATGTGACAGCTCGCAATACATCAACCATTCGCAAGACTGGAGCAGACCCTGCCTCTGATCACCCATTCCTCGCAAGTCATCACCGCCACCGAGAGCCAGGATGTCAGAGTCGCAGTTCACGGGTAAGTTGACACATGTACATCCCGAGGCTCCCCTTCTCGTATTGACGATGCTTTACATAGCGGCGGACAAGATTCGCATTCTCATCGCGACAGATAACCATGTGGGTTATGATGAGCGGAACGCGATTCGCAAGGATGACAGCTGGCGCACGTTTGACGAGATCATGAATCTGGCCCGATCCGAAGATGTGAGTGTCTTTCGGCGAGCCTCACAATCGTTGCGTACTCACACCATACATAGGTTGACATGGTTCTGCTGGCCGGCGATCTCTTCCACGACAACAAGCCCTCCAGGTGGGCCATGTTCCACGTCATGCGAGCGCTCCGTCAAAACTGCCTTGGCATGAAACCTTGCGAGCTGCAATTCCTCAGCGATGCGAACGATGTCTTCGCGAGCTCCTTCCCACATGTCAACTACGAAGACCCTGATATCAACGTATCCATCCCGGTCTTCTCCATCCATGGCAACCACGACGATCCCAGCGGCGAAGGCAATTTCTGTTCCCTCGACTTGCTGCAGGTCGCCGGCCTTCTGAATTACTATGGTCGCAGCCCTGAAGCCGATAATATCGAAGTCAAGCCCGTCCTGCTCCAGAAGGGTCAGACCAAGCTGGCATTGTATGGGCTGAGCAACGTGCGAGATGAGCGCATGTTCCGGAACTTCCGGGAGCACAAGGTCAAGTGGTTCAGACCGAACCAACAGTCGAGCGACTGGTTCAATCTGCTCTCTGTTCACCAGAATCACCACGCCCACACTGCAACCAGCTACCTCCCAGAGAACATGCTGCCCGAGTGGCTCGATGTGGTCGTCTGGGGCCATGAGCACGAATGTCTGATCGATCCTCGTCACAATCCAGAAACCGGTTTTCATGTCATGCAACCAGGATCATCGGTCGCTACATCACTGATTCCAGGCGAGGCGGTGCCAAAACACGTTGCTGTGCTCAGCATTACTGGTAAGGACTTCTCGGTAGAGAAGCTCCGGTTGAAGACAGTCCGGCCTTTCGTCACTGCCGAAGTCACATTAGCGACCGACAAGAGATTCAAGGGCTTGGACAAGAAAAAGGAGAACCGGCAAGACATCACACGCCGATTGATCGATATCGTGGACGAGATGATTGAGGAGGCTAATGTAGAATGGGAGTCTTTACAAGAAGAGGGTTCCATCGAAGACTCTCGACCTGAGCCACTGATTCGACTGAAGGTCGAGTATACGGCACCAGAGGGTGGTAATTACGACATTGAGAACCCACAACGCTTCTCCAACCGATTTCAAGGAAGGGTCGCGAACACCAATGACGTGGTTCAGTACTATAAAAAGAAGACTGTGCAAAGTACGTATACGAGAATACAGTTCGGCCCGTGATACTAACGTCGAGCAGAGAGGGCGAAAGCCGACGGGGTTATCTCTGATGATGTGCTTGCGAGTCTTGAAGAGATGGACAGCATTCGAGTTGCAAAACTCGTCGAGGAATATCTGAGAGCCGAGTCGCTGAAGGTCCTTCCTCAAGCACCGTTCGGGGACGCAGTGACACAATTCGTCGACAAGGACGACAAGCATATTATAGAGCAGTTCGTGGGCGAATCTCTAGCGGAGCAGGTCAGAGACATGCTGTCACTGGAGGATGGGGACCTGGATGTCGACAGTGCAATGGAGAAATACAAGCAACTGCGCGAGCAACAGTTCGCCGCAGGATTACTGAAAAAGGGACCGAGACGCAGATACAAGCCAAAGCCAGATGAATGGGATTCCGATCTCGAAGGACACTGGCATGACAACCCGCAGGCCATTGACACCACAGCATCTGCTGCAGTGCCGACACACCCGGCTCCAACCCGAGGCCCAGGACGGAAGTCAGCGCGAGCGGTGGAAGATGACGAAGACGAAGATATGGATGACGTCGAAGAGACACCAGTTCCAAAGACGCGCGGCAGACCACCAAAGGCGGCCGCTGCCAAGCCGAAAGCTGCCCCCAAAGCGCCCGCGAAGAAGGCTCCTGCCAAAGGCGGCCGAGGCCGCAAGGCCCAAGTCGTGGAGGAAGATGAGGACGAAGACGAGGACACGTTCGTGGACGACGACGACGGCTTCGATCCTCCTGCACCGCCGCCGAAGCGCGCCACGAGAGCGGCCCCGGCGAGGTCACAGCCGTCTCGGGCCGCTGCCACTCCCGCCGCCGCCCCCAAGTCGCGGCAGACGAAGCTCAACTTCTCCCAGAAGACCTCGCAGCAGGCTATGGAGATCAGCGATGACGAGATCTCGGATGACCCCTTTGAGACGGCGCCTTCGGCGCGGTCCACCCGGAGACGCTGATGGTCGGTCGGTCACGGGAGAGGAGGAATCTGATGGTTTCGTTTGGTGTTGGTTCTATCAGGGTTTGGCGTACTGCGTGCATGCGTGGCACCTATACATCTGGGTGGCTGTGTTATATGATCATGGCATGAGGAAAATCACAGGCCTCTCAACTTGGTGCCTACTGAGGTAGTTTTGCTTACGTAGATGGAGGGTGGGAAGTTAATCTGTAAGGTAGTCTACGATGATTACGGATTGCATCTCTTGCCAGAGTAGATCGGATAGCTTATCCCTCATAGTAATACGTGGTGCAGAGCAGCGTATTGTCTGGTGTTTGACCTGCAGACACTTGGCAAGTGACTAACCTTTTCTTCTGTAACCTTCATTGAAACCACAGAAGTCTTTCTCCCTCTACATATAATTTGCCTTGCGCATGCAGAATGAGACGACGACGACGAGTTGCTATAAGCGAGCCACAGAGGCCTTACACTCATCACCTAAAGTGTCCTTGTTATGAATAAACCTCCCTCTGTAATGAGTCCAGTCACCAAGGTGCCACTTTCCGTATACTTTCCGTATATGTAATGCGCTCGAAGGTGCAGACTTCCCCAGCCGACATTCCGGCTTATCAGTCGCCCTATGCCCGTGATTCTCCGTCGCGGATCGATCGAGCACGAAAGCTTAAATCCCTAGCAGGCAGTTGGAGGTATGATCGAAGTTTGTGGCGTCGGCGCACGAGCTGTTCCAACGTTCACGTTTACGGTCTGAGCGGGATGGCGTCTTTTCAGCGTGTCCCGCGCTTCTTTTGAGATGGTCCGGATGTGCATACGTATACTCAGGAGCTCAGGAGTGAACAGTTCGATGGGACGGATTCGATGAAGGAGAAATCAGAGGTTTTTATTTAGTTCTTCTTTGGACATCAGGTCGTGGTCAGAACGAGGGGGCCTTCTCTGTCCTTCGCCCGAATCGAGTCCTGCCGAAGCTTGGCATAGTACTGCGCCATTCGTGTCGGTAAGGTAGGTATTCGACATCTTCAAGATGCGATACTATTCCCAACAACTTCAGGGAACCGGATAATGGGTTCCATCGTGAGCTGTTCCAAATGTAACGGCTTCCACGCCATGTCGCGTCATGGAGGTGGCGCAATGACCGTTGCTGTCTTCTTGGCGCACGAGCACCAGGAGTCGGTCGTCTGACGCTTCTGCCCAGGCACACCTTACGTCGTCCTCGTCTTCGTCCTTGTCCTCGTCCTCGCGTGGCGGGTCCCGACCAGTGTCGAAGCACGTTCGTATGATAGCTCTCGTATACCGTCGCATGGCAATCTATTTGTTGTCTACAGGGAAGCGCATACGGCCGGCCTATGGGTTTGGGTCTGTAATGGGCAGACAGTGATTAAATGGCCAAAGCCGTTCTCGATGGTCTCATGTAACTACCGGACGAAATGATCAACGAATTTCATCTCTACACCTTAAGTTATTCTGATGAGACTTGATCTTCCTCCTCCATCCCTGTTATCTCCTCGTGGTCGATTCAGGTGAACATGAGCTTGCATACTCTCAGTCCCAGCTTTGACGTTGGTTCTGCCCCTTTTAAACTTTCGGGAGACGTTTGCAAGCCATGGTCAGACTTGGTGAGGGCCCCTTTTAAGCTTTGCGAAGACGTTTGGATGCCATCAACGGACTTGGTGACGGGGGTGGACCCAGCTTGTTGCCTTTGGCCAAGGTCAGGCTGCCGGTTTCATGTGGCTCTGAGCCGTGTAACTTGTTTCTATTGCAGGATGTCATCTTGGTGTTCTGCATGGATGGATGGACAGATAAACGGACGGGATGTCTTGCCATCATGGTGGTATAATGCTTGCGCGCTGCCAGTCAATCCGGGTGCTATATTTCTAGAATACTGCTGCCAGTTGCGTCTCTCATATGTGTTCAGACCATCATATTTTGATCAGGCTGGGCTCCCACAGTCGCCTCTCCCTATCAATTCCCTGCCTGAACGATGCGGCTCCTCAACCCCTTACTCCTAATCACCCTGACACTCTCCATATCATCGACAACAGCATCGCCAGCAGCGGCCCCCAAGCCACCACCACCCAGCCGTCATGACAGCAGCAGCAGCAGCAACAACAACAACAACAACAACAACAACAACAACAACAACAACAACAACAACAACAACAACAACAAACCCAAATTCCCCACCAACCACCCCCCAGCCGAGCGCAAGTACTTTCACGAGCCAGGCGGCAGCCTCGAGATGGAGCACTACGACCAGCGGTTCTTCGCCAGCCGCGTGCCATACGAGGAGCACCGCCCCGTGCTGCAGCGCCTGATACGCTCGTACCTGACCACGTTCCGCGCGCTGGGCGTCGAGACGTGGCTCGCGCACGGCTCGCTGCTGGGCTGGTGGTGGAACGGGCGCATCATGCCGTGGGATTACGACCTCGACGTCCAGGTCAGCGTCGCGACGCTGCGGTATTTGGGAAGGCACTTTAATGGGAGTACGCTTGAGTATGTGTTTGGGAACGACACCATCACCACCACCCCGGGATCCGCGGACTTGAAGAACAGAGATGGAAATGAGGATGTTGGGAGTGGGAGCGAGCTTGGGGTTAAGGAGGTCAACACGACCTACCTCCTCGACATCAACCCGCACGCCACGGACCCCGGGCGCGGCAACGGCGCCAACGTCATCGATGCGCGCTGGATCGATATGAGTAATGGCATGTTCATCGACATCACGGGGCTGGCGGAGCGCGATGCCGAGCGGGCCCCGGGCGTGTGGAGCTGTAAGAATGGCCATGAGTACCGCACCACCCAGCTTTATCCCATGCGTAGAACGACGTTCGAGGGCGTCGAGGCCACCGTGCCGTTTGCGTTCGACGGGATCTTAGCGGAGGAGTATGGGGCTAAGAGTTTGGTGGCGACGGAGTGGGCGGGGTGAGTGATGTTGTCTTCCTTTTTTCTTTTTCGCTTCGTTTTCTTTCTCCTGTCCTCTCTCTGGCAGGCTTCTTCCTCTTGTTGCCGTTTTTGAAAGGGGGACTGAGCTAATGGCGAGATTGTGCAGGCATCGATGGGCGCCGGAGCTTCGAGAATGGGTCAAGGTCCCGAAGCCGCGGAAGAAGGACCCCAAGAAGCCGCAGACGGAGAAGGCGACGGAGAAGCCGCAGGAAGAGACGGCGATGGAGGAGCCGAAGGAGGATGAGAATGTCGTGATTAACGTCGAGGAAATGGCCGAGGAAAAGGTGGTGGCGCCGTAGACAAGGAGAGGGCGGCTTGCTTTGCACTCTCATGATACCGGCGTTGAAAACAGCATGTAGCCTCGGTGAACTCAAATGAGCGTGTCCGGAAAGATTGAACAGAGGCCACCTGGAATAGGAGGTCGGCGTTGGAGTTTGGATGTCTACATATCACCATGGCATATTGCCCAATAGTAATCAAGGTGTAGAATCTATAGCGTTAGGGGTATATAAGCAAGTCCGATCTTCGTTGGACCAGTCGCATTGGTTGTCTCGTATGCTATCCGGAACGCCATCGCAATGCAAGTCCATAACCCCAGTCCACAATGAAGACTCCATGCCCATCGCCGTTTGCGACAACTAAACCTTCTCAAAGACTCGAGATCGCCACTGACCTGTCACCAGACATTACGTTAGTGAGCCAAGGTCAAGTGTCTCTTGACCCAGAGGCCTCCTCGCCTGACTCGCCCTTTGCTTGTCTCTGCTTCTTCATCCGCTCTTCGGCGGCTTTGGCTATGATCTCGCGCCGACTCAAGGCACCTCCACCAGCGCTCGCACCAGCACCGGAGGATCCTCCTCCACCAAGCACGAACTCGCCACCCGTCCAGCCGCCGTGATCGTAAGCGACCTCCTCGCTAGACTCGTAGAACTCACTCTCATCCACGCTGTGCCCACCGCTCTTCCAGTCCGCCTTCGAGACCTCGCGCTCGATCTGATGGCACAAGTCCCAGAACTGGCGATCGTGCGGCCCGTGGACGTTGTGGGCCAGCTCATGACACAACGTGTTGCGGATGGTCTTGTAGTCACGGTACCCATCGTAGGCATCTGTCTGTAGCCGCAGTTCGATGACCTCGCCTTTGTTCCTGTTCAAGCCCAGAATGCGCGTTGTGCCCTCGTGGCTAGACTCGGTGTACGACAGCGGGTCCATCTCGGTCAGCAGGCCGACACTGAACTTGTGTGCGCGCATCGCAGTGCGGATTCCCGGGTCGGCCTTCAAGCGCTCGAGAAAGGCGAGCGAGCGCTGCGGGTTCGGTAGGTTCGGCAGCGGGCGCAGCGTCATAAATGTGTACTGGCTCTCCTCCTGCGCGCGCATCGGGTCGCGGCGCGAATACACCTTCGGAAGGTTGCGACGCGCGGAGGCGAGGTGGACTTCGCGCGCTGCAGCGCTCTGGGAGGCTGCGTTGAGAGATGCGATCTCGTCGCTGGACGTCCCGAGGAGCGTGATCTTCTTGCTTTCCAGGTCGGTGACAGGACGGTCACCAAAGGGCGCCTTGAGCATGCCCAGCTTCGATACCATGAGTTTCTGCTTGTCGGTCGGGATGTATAGGACATTTTGGATTTCGTTGGAGAGGTCGGTCAGGGTCGCATCGGGGAGCATGTCAAGTGTGTGCTGTTTGCCATGATGCGTGAACGTGATGGGAACCCTCGGCTCAGTGGCGAGGGCTTCTTGCTCTGTCATTGTAGCAGAGATGCGCAGGAGGCGGCTCACGGTGGCTAGCTTTGCGACGAGTGGACAAATGGACGGAGATCAACAGTTGTGTTGTTGAGTAACGAAGAGAAGCGAGAGACGATTCCTACCTTAGGTACCTAGGCTGCCCTAGGTTTGCGCGTACCAACAGTCTGATGATCAATGATTGTTGAAAGCCAGTGGAAGATGCCGGAAGCTGGAGATAGGCAGCTTTGTAATGGACGTCATCGCACGAAGGACCGGCTGGCTGCCCGGGCCCCTTTACCATGATAACCTCGTTGACTGCATGCATGGCCTCCCCTTAAAGTGCTACGCCGCATACCCACATGCAGCCCTCAAAAGTCACATGTTAGCAAAATTCCAGATTACTAGTGAGTAATTTCAAAATACTGGAATAAGCATATAGAATAAGCACCTTTAGCTTAATGTGTGCCTTGTGGTAGCGGTATCCAGAATAAGGACCAGGGTCACGAATGGTGGCTATTGGTCTGTATTCTGGAAGTTGCTTGATTGAAAGAAGGGATGGGTGGTGTCCCCATCCCAGAAGTAGCTATCATCCCAGTTGGGTACGAATCTGGTACAAATGGGTACCAGTTGGGCTCCAAGGTACCTTGTACCCTGGTCCGTGACCCATCCGTCATTATGGCTGGAAAATGGGTTGAGGAGCCACAAATGCACCACTCTTTATGCTTATTCCAGTGTGCTTATTACAATTCAACAATACCGTTCTTTACGGAGACTTATGAGGGTTTAGTGAAGCCTGGAGTTGCCAAGAGTTATTGGAAGGAAGCAGCCAATGATGATGGATGACGTCTGATCGCGGGCCGCCCCTGCAGCTTGCAGGTACCTCAACAAACCTTAATTCCCCCAAAAACTTAAAAGATTTCCACGTGGAAACACCCCAACGAGCCCGTCAAACCCGTCACCTCGAGCGGTCTTTCCTTGCTTCACCTATTTCAATTGAGCCCAGTCACTGGTCAGCCATTGTCGGTCAATTGATACTCAAGGAGCAACACAAAGCACCATGGCCGAACTGAAGCTGAAGGTGACCAACCGGTCCCGCAAGGGCCTTAAGGGTCTGCCCCCGACCCTCGAGCTGCCGAACGATGCCACCATCGAGCAGGCGAAGAAAGTCGTCGCCCGCGCCACCAGATACTCCGACTTCAACCAAATCGGCATCTTCGACCCGGTCGCCAAAAAGACCATCAAGGACAGAAATGCCCTGGTCCGCGACCAGGAGGTCATCATGAAGCACGGCGAGTTTCTCGTCAAGGACCTCGGTACGGACCAAATACCCCCCTACCCAACCAGCTGGCTGACTAGAATGATTCAACAGGGCCTCAGATCTCCTGGCGAGCCGTCTACGTCACCGAATACGTCGGGCCGCTGCTCTTCCACCTGCTCTTCGTCAGTGTGCGCAATACCCTCTACCCGGCCGTATACCCATACATCAAGTCCCTCGTGCCGGCACCCGCCTCCACCGACGGCGCTCTCTCGTTCACGCAAAAGACGGCCTTCGCTATGATCATGGCGCACTTCATCAAGCGCGAGCTCGAGGTCTCATTCGTGCACAAGTTCTCGGCCAATACGATGCCGGCGGCCTACATCGTGCGCAACTCCTTCTTCTACTGGGTGGCCGCAGGCCTGTTGGGCGCCCTCGAGATCTACGCGCCCTTCTCGCCTGCCGCGCTGGCCCGCACCCGCGCCATCGACTACCTGGGCCTCGCGCTGTACTTTTTTGGCCAGTACGGCACCGCCCGCGTCCACTGGTACCTGGCCTCGCTGCGCAAGCCCGGCGAGACGGCCCGCAAGATCCCGCGCGGCAACGGCTTCGAGCTCGTCACGTGCCCCAACTACATGTTCGAGGTGATCGCCTGGATCGGCATCATCCTCGTCACGCGCAGCCCCACACTCGTCGTGTTCATCGCTATTGGCATCTACTACATGTATATCTGGGGTGTCGGCAAGGAGAAGGCGTACCGCAAGGAGTTCGGCGACAAGTACAAGAAGAAGCGCTACGTCATGCTGCCTGGTCTGCTCTAGGCTGTGTGTGTGCATTGAGCAAGGACTGACGCCGTGTTCGTGCGAGGCTACGGAAGGAATCTTAGAACTGGGGTATTGGAGGATATGAACGTAGACGTCCGCCTTCGAAAAGGCTCATATCATAAGGTACACAAAACCATAATTGTTAAGCTATTAATAGAACCGACTTTTATAGACTTTGTCCTAAATGTCCGTTCCATGATATAACGAACCCTTAAGAATTCTCCGTACACGTAGTAATTGAAGTTTGGAATAATCATACTGGAATAAGCATAGAGCGTGGCATACTAGAATATGAGTGCTTATTCTAGGGTGCTTATTCCACTGTCTATATACTATCAAGGGGGGCGCTTTCAAGGTAAGACGAAATAAAGTAGCTGCTAAGCTGGATCAACGAGGTCAGTCCCCGAGGCAGTGTTGCTGTCGCCGGGGCCCTCGGATGGCATGTTGAAGTTCATGTATGGAGACCAGAACCACAGTTTGGATTCCGTCTGCTCCTTATTGGCCCCAGGCTCGCAGTACCGGTGCCCCTTGTAGGTAGGTCTCTTGGAGGCCCCGGCCAGAACAAGACCGTTTCCCACACGAAGGCCGGAAACAATATTACTCCATCGTGGGAATGGGCCGGCACGTAAAAGTATCTTAACTTCTAGTCTTTGATAGATGATGTTTAAACGGCTGATGTAAGTGCGCAAGCCATTTTACTCTTATTAATGCCCCGATAGATAGCCTTCCTTGAAGGACCAGATGGATGACCCCAAGGTCATACCGCCGCAACAACGGGGATGGGCCCGTGAGCGGGACTGACTGTACTTATTATCTTGAGACCTCCACAACCCTGCGATGCAGAGGCTCTGGGAGGCGTGGTTTGCACTACTGAGGAGCTACCCCCCACGTTAAAAACAAAACAAACAAACAAACAAACATACTCTTATTAATGCGGGCCTTTTACCCTAAGGGTGTTGCTTATTTATACCTAGCATGTCGAAGCAATTTTTTATGTAATGGCAAACGATAAAGAGGCTACTTCTACTAGCAGTAACTTTACTGGCGGTAATTCCATTGCCGGTGGCGGCGATGGTGGTAGGAAACACTCCGAAAGGTGCAAACATGTAAGCCCAGGCGCGGAGGGGGACTTACGGGTGTGATTGTATCGTCTACTCAGAGCCTCATCCACGCAGCTATAGATACACTGAACCTCCAAAAGTCTCCCCTCGTCCAGCAAGCAAGAGGCATGTTCATTGCAATGGAATAAGCGCTCTGGAATAAGCATTAAAAATAGCTTTGTGGACAACGCTGCTTATTCCAGGGTATTTATTCCATTTATGTAAATACAGACAGAGTAACCGCCATTGATAGAAGGATGCCTAAGGGCAAGAACGAGGACGAGGACAAAGACAAGGAGGAGAAGTAAGAAGAACAAGAAGGAAGAAGAAGAGGAGACCGATGTGCGTGGCCCTCCCGCGCCTGGCCGTCCTTCCTCAGCCGCCTTTCGTGATAGAGCGCAGAAAGCGATGGGAGTTTCGAGGATTTGGTAGGCATGTAGTCGTCCAAGGTGGTGGCTGGCATGGCGCTCACGAAGCGAGAACTTACAACATCTGGCGGCGCTGGCGTTGACGTTGGTTCCGGTGGTTGTTGCTGCTGCGGAGCGAAGTGGCTCTGCTTTCTTGACTTGAAGACTGTCCGCAGGACTGGGGAGTTTAGTATGTACATAATGGTTCCAGCCGGTCTCGCGGTATTCATCCTCTGTTGCCACCTTGGCTTCCAGCTTGATGTCCGCGAAGAAGAGGAGGAAGACACCTTTTCTTATTTCTATCATGACGAATGCGGGGTGATTATAGCAACCGACTGTGTATCACATTCCATCTCCTATGTACTTCGTTCTCAATATCGCCTGCTTCAAAATTTCATAATCTCGTCTACTCGTAACTCCCTCCACACCCCTATGTCCCGACCTTCAGAACATTCACTAGCCATGATCTTAAACCTACCTAACCTACAGCTCCGGCCGTTTCCTGTTGTCTAAACGCACCCGTTTCCGATGCGCCAGCGGAGGAAGCGGGTGGTCTCACGGTCTCCTCCGAAGGCTCGCTGGATCCAGTCCCAGTCCCTGGCACATCAACCTCCATCTCATCGAGGAGCGGCCCCTTGCCATTGTCCAACGACGACGCCTCTTGCGAGTCCGGTATCGACTGCTGACCTGGAACTGAGACTGGGGCCGTGTTGTGCATGTCCGTCGCCATAGCCTCAGTCAGGCTCGCAAGAGCCGCTTCATCGACCAGGGCCCTACCGTTGTTGCGTTGATCCGAAGCCGGCGGCTCGTCCGTCCCGTCCATGGCGACGTCCCCATCTCCATCCCTCCGGGATCCGTTCCTAGCTCTCTCCTGCTCCCGCCTATTACCACCACCACCCACACTCCCCCTCCGACTCCCCTCCCTACTCCCACCACTCTCACTCCCCGACCAACTCCCACTACCCCCACTCCCACTCCCACTCAAACTCCCACTACACTCACTCCCACTACAACTCCCACGCCTAACCAACCTAACCGTCTCCTCAAGCACCAAAAAATCCCGCTCCAAAACCTCAGCCCAGTTCTGCACATTACCAAGCTCCTTGATGCGGCGCCCGGCATCGCGCGCCACGGCGGCGAGCTTGTCGTTCTCGCGGCGCAGGCCCTCGGTCGCGCGCGCCACGTCCTTTTCTTGTTTCGTGAGCGCCACGGCGTTGGAGTGTAGCAGCCCCGCGCGCGATTGTAGCTCGCTGTCTAGCATGTTGGACACGGAGGCTACTAGGGCGGCGCGGGCTTCGGCTATGTGGAGTTGGGTGGATTGGGAGGGGAGGGTTGGGTTTAGGAGGTTGGTGCTGGTGGTGGTGGTTGTTGTGGTTGTAGGGGTGGTGGCCACGGCGGCGCTGGCGGTGGACGGGCCTGGGCTGGCTTGGGTGGTGATGGTGGTGGCTGTGGCTGTAGGTGGAGCGGTGGTGCTCCGGGATGCGGACGCGGAGGCCGAGGCAGAGAGAGACGGCTGGGGTCCTGGGTTTGACGGGCCGAAGGAGGGTGACGAGAGCGGCGGGCTGGAAGTAGCCTTGGACGCCGCCGCCTGGCTCGGAGGTGACGCCGTGCTGGAGCCCGGAACTCCGGCAGCGGAGTGGTTGACCGGCGGCTGTGCGGCCGCCGCGCTTAAGGTTTCCGCAGGTGCTGACATGGCGTCCGGGGACATATCTCACGGTATTGCAAGCGAGCCCCGGGGACACAGGGCTAGCGAACGGCGCGAGTCGGGTTTGATGTTGATGACAGTAGTGATGCCGAACCGGTCAACTGGATGAGAAGGTCCGCCGGATGAAACGAAGCTGTGAGAAGGTCGTCTTCAGCTTGAGCTCTAGAGAAATTGAGGGTTGCATATGCGGGGTTGATCGAGCCCGATTGGATGGGCGTATATCACTTGCATGCGACAACCCCAGCAGCTTCCCTATTTGTTGACTGTGCGGCACATTACTGGCAGATATACACGTACACGTACGAACCCGACCTGCTGCAGAAGCAGAAGCGAGCGGCATAGGCGGGCATCATTCATAGTCATCCCAATGAACGTCTAAAAGTCCTTCTTCCTTCTGCGTGCTGACCCACTCCTCGCTCGCCAGACCTCGGAGGAAACGCCGTTGGAGGTCTGCACTGTCCTTGTGCCAGTCACAGGCATAGTCGCACGCCGGTGTGTCCGTCTCACTGAAATACTTGCATATCATCTTGTGGCGACAGGCATTGACGCTTTCGCAGTACTCGACGAGCACCTGGAGGCTCTTGGCCCTTGCCTCGAAGTTGGGTTTGTCGGCGCCTCGGTCACGCATTATCAAGTTGCTGACTCGGTCTCGGTCCTCGCGGCTGTAGTACAAGAAGCAGTATGCCGCGTTACCGTCACGCCCGGCCCGGCCAGCCTCTTGGTAGTATCCTTCGAATGACTTGGGCAGTCTCCAGTGTACCACGAAGCGGACGTTATTCTTGTCAATCCCCATACCAAAAGCTGTCGTGGCGACGATGATATCGTAGCCAGGCTCGTTGGAAACCCACTTGGCTAGGGTTTCCTCTTTGGTTTCCTTGGACAGCTTTGCGTGAAACGGCTTGGCTCCAATTCCTTCCTGTCGGAGCTGATTGGCAAGGCTCTCACATTCGACACGGGATATAGTATAGATGATGCCAGGGACGTTGTCAGGTCGCTCACCGACAGCGGATAGTTCGCTCCTTCGGGTGTCCTCCGCTCTTCGCTTGTATACACTCCGAATCCACTTCAAGAAGTTTTCAATCCGCTGATCGTCCTCGTCCCGTGTGAAGCGGATCTCGAAGTGAAGGTTTGGACGAAAGGCGGTCATTGTAAACGACTTAAACCGGTCCGGCTTCGTATCTAGTCCCAGCGTATGAAGCAGGTCTTTGCGTACCAGATGATTCGCAGTGGCAGTCAGACACATGATGGGTACATCTGGGAATGACTCGCGGAACCAGGACAATCGCTTGAAGTCCTTGCGGAAGTCGTGACCCCATTCTGAGATGCAGTGGGCTTCATCAATGGCAATACGGGCCAGCTCCCGTTGCTCGTAGACCACATTGAGTCTCTCCCGGAAGCGGTCTGTAGCACACAGCTCGGGAGTGACGTAAAGCAAGCGGGTGCGTGGATGACCGGTCTTCAGGTCGTTCATGATGCGGTCTCTTTCTTGTATGGGCGTGTTGCTGTTGAACGAGCTGGCGTCGATACCGGCAGCTCGCAATGCTTCCACCTGGTTCATCATGAGACTCAACAAGGGGGAAACCACTATGGTGACTGCGAACGAGGTTAGAGCCATATTACTCTATGACCTTGAACGATTTGGGGGTGTAAACGTACTGCCATGGTCCACGACAGCGGGAAGCTGGAAGCAGAGACTCTTGCCAAATGAGGTGGCAGCTTGGACGAAGACATCATTGCCATCGAGGGCGGCTCGGATGATGTCCCGTTGGAAGGGCCGAAAGCCGGCCTTGTTGAACTGGCGGCGTAAGGTGAAGTCGAGGTCGGGAAGGATGAAGGAGTTTGACCTGACCAGAGCTGGCATCTTGAAAGCCGGTTAGGGTTGGCTAGAATTCAATGTCGACTAGAGTCATCCGTTGCCAGGTAGGCACCCAAGTCTGAGGTGTTGTCCAATTGATGCAGGCTGCCACATAAACATGACCCCCACGCAAAGTGTCTGCATTATCGAGATTCTTTGGATCTACCTCATCGATCTGACTGTGATCCGCAGGATGGGCAAGCGCGGCAGATCTAGACGAAGTCAATCGACTGTGGGGGTTCGGCTTTGGACTTTGAGTTCGCCTGACAGTGGCACCTCCCGCATATCAAGGACGACACTGCCTTCAATGTTGTGGAAGAACCCAAAAGACTTCCAGGTGGGAGGAGCCTCAGTTGCCACGCCTTAGAGAACTGGCTCCTTTTAAGCCGCAGCAAAAGGGAAGCTTGGAGGGAGAAAAGCAGACACTCCAGTATACCAAGCGCTAATGTTGTTGGTCTGCCTCACCGTTGAAACATAATTCTTCAAGGCTAACTCTTAGGTCTTCACATCTTGAATGCTTCCAAAATTGATGATCCCGGGCGTCGCGTGGGAAGAACGTGCCGGTCTGGCCCCAGCAGCTAATTAAGCTTGGGTGGGCCTCAGGTCCCGGCTCGCCGGAAGGTCCGTGCATGGCATTCCCCGGCCCAGCCCCTTACCTAACGGCGGCACGACCCATTTAAATCTGGAGATGTTTGTACCTACCTCTCAGGCAGTTCAGGTAGGCACATCGAAACAATTACAGACTCAACTGCTGATAACCACCTGCATGTGCTGCATTCACCATGGACAACATTGAATGGAAACGCAGTACACCTCTGATATGAGCAGCTGGACATTAGAGACGATTCAGTAAGCCAATTGGCATCAACATCCACGACAGCCCGAGCTCATCCTCTGGTCCGCGTACATGCATGGTCCAATGTTTGGGGTCCTGAGTCGAATCAACCGTCAGATCACTTGAGTCAATCACACCACACAATAGACGAGAGGCGGCTAGCAACCAACATTGAATAGCTGCCAACATGAATGCGCATGAATAGTCCTTTGTTAGGTAGTCCAACACGCGCGAGAGAGAGTCAAGCACCACACAATAGACCGGAGGTACCTACATACATGTACATGACCCACAATACTTTCAACCCTCCAAAGGGCTGGGCTGGCTTGGCACTCTCGGACTGCCATCAAATCCACCTCTCTATCCCCTTTCCGTTGACATCCACACTGGCCCTCCATTCAGCCCTTCTTCTCGGCATCTGGCGTGACAAAGACACCAACAACGTTGATAAAAGCATTCACACGCCTGGTCCCTTGTGCGGTGCGCGAGCATTGTCCGATTGAAGCAACTTGGCTGGCCATTGCGCGCCTGCTCGCTCTACAGTACCCTCGACTCAGCATTCAGCGTGTTTCAAGTCTCCCACTGATTAGTAGTCTGATCAGACGTTATCGCCAAGAGCCGCCGTTGAAACACTCCCGTCGCTTTCCCACCTTCAAGCTCCTACCTACGTCCATCGCCAAACCCGTCCTCGCCTTTGGCACCGAGCCTGCTGGCCTGCTGAGAAACATCCAAACCGACCTGCCTGCGCCTCCACCCTTCGCCGAGGTGCAGCGCCTCGCGAATCCTCCACCCTTCGCTCAACATCATCGCCGCGTCTCTGGTCATGACGACACGAATGTCATGATCAGCTCGCCCATCTTCCCGCTGCAACTGGCTTGAACGCATCGCATTGTTGTCCGAGATCCGCCCGCTCCGGACGGCACGCCAGAACCCTGAAACGATCGACTCGACCTCTGTCTCGTGTCCAGAGTCCAGACGCACCATTCCATATCCTCCCGAACCCCTACGGTTGAACCATGAATATCATGTTTGATGGAATTGGCAACACCAGCATCCCGCCTCAATCAACCAATTCGAGCGGTTCGAACGGCTTGCCGAGAAATCCAGCACAAGCACTGCGACGAATGCCTCTCCCGGCAGCATCTATGCCTCCTCCACAGATGCCCCCGATGCCTGACAAGATCCACAAGGCTAAAAGCAGCGCCGGCTCGACACTGTCCGTATCTACTCCGATGTCTTCGGCTCAGGTCATCACCCTTGCTAGAGATGCTATGAATAGTGCGCTGCAAGACAATGAGACCCAAGCAGCCGAAGCCAGTGGTGTCAGCACTGAGCTCAAGCCTGGTGTTACCATTGATCTTAGCCGGATGAACATCCAGTCGCTGCCAGATGAGGTCGTAGATATCATCAAGCACGAACTGGAACGGTTAGTACCGCATCTCCGCCTCCCCTATCCCTTCCATAGTGCTGACCACTTCTTTCTGCCCTCGTACAGCCTAGCCCTCTCCCATAATAAACTCACCTCATTCCCAGTGAGATTCTCCGAGTGCACGTCGTTACGCTACCTCAACGTGAGGAACAACTTTATCCAGGAGTTTCCTTTATCGGTGAATAGCCCCTTGTCAGCCAAAAAAAGCAAATTCGCAAAGGCAACAGCAACAGGAGCTGACTCAGATTGTAGCTGTGTGACTTGAAATCACTAGAAATTTTGGATCTAGGGAGAAACAAGATCCGCGTACTTCCTCCCGAGATTGCAAAACTCTCCTCGCTTAAGGTGCTTGCTGTGCAAAAGAATCGGATAGAAGAGCTCCCACTCTGTTTAGCCGATATGGGCTCGTTGCAGGTGCTGAAGCTGGACGGAAACAACATCACCTTTCCACCCAAGGAGGTGCTTCAAGTGCAAGCTAGTAGCCCCCCAAATGAAGGCTTCCTCAAGGAAAACGAGGTGGCCGAAGTAACAGTGACAGCGCACATCAAGAAGTATCTGAAGAAACGCGCACAGACGATCAATGGAAGAGAGAGGGAAGCGGAGAATGGCGGAGACGAATCCAGTGAAGGGACCGAGACACCGAGGATGCCGATAAGAAGGGTGGTTAGCGGCCGCTTTCCAGTGCGGGTGAACGGGAACGACATGTCGGATCTTCGATCACCAGCTATGCCACGACCTCCGCCGATACCATCTCGATCTCATGCTCGAGGTCTTTCGCAGCAGAGTACAGCGATCCGTAGACCTGGCGTCATGCCTCTCACGATCGGCAACCCGAATGAACGATTACGGTCGAACAGCGAGACGCTACTGCAGGCATCTAGAGCGGAACGTCCATCTGAGCGACACAGGCGTATGGGCATCGTGTCAAAAAAAGCCAATGAGTTGGGTACGCTGGATGAGACGCAGGCCAACAACCGATTCAGTCATTACCGGGGACTAAGTCACGGCTCGTCTATGACGGGCACAGTGAACACCCACGGTTCTCCATCGGCGATGAGCCCGAGTAGTCCTGCTGAGCCACTACTTCAACGACCCAACTACGTGCGGCGTCTCTCTGTGCTGCCCGAACAACGCCGAGAATCGAAAGTGTTCGATGCCATTGTTGAATCTGCCAAGGGCATCCTTTACGCCATCTTCCAGATTCACCCAATGATACAGCTTTTTACGCGACTAACCAGCGATGGTACAGCAAAGCGCTCCAGCCTCGAGATTGTCTTTTATAACACGAACGTCCATGTGGAAGAGCTCGAGCAAGAGATCCAGAAGCATGAAGTTGCTGTTGACAATGGTGGTTATGCGCATCGGGAGAACGAGAACGTCCAAAGAGCCGTTCTGACCTTGATAAATGCGTATAGCCACATATGTTCCCTTCTGGTGGGCAACATGGATACTATCGTGGACAATGGCGATCCTCGTTACATCCGAACGATGATGATGTTGCTATACAACAGTATCATGGAGCTTCGGGTCACTGCCTATGAGGCTTCAGCGGGTGTCACTGGATACGTCCCTAGCTATGGCAACCGTCGAGCCGAACTTAGCGACACGATCAAGCCGCACTCGCGCGAGAGCTCTGTGACCCCTACAGCTGGACGACCAGGTGGTAGGGTGCGACCCGGGGCTTTTGTTCATAACCTCAGCAACCTCCGGGTATCGACAGATGTAACAGTGCCATACCTCAATGGCACTGGTCGAACTGCGCAGATAACTTCCGCGACCCCTCGATCTGGGGAATCCTTCGCATCTACGAGCACTGATGGCAGGTATCCAGTGGACTACACAGCAGAAGAGCGACTCTTCGAGAGAATCTTTTTATCGTTACAGAAATCCACAGACCTCGTGATGCGGACGCTTCCAAGCTTCAATATGCAGTTTAATAATGGCAGGCGCAATGCCGAAGCTCAGCGAGCTCCGGATCACGTTGTGGAATGCTGGAGGGGCCTCATCGCTAAATGCACGATAACCATCAGGGAAACGGAGATGTTGAAAACCCGCTTGTCGCTAATCAAGTTGAAAGAGCCCGGCATCAGGACCGATCCTTTCTTCTGGAGCCTTTGTAAGAGCTTCATTGGCTCTTGGGCCGAGTATGGAAAGAGGTTGCAACATTCCATGGATCAGATTAAACTGCCCCTGGACATCAGGACGCGGCTTCGACCTATTCAAATCAGCGTAAAGGAGACGAATCAACTCATCACCATGTCACCATGGGCGTATCGCCTCAGGCAAGCTAACCATTTCTCCGATGCTGGCAGTCACTACTCGCCTAGTCACTATTCATCCAACTCTGCCGTCACGCAGATGTCACTGCCGATGACACCTCAAAGCGCAGCTCTAGGACCGGCGGTACAAGCGACCGTCCCGTCCACGCCGCAGAGTGCTTCTTTTTCCAGTGCCTTCCACGGGAACGTCTTTGAGCGGGCGGACGCGCTGATAAATATGGGAGGTCCATCGATGTCTCGCACGAATACCATGACCAGCAGCTCGTCCATGTCGTTGAGCTCAGTATCCTCGATGATGACTCCCATGGACGAGCGGCAAGGCTCGTCAACAATGTTGAGCCCCAACGGGAACGCAGGTCCCGCGAATTACCGCTATAATGGGGGAGGCAAGCCTGCATTTTAGGCGAATGTTGCCTTGTCCCTTCGTCAACGTATGCGCAGTCTCTAGCCATGCTACACAGCATCATGAGATCTACTCATACATCCACCCTTCGGCGCTTCCGGACAGCCAACTTCTGCTCGTAAACTGCCTCTTAGCAGTAGCAGCAGAGCCGAGTCTTTTAAACCGCCAGGAAAACAGCAGCCTGTGCAGTCAGATGCAGGCCGCATGATAAGTTTCGACCGGTGCCTTTGGATGTCGTCCTGGTTTGAAGGGCGCTATCTTTCTTGAGCCCGTTGCATATATCTGCTTGGAGTTTTGCACACAATTGGGGAATCGTTAGCGTGGAGACACAAATACTCATGGGCTGGTCTCATCAGGTGGCTCCGGGTAAGGAATCAAATAGCGTATATCCAGTCATCTAAATAGTCATCTAAATGTAAATTTTTAATGTTTAAACAAACACCAGTGTCTTCTCGCTACCTCTGCAGATGTCTACCTTGATGAAGGACTGTGATCGTCAATCTATACAAGCACTATTCAAAAGTAGGCACTGTTGAGCATGTGGCACAACCTCTGCTTGGTCCACTCGCCACCTGGGTGTCATGACTTTTCTACATGTCGTCTTACGTAATGTATTATGCTATATTTACTTTTGCGTTCTGTACATCTCTTCTAGATCAACGTTCCCAACCAGATCTTGGCTCCCGCCGCGAGATAAATATGTACCTCGGTAAGTAACTATACTCCAGAAGTCGCCACCCATCTTCTATACACATCTCATCTCTCTTTTCGAGTTCAACTAATCACTGCGACTTCCCCCCTCCCCGTCCCCCCGCCTTTCTACTTCAAAGTGACCAACTCCTCGGCGCTCGTAGGGTGGATGGCGATGCAAGAGTCGAGGTCCTTCTTGGTGGCGCCCATCTTGACGGCCACACCAAACCCTTGCAGCATCTCGCCCGAGCCGAGGCCCATGATGTGCAAACCCACAACCTTCTCGTCGGGCCCGGCGCAGATGACCTTGTACTTGGTCGGGCCCTTGTCCTCGGGGTCCATCATGGCGTAATACATGGCAGTAAAACTGGTGCTGTAGACCTTGAGGTTGTCGCGGCCGTACTTCTCGACGGCCTGCGGTTCCGTCAGGCCGATGCTGCCGACCTCGGGGTGCGCGAATACTACTGAGGGGATGTTGCTGTAGTCGACGCGCGCTGCGTTGAATTCGGGCGGTCCGAACAAGCGCTCGGCTAGGCGCCGGCCGGCCGCGATGGCTACGGGGGTTAGTTCGACCTTGCCACATACGTCGCCCAGCGCGAAGATGTTGTCGACGCTCGTGTTCTGGTAGTCGTCGGCGACGACGTAGCCCCTGTCGTCGAGCTTGACGCCCGCCTCCTCGAGCCCGATGCCGTGGCTCATGGGCGTGCGGCCGATGGCCCAGATCAGGTTGTCGATGCCCTCGACTTCTTGTCCTTCGCCGCTCTCGACGTCCTTGTAGTGGATCGTCAGCTTGCCGGTGCTCGGGTCCTTCTCGACTTTGGTGGGCGTCGACTCCTTGTGCAGCTTCACGCCGAGCCGCTCGTACTCGGCCGTCACGCCCTCCTGGATCATGGGGTCGAAGTTGCGCAGGAAGGTCTTGTGGCGGATGAACAGGTGCGTCTCGGCGCCGAGGGCGTTGAACATGCCGGCGAACTCGACGGCGATGTATCCCGCGCCCACGAGCGCCACCTTCTTGGGCGTGCGGTCGATGTCGAAGAAGCCATCACTATTAGTGCCGTGCTCGGCGCCCTCGACGCCGGAAGGCGCGTGCGTCGGCTCGCCGCCCGTCGCGATCAGGATCTTCTTGGCGCGCACGACGGACTTGGCGCCGTCGTCCTGCGTGATCTCGACCTCGTTTCTGTTTAGGAGTTTGGCCCACCCGTGCACGTACTCGACGCCGTCGTTGCCGAGGTTGCGCTCGTAGATGCCGTTGAGCCGCTTGATGTACGCGTCCCGCTTGTGCTTGAAGGTCTTGAAGTCGAAGGGCGCCGTTTCCTGTACTGAGAAGCCGTAGGCCTTGGCTGCGTGTATCGTCTCGGCTATGGCGGCGGCGTTGAAGGTCACTTTCTTGGGTACGCAACTGTTTGCACACAGGTACACCAAGTCAGCTCTTGTTTGTTTGTTTGTTTGTTTCTCTTCTCTCTTTCTTGCAACACGAGAAGTGTGTGGTAGGAGAACTTACCCGACGTTCACACACGTGCCTCCCAACCGGCTGGCCTCGACGATCATGGCCTTTGCGCCGAACTTGCCCGCGGCGGTGCGCGCCGACCCGAGGCCGCCGCTGCCGCCTCCGATGACCAGGTAGTCGGTCTCCTTCGATATGGGCGCCATGATGTGCGGGGTCGACGAGAAGTGGCGGGAAACCGAAGCTATTCGCAAAGCGGCCGTCCTGGAAGAGTAACGTATCGAAGTCGGAGCAGCAGTCGCAGCGGGTACTCGGCGCAGCAATAGGGCGAAAGCTTGCATTCCCTTTTATTGGAGGGGGAGAAGAGAGTATTTACAGACGGTTTGGGTGGTGGGGTGGTGATGACGTCTTTATAGCGGCGCTGGCGGGATGCGCGGCGGTAGGTGATGTATAATCAATGGATGGATGGGAATGCAAATGGAATTGCAGGGTGACAAGCGCCCGCTGCAAGGCTGCGATTCGGGATTCAGCTTAGATGGAATCAATGGAACCGTCTCGGGAATCGGGGAGTATGCCGCACGCTGATTTCAAAGCTGCGAATAGAATGGATATATTACCTAGTTATCCCGTGCTAGGATGAGCGTACGTATGCAACTACCGAACATCAAAGAGCAGAAAGACTGGAAGACCGTCTTGAAATGATCGGCACAAATCCAATTGTATGGGGCGAATGCAGGCGTCTCAAAGAATCGAGAGTCGAGAGTTGGTTTATAAGCAAGAAGGTGCAACGCAGCAGAATGCAGTGCAACGTCGTTTTGTCGTTTTGAAAAGAGGCTGTCCTGAGAACATTTGCATATCGATATAGGGGTATTCTGTATTTCAAATACAGGGGCCCCACCGACATGACAAAAACTCAGCCAGGGCCGGCAGGCACGGGGCTCCAAGCGGCAGATCCCGGCCGCTTTTCTTCTTCTGCGTGAGCATGCAATATGCACATACGCAAGTTGGATCGTCAGGAACGCGCAATGCAACATCGAGTTTGATATCACGCGACTTCACTTTCATGCCACCTGCGCAAAAATTCTATTGAGGCCGCAGAACACGGACATGTCAGCATAGCGTCATTTGGAATCAGCCTCTTCACCTGCATCAACTGCCAGCCCGGGAGAAAACCTTATTGGCTACCGGCGTTACCCCTGAGTCACCTGACATACTCATATACCACCTGCAGGAAGCACTACCTGGGTAGAGCCCATCTGGGGACGGAACCGGACAGGACAGCCCAGTCCAGTCGGCGGGAGGAGCTGGAGGAGAGGAGAGGGAGGGTGGGCTGGCAGGCGGGTGAACAAGTAGAATGCCACCATGGCTCCCACGCCCCAACCGCACGTCCTCGTGCCGCCGACACTGAAGAACGCCCAGCTCAAGCGGCTTGCCTTCCTCTGCGGGCTGCAGACGTCAGGACTGAAGCGCGAGCTCGTTGCGCGCCTCAACGCGGCATCGCAGGCTCGCGCCGCCGAGCTGACTACGGACCGCGGGCACGCCGCCACGCGCTCCGTCCTCAGCATTGACCTCGGCATCCGCAACCTGGCTCTGAGCCACCTGACGGCGCCGCCCATCGCGCTCCATTCCTCTTCTTCTTCTATTTTGCCGAGGAAGAGGAGGACCAAGGACAACAAGCCCACCAGTGTCAGTCAGAGCAGCCTAAGATGGCAGTGGATATCAGAACCCACGCGCCCACCCCAAGTCTACCTGCACGCCTGGCAGCACCGCGACATCTTCAAGGAGACGTCGCGCGACGGGGGGCTGGGCCTGCAGGCGGCGCGCCCCGACGGCAGCCTGGCGCCGGACCCGTTCTCGCCGGCGTCGCTGGCGCTCGTGGCCGTGCGGCTCGTGCGCCAGGACCTGCTGAAACTCGATCCGGTGCCGACGCACGTCATCATCGAGCGTCAGCGGTTCCGCACCATGGGACGCGCTGCCGTGCCCGAGTGGACGCTGCGCGTGAATATGCTGGAGGCGATGCTGCACGCGAGCCTGCGCACGCTGCGCGAGCTGGGCTTGTGGCGCGGCGAGGTGCACTCGGTGCTGCCGCGGCGGACCGAGGACTTCTGGCTCGAGGGGGATAAATTCGCGGTGCCGGTCGCGGAGCGCGTACCTGAGGAGGCGCTCAGTCAAGATGGTGTGGATGTGGGCGGCGCCGCCGTTCTGAAAGCGGAGGTAGAGCTGGACAGTCCGATACTAGAAGCTGTATTCGGAGATGAAGAAGTCGACCTGAAGAAGGAGGGCAGACAGCGGAATCGCGAGCGGCTACTGCTGGACCGGGAGCGGAATAAGAACGCGGCGGACTACATCAGCACGCAGACCATGGCGCGGCGCACGAAGGGCGCCGGCAAGAAGCTCAAGATCGACATCCTGGGCAACTGGCTGGGGCGGGATAAGCTCATCGTGCCTAAGAGCCGTGCTGTGAAGGCGACGCTCAAGGCCTTCGACCAGCGCTGGAGGCGGACCGCCGGAGTGTACAGGCCCCTGCAGGCAGAGGAGGACGGGGATGAGCATGTCGACACAGACGGGTTCGTCCTTGGACCTGATGTCAAGCTTGATGACCTCACGGATAGCCTGCTGCAGGGTATGGCGTGGATGCGGTGGGAGGAGAACAAGACCCTTCTGTGCCAGGAGGGGGGCATCGAGAAGCTTCTGGAGCTGGGTACGGCGGAACCCGTCCTTGAAAGCACTTTCAGCCAGACAGGTCATAGGGCAGATCACAGCTCAGGTACCAGCGGGGACCACAGCGAAGGAAAACGCGAAACGGACAAACTTCCTGCACGAAGCATTGAGGATATAATGCTGGCGATGCGCGTCGAATGATGTATTTCGAATGTACAACACAAATATGAACAGATACCCACACGCGATTCATGGGTAGGTAACTTACTGAACAATGTGTCTAGAAGTCCTGGCCAGGACATGTCAGTTGAGGGCAATATCCGGATCGTGGGGACAGCGATATGGGCGGCACAGCGTTGTTGTCTTTTGTAAAGGTCTCATGGAAGCATCTCTTCAGTTCATAATCGAATAAGAGGGTAGAATCGAGAATCTTATTAATATAAGTTTATATTAATGTAATTTGAGCGCTGGGGCTCAGCCAGAGGGCACGCCGCTGAGACTAAACAGAGGACCAAAGGGACGAGATACAGCTGGGAAAAGGCGGAACGGCCTTCCAGTGCGCCAGCGAGAGGCGCCAGCTCGCCAGTGGCAGAGACGCCAGCGAGAAGGCGTCAGTACGATGAAGGCACCATCAGACTGAGGCCCAGCTGACCAACCGCGAGCATCACGTCGCCTTCGGCTTCGTGCGTGTGTGAGAGGGAGGGAGGGAGGGAGGAGACACGGCTCAGCAAACGCGTCATCCAGGGCGGCGCGGCGGGAGAGAGACGGCTCCAGAAGCGCGTCAGAGGTCGTCTTGACGAGTATTCGCCATCACGAGCACCCCAACCCCGAAGTCCACGGCGCTCGCAGCAGTCAGAGCTCAGCGCGTGGCGGTATACCTATCTACCTGATATCTGATGACACTGACGATCTAACGATCTGACCCAGACTGAAATCCATCGCGCCGTCGTCATTCCAGTGACTGTACCTGAGCATCCCTCCGAACCCTGGTCTGGCGACATTCTATTATAGCAAGCGGAGTTGGATGAATATGCCGACGGTTCAGGAACGGCTGACGGAGAGTCGGTCGTTCACCACGCCGACGCATCGACATAGGAAGCGGGAAGGATCTCGGTAGCTGGTAACTAGATGAGCCAACAATAGGATCACGAAGTGGACGGTCCTTTGATGGGCCTGCCCCCCATGTATTAACCCCACAACTATCATATCAGGCATATTGATGACATGACTTAAGCCTCAACTCCCGGGAGCTTGGTTTGGGTACATGGACGGCGGCCAAAATCAGCTCATAGTTTTCTATGACGCCTGGGCTGTTCAGGGCCCTTGAAGTAGCGGTATCCCGACATGTCGCCACTCTGAGAAAAGAAACCAGAGATCTATTCCATATTTTATTCCGGTTGTCAGATCAGCTCCTCATTCGAAGGGTTAAATCCATTGTTCGTGTGGTAGTTCCGGCCCACCGCTCTGCTATATTTGGCTTGGTGGCCAAGAGAATACAAAGATAGTCCCAGCGTGCTAGGTAGAGAATATGACCCGGGTGTCGGTTAAGACAGTGATGTAGCCCCGGTAGAGATTATATCTATAAAGTAGCAGCAGCAGACGAAGAGCCGTGACGAAACCGCCCCTAGGTTATTGTTGATTCTTAGCACAGGATATATCTCAGAATCATAGCCGCGACATTCCCAACATCTTTTCGTATTTCCGAGCCCTTCAACCTTGTTATTCAGGCGTCGAGGCATCATGTTCTTGCAAAATCTGGCATCATGGATCGCCTTCTCTCTTGCCGTTCCACTTGCTGCAGCATTCCAAAAAAATCACCCGTCGAAGAACGACAGAGGGCCTGACCAGGTCATCATGGACACTGATATGATACTGCTTGAGTAAGTAGCTTTCTCCTCCATGACGCGTGGTGCTGTGTGGACACTTGCTGAGGCTAATTTCGCAGCGACCCGATGGCCTTACAGGTGATGCTTGAGTGGGAAAGGGTTCAGGAAGACAAGACGCAACTGAAGGCGGTCAACATCAACGCAGACTCGAAGTACTCCGCCATGATGACCTGGGAGATTCTCAAGTATTACGCGCCCGACAAGTATAACGGGCACGACAAGTTGCCCGTGGGACTGAGACGACCGGTCACTGATTTCAAGTGGAACCCCACGACATTCAGGGATCTTTATGGTCCCAAAGTCGACATCGTCGGCGAAATAGCGAGCAAGATCGGAGCCGACTGGAGTGGCAGCGAGTCAGACGTCGAGGAAAAGACCGAGGACCCCGTTAAGGTCTATGAAGACATGTTAGAGAAAGCAGACGACCAGACCGTGACTATTCTGTCCATCGGGTTCTTCGATAACGTGAGTTTGAAACACACACCCCCCTCCTCCCCTGGCTAAGAATCACGAAGAGATGAGCTAAAGATGCCTTCCAGCTTTACGAGTTCATGCAGAAGCATGAAAACAGGGAGCTCATCAAGAAGAAGGTCTGGCGCATGCTCGTCATGGGCGGCGACAAGACCCCGTCGGGGAGTTCCCACAACTTCTACGCCCGGGAAGACGGCCACCCGGACCCCAGTAATGAGGCAGCCAAGAAGACAGCGTTTGTGTTCAATAACTGGCCCAGCGAAGTGCCCATATACTTCTCCGGTCTGGGTAAAAATGAACTCGTAGGCGTCAGACTACTAGAAGCAACCGGCCTCGACCAGGACCCGATCAGACGTGCGATCGTACTGTACAACGAGCCCTCCGAGCTCCTCACGAAGGAGAAGCCGGTCCACAGCTGCCCGGACGTCACGCTGGCATTCGCCGTCGGGGACGTCGACGAGGAGTGGTTCGAAGACCTGAACCCCCATGGGAAACTGAACATGATCGAGAAGAACGGCGAATATGATGGTAGCTATGAGTGGGACGATTCTTCGGACACCAAGAACAACATCTTGTTGGGCGTCAAGAGCGGGGAGACGAAGGACTTCGAGGGGAAGAGCCTCAAGTTGCCAGACGAGGTGGGAAGGCTGGTGGATACTTTTGTGCTGAAGGCTGCTCAAGATGCTGCTCATTAGTAGACTGGCCGATTATGGGCGCGTAGACTGCATAGTAGACGTTCGGATGAGTCGTAGAAAGGGAAAAGCCAAAACATATATCAAGGAATGCCTTCCAAGATAGCTGCTAACTAATGAGGAAACTAATCGAACGTTTACCCAGAACTTCCGTGCGTGCCCAATCCAAGTATTCCCCCCCCTGGATTGAATGTGAAGTGGCAACGAAGCAATCGAAGACCCTCATGATTATCGCTTGCGTATCTTGCTTTTGAAGTGATATAAGTCTAGTAATCTGTGCCCGGTGACTGGCGATGGTGGTAAGCTTCTCAACTTGCTTTCGAAATCCGGGCTGTTTATGGGGCTGCCGTGTTTAAGGATCAATATGATGAAGTGTTTATCACCGTCTTCCTCATAGACATGATCAAATCTTTCAGGTCGGTCTCGATCTGTCCCTAGAGCGTACTCGATTATGTGTACGACATCATCATAGTGGTCCCAGAGAAGTTTGAAGGCTTCCTCTGATGTCCCTGGGAGAGGCGTATCAAAGGGCTTAGTGGGTGTCAGCTTTTGGTGGGTGTTTTGGTGGATGTCTTTGTGGGTGTCTTGATGTGTCTGGTGCGGTGGTCGCCGCTGGGGTCGGATTCGCAATGAAGTACACGATATGAATGGATGTGTTTTTGATGATTCTTCTATATTAGCAATATCTGCGATGCCAAGGCCTTCTTATACACCAATGCCCTCTGGCAAACACCCCTGGCGACGGAAGGCTTTCACCACCTCGAGCGTCCTGGTTAGCAGAACAATGCATGCTGCCAACAAAAGAGACCGCGTGCGGTTGCCCCCGTGCGCGCCTAATCCAGATATGCCTCCTCTAAAATGAATGTAAAGGGGATGCCCGAAGCTGTTCAAGACCTTCATTATAACAGTTGTGCGTCGCGTTGCTCTGTCTGCACCGGATACAATTGGATACCATCCTCCGTCTTGACAATGAAGGAAAAGGACTCGAGTACCGTCTTCGCGTCGATTATCGATCGCTGATTGCTCAACACGCTTTTGAAAACCTCTGTGTCTATCGTGCTGCCTTCAGAGAGTTCCATTCGGATAACGTGGGCATCGGATATTGGAGACGGCCCGCTATGAGAAAGCATGCTGATTCGGCCTTGATTTTTCTCTCCGAGAGCCGACTTGAGGTAATCTAGGAATTCTTCACCCTTCATGCCGAAAGGTAACGCGGCTTCGTCTGGCCAGTATGGGTCAGACATATCCTGGGTTTGGCGGGTACTCTTCACGTGTCGTTTCGGGGGTGGCTGCTTGTGTCGCTTCGCGATGAAGTAGTCGATGTTGTCTGACTTGTCCTTGATGGATGTTCCATATCAGCAGTGCCCCCGTTTCTAAAGCCTTCTTACACACCGAGTGTCTGGCCAACACTTATGGGGGGCGGAAGGCGTTTGCCACCTCGCGGCGCGCTGGTCAGCAGAGCCAACAGTGTTGCCAACGCCAAAGGTCGCATGTGATTGCCTACTCCGCCTAGGGTACTCGGATAGATGGTCATGCGATGGCTGGTTCAGTCCAACGCACTCAAGAAACAGGTCAGACTGCTGGGTAGAGTCGAGCGTGACCGACTCTCGGCGGTATCAGAGCTGCGTTGGCCTCTATGGCATGTCAGCTCCCGGATTTGACACACGTTGGTAGCACATATCATCAACCCCGTGGGGAGGGTGATGCGCTCCAACGTCACGCACACCTGAATGCGGACACGCGTCTTTGTTTCGAGGCCCCCTGAACTATTTGTGGTGTAACGATGTCAAACGTCTCTTTGTTCTCCGTGTTGCTGCTGTTGGAAGAACTTCCCGTTGCTGTACGACGTTGGGGTGGATGGTCGTCGCTCCAACTGCTTGTACAACCGACCCACCTTCACATGCACATCCGTCGCTATATGTTGACGACCCAGGCCAGCTGCCCAACTCACTCCTACGGTACTCTTTGCTCTTTCGTCATTTCAAGACTCAAAGTAAGGGAGGGGATTAGACACTCCCGATCGAACGCAGACACAGTGAAACGGCATGTATCAAGGCAAAAGATGACAACCAAATTGATTAAACAAGCCTGACCAGCAAAGCTAAGTAAAGAACGGCGAAAACGGTTGCGCCCGTTACCCACAGAACCACTGCAACTTCCACGTCTACTCTAGTCCAGCGTCTTGCATCCCGTGGGTGGATTAGAGGAAATAAAGGAGAGAAACCCATCCAGGGACGTCTGATCGCCCATATTCAAGGATACATCTTCTCGCCATGCGCGTTTCTTACAATGACATTGAAGACCTTGCCAAGGGCTCCGACATTGCCTGGGAGGTGGTATCCCTTTAGCAGCTTCTTGAACCTGTGACGCTTCTTCTTGTTCCACCGTTCGGTATCATCGGGAAGCTCGATCAGGAGCGGCTTATTGTCCCCCTTGAAGTCAAACTCGACCGTACTGTCGTCCATATCAAAGGGGGTATTTTTCAACCAGGCAGTGATATCTTTCTTGTTGTCGCTGAATATCTTCTTTTTTTTCGTCTATGGACGGCATTTCGAATGCTTCGCTCGTAGTTGGAGTTATTGGTAGGATTTGTTGGCTGTTCGGTACTCGTTGGTTGAGCTGTCTTCGAAGGGATGTAGAAAAGATGGGTGGGTGTAGTCTGAGACCCAAATAACAACGGATACTGGATGGCCATGCCTGTTTTATAGACCACGCGGCGGCTTGTTGGAGACGAGGAGAAACCAACGGCTCGTCCGCGTGGATGTTGATCAGGGGGCTCGCACAAGTGAGTAACCCGGAGGCCCCATGTGCCAGCATCACGAGAGCGCACTCGCTTCACATTCTGTTGGCGAGAGGGCCGGGGGCGAAAGCGATTGGTGTCAGTCGGAAGCAGAATCTCATAGCAGGATCTGATGACCGACATTGGGCTTCGCTTCATGATCAGATGCTGAAAGTCTTCCAACTGTATGCCATGCGAGTCATTATCCGAAACGCGTTGGTAAAGATATTCGATTTCGTGGCTGTATCAAGTTCGGAGTCGAGGTCATCCGCACCTAACGGGTGGGCATATCGTTTGCTTCTGTGAGTATGACTGTATCAGTGGCAAGTTCATGGCTGGATTGTCTTGGTTGGGTTGAGGTAAAGAACGCCTCTGCTCGATTTTTTTAGACGAAAACATTCCTATCATTGGTTGGTAGATCGTCAGCATGGTCCGCGTATTGTGATCACTTCGGGAGCTTCTGTCGTTAGTTAGAGGTAGCAATTGCGCTCGGACTGTGGTTGATGCCCGAAGAATGGTTGATCCTTAACAGCAAGCTTTGGTCGGCCCAAAGACAAGAAAGAACACTGGGCATTTCAAAAACCGGCATGGAAATACACGTGCAGTCTGGCCGGTTCGAAATGCGAAGCAAGGGGCTAGTTACGTGTGCGACGTTGCACCGGCGAAGAAAAAGAGGGAGGAAGGGTGATGCCTGCCAACCAACCAAGCAATCAACAAGACGTGGAGAAATCATGATCAATACTATCAAACTGTAATCCTACCACGTCGTTGAGGCCGTCTACGGGAGTTCTGGGTGAAAGTCCGAGTAAGGATCAGTCCGCAGCCCACACCACCCGGATACGTGTCGTTGAGCGCGGTGCCGGTGATCTACGGCACGAGGTGGACCTTCCGGCACGCCGGAAGGAGCCCCTATCACATCACCGTCGAAAAGCCAATAATGGGAAAAGCAGATATGTATATTTCCGTTCTAGGCCGACCACCTCGCTGATCGCACTTCAATCTCCACTACAGAAGCTTCCCTATCGCGGCCACCTTCTCTTTACCCGAAAGCGAGCCATCCGCGTGGGGTGAAACCTATTACATTGGGAGCCGGCATGAGATATATACCTAGTCTACGTGTAACTATCCTTTCGCGATCTTTTCCGAAAAGACGGCCGCAGTTACACAGTGTTGATATCACCAACCATGACGCAGTGAATCCGGCGGCCCTAACCACGTGTGTTCGTAAGTGAACTGCGAGCATCGCTGCCCTCAGTCACCAACCACCGTAACTTATCTCATTCTGACTACCGGAGCAACGTACGTGACATATATGGTCTAGTCTAGTCGATCCTGTCTTGTCCGGTCTAGCCAGATCTCGCAGATCCCACTCGATGTCAAGCTCGGAAGACCGGTGGGTCATCACGAGGACATCTGCCGTGTCCAGCACAGCAGGCCTGCGTACGCCGGTGTTGCTGCTCCGGATACAGCAGTGGCATACCACAGCAAATGAGCTCACCACGCCACTGGCATCGCGTTGGTACCCGTGATTTACATCGCAAAGCATGGCTTCAGAACTACGCTGTACGCCGAAATCGCGTCCCGCTGCCCTGACGCCGGGTCTTCCGTCTCCATCACCGATGAGCTGAACCAGGTCCTGACGGCGTACTCGAACGCACTGAATGAGGGGTGTGTACTACGGGGTACTGCGGCCGCGACTGGGACGATGTCTAGGTATGGGTACCTCTGCGGGGGGAAGTATGGGATCGGGGTCTTCTTCGCCGTCCTCTTCGTCCTCGGCGAACGCCGGACCCAGAGAGACCGGCTTTCGTCCCGCAAGTGTCACGGCAGCGGGCCTTTTGGTGTTGGTATGGTGCTTCAGAGCAGCATCCCTAACCTGCCATGATGATAGAGTCACACTTTGTCGAGTTTCGTATAGCCCATTGCAGACAACAGAATAGCTGAAAGTTCACCTTCCCTGGGGCCCAACCACACTGGATGATCTGTTCCAGCTTCTGCCCCTTCAGTGCGAACAGAATCAGATCCCTCATGTGGTGGTCGTCCCCGTCCCCGTCCCTGTCCCCGTCCCCGTCCCCGTCCCCGTCCCCATCGTCGTCGTCGTCGTCGTCGTCGTCGTACTCTATATCGGAAAATGGCGCGAGTCGCAACTGGCGCTGCGCGGAGCGCACCCTGTAGGGCTGGTCCACGGAATGGGGACATGCCGGTGTGAATCTGACGCAGGACAACAGATAGGCTATGCACCTCTTCAGGGACACACTCGATGTCATGGAGGGCTCGGGACCAATTCGAGTCGAGACCCAGATCTCCTGCACTCGCAACCCCACGTCCATGTAGGTTTTTAGACTCCCCGGCCTGTAGTGCGACTCGATAAAGGACCCTTCTGCGACAAGCGGTAGTAGATTGTAGTCGAGAGATACATCCATGTTCGTCGTAACTACGATGTTCCTCAACTATGAGCGTACGGATGGCGCCGCTGACGCTTGCTCTTCCGGGTGACAGGGATATAACACGACCTTGGCTATCGTCACAGTCCTCCTTCAGTAGGCAGGTATAGTATGTGGTGTATGCGTAACCGGAGGCGCCCAGGATGCTGAGGCCATCAAGCTCCTGCATTTCTGTGTTTCCGTATGGGTCCACCCAGGTGTTCTCTTGCGTCAAGGTCGTGTCGCCCCCAGGAAAGAGCTGGACGAGGTGGGCGAAGAGATCGCGACTGCTGATAAATCCAGGTAGGTTGGCGCCCGCACACCCTCGGTACCAGGAGGTCTCTACGGTGCCGTTGGTAAGCTCAGCCCGAATTCGCAGTTGGGTCAGATCGTACTGACATTGAGCGAGGGCCACAATGGTGGAGGCGAAGCCGTGAATAATACCCCCTAAGTAGAAGCACAGGCAACTTGTATGGGTATTATTTCCTTCCTGGTGACTGTTGCAGGCCTTCTGAAACAGTAATGCATCTGCAAACTCGAGATATGAGAATCCATTCGCTCGAGTCTCTGGTTCTGTCCACCCTGGCATGCCACGGCTGGTGCAGTCGCCAAATCCCATGACGGCGGCACGGGGAATGTTGAAGTCCGCAAATGTGTCCAACAATGCCAGCGACGATGGGAATTTGCCGTTGATTTTGTGGCTGTTCGAATAAGGCTCATCAGGCCCGATATCCAATCGATCAAGCGGTGTGAAGGACAAGTTACAAATACCTCTACAAACCGCCGTGACCATCTCTGGTGTGAGCGATGTGAAACGGCCTAGTTCAGCATCAAGAGCCTCAGGAAAAGAATAATCGATCGACATGGATCTATGGCCGGATTCAGACAAGGTGCATCTACCAGGTTGATTTTCGACTGCGACATAGTCTGAAGAGTTGACGGGCCCGTGTATTGAGGACGAAGCTGCAGTACAACACTGCCATTCGCTCCAGCGCTCGCCCACAATACCGTATCGTCGAGCATAAGTCCCACTGACATGCCAAGGATATGGCTAGCAAACGTTGCGAGCCGTGCGCCGCGCTGCCGAACAACCATGTAGTTCGTCTCGCCACGCTGCGAGGTCAATATCAACTGCTTGATGGCTCCTGCCACCACTGACGCGTCTCCGAGGCAGCTAAGACCGGCAAAGCTGGAGGCGTGCTCGATCGAATGAGGTAATGTATATTTTCCCGAGGTGGTAAGGTGTCGTAGTAATGTATGTTCTGCCGTTGTCGTGACGTGTTGCAACACTGTCGAAAAGCCCAAGTCTGCAACAACCGGACCCAAGTATGCAACCATGGCCCTCAGCACGTCGACACTTGGAAGTCGATCAGCCTCACACACGAAGACCTCAAGTAGCTCGGAGAGGCACTGGGTGGCCATGAAGTCAGAAGTTCCCCATGAAATGGCGCCGATGAGGAGCAAGGCGTTCGTGCCAGCCTTCGTCCGGGCCATCTCGACCGCAACCTCGGTGTGGCCCCAGCCGATACTCAATGCCTTGGCCAGAAAGCCTTGAGTGCCTTTCCGTGATGCCAGATGAAAATACAAGGTAGTCTCTAGGCTTTTCTGCACCTGGAAATGCTTCCCAAGCCAGATGGACGCAGTCACAGCGTACAGATCGACTCCGCCATCGCTGAGAGATTTCAGGACTCGACCGGTGATTAGATGTGCCAGTGAGCCTACATTGACCACATCTGCCTGGAATGAGAACCCGACAGCGCTGTTAGACATGACTCGAGCAAGGACGTGATATGTATCAAAGTTCGCAAATAGGTGTTGGGACGGAGAAGAACGTACGCTTCCGCCTTGAAGGCGGGCCAGAGGTAGACTACATACCTACCCCATAGCAGTGTGGAGGTTGCTTGCCCGCCGATTTCCGCCACAGGTTTCAACGCTGTTAATGGACAAAGGGCTAACTTGGTGAGGTTACACAGCCCCTGAGACGCTAACCACTGCGACCAGGTGCACCTTGTGAGTGACGAGTGAGGCTTGCACAAAAGTTCATCCACGCTTGAGAATGGGCATCCCATTAGTACAGCCCCCTAGTCCGGCTCGGTTCAGCTTCTCTTTGCCCTTTTCTGCAACTACGACGAGCATATATCTAATCTGTCATTTTCGCTGTCATGCCCCCGTCTAGCGTCGTACCGAATAGGGGTAATGGCCCACCATCCACTCGAGAAGCTACGTGCAATGAATGAGGTTACAGGTGTATCAAGACAAGGCCAGAACCGAGAAGATGAACCATGATCTGGTCCAAAGTCCTAGCAATGAAAGAAGTGTTCTCACGAGGGATAAGCTCCGTCGAAGACTCAAAGCCGAAGACCCCAGGGGACACGCCCAAACTTCGACACTTCCAAGCAGCCAATTGGTTTCGGAAGCTAACGTTATACAAGCTTGAAGGCGCTCGCGGCTGCAATTAGTGGATAAATGACTGGTCAAGCAGCGGGAACAGTTACAACATAGCTCGTGTCGCTCGCCGCCGTCACATTCGCAGGAGTATATGATAACTTATAGTGCAGTTGATCAACAAGTACCAACCCGGCCTTCCAGGCCGCTTATGCAAAATGAGCCAGACTATATTCCCGCCGAGCTCTCGTGCCTGGTAGACAGAATCGATCGCGACCACAGCTCCAGCGCCGTTCCCGCCAGACACCACCACCCCTGGACCCCGGCAGTCTCGCCATGTCCATCCAATAACAACGAGCCGCTGGTAGATCAAAGATGTCAAGCTGCGGTTGTCACTTGTAACATATCGAGACCCGGACCGTGAGTAACACATCGAATCTTCGACCTTACCGCCCCTTTCACCACCTCGGGACTTTCCCCTACGTCAACGTCAGCGTCAGCGTCAGCGTCACCAAGACTCCATACCAAGACACGAGTCCAAACCGCGGTGTCCGCTACCACAGCCATGGTACCCGCATCCGACCCTTGGGACAACTGCCCATAGACCACCAACGCAACAGCACCAGCAGCAAGGGAGAACGAGAGAAGGAGACAGAGGAAGGCCCCGACGTGCGCCTCATAACAGCAGCCTCACGGCCTCTCCCACTCACGGCGCGGTACATACCACCCGTCCGTCCATCCATCCACCAACGCACACCCGTTCCCCACGGTGCGGGACAACCTGATACGGGATGTGAACACGAAGAGCCAACTTTGTTACCACCATAGCCCATTGCTGGCATGTCATTATACGCACTGAACCCCGGAGCTGATGTGTTGGGTCCACAAAAGCGGCGTCCGCAGGCGGGACGGGGACCAGACGACCAGGGGATATGCGCAGCCAGCTTAGAGGCAGGAGACGTGATTCGTCCGAAAATGGTGGTTCTTCCCTCGGCGGCGAGGAGGATGAGCTCGTGCGGCAGTCGTGGCGGTGCAATGCCTGGCGCAGGAATAATGAGGAGCGACCGGCTTTTCTGTGTGAGATACCTTGTGTACCTACCTACCTAGACACGGTGTACAGGAGGCAGCTGTGGGTAGGCGACTAACAAGCACCCTGTTTCACTGGTAAGCGACGGTTGGAGTGGTCTGTATCTGCTTCAGAAATCATCAGCAGGTTGTAGAAGGTATGACATATATAGGGTGTGTGCAATGGGGCCAAAGGGACATATCACTCAAGACATAGATAGAGAATATATGGTGAGATCATCTATTGATCCAGCTTCTCGCAAAGCTCAGTATCTATCTATGTATGCATAGCATTAGGACCCAGTTGTGAATAGAACCCCAGCTTCTCTTCATCAATCATTTCCCCTCCCTTCCACTTCCGACGATGAACCAGATGCTTCATGTGTGATCGGACAAATGCAACCAGAACGCTTGACCCTGGTTACAATGTACCGGACCGGACCGAATCAACAACTAACCGGCGGACAACCTCTTCGATGTTGTGCTCGAGAAGTGTTCGAGCGAGAAGCGTTGGAAGCGAACGAAAGGATGAAGTATGGCAAATATGTACAGTGAAAGTGGATGTATCCAAGGCCGAAAAAGGTATCCAGCGCCTTGGCGCCAAGGAGGGAATCGGCTATGTATCGAAGGGTTGGCACCTATCGCTCATCTCTCGAACGTGAGAAAGCGTGTTCTTTACCAGCCCCAGGCACCAGCGCTTCGGCGGTTCACACGGTCGCGTCTGCGGCCCATCTGAAGGTTGTCTGAAACACCGACGGTGCACTTTGTGCCGGCAGCCATGGCTATCACAGCCGACCACTGACCAGAGGCACAGCGCTGGAAGTTCGCACCGTCAATGCAGCTCCACGCTCCTTCCTGGGTGCAGGGGCCAGTCTGTTGTCCCTGAACAGCGCCAGAGTTGGCCGGAGCCGAAGCACTGGCAGTCGCTGAGCCACCAGCCGCGGCCGAACTTGTCGGGACAGCAACTGGAGTCGTGGGAACAGCAGCTACCGAAGTGGCCGTGGCCAGGGTCGTGGGGGTACCTCCCAAGTTGGTCGTGAGGAAAACACCGCCAAGGGAACTGGATGAAGAAGTTAGTAACAGCTCGTTGCAAGAGTTGAAGTAGAGTCTGTATAAGATTTCACATACGCTGTGGTTCCTGCAGCGGACGCAGTAGTTGAGGGCTCGGGTTCCTGGGCAGCAGACGAAGAGCCGGAAGCTGATCCTGAGCCGGAACTTGATCCTGAGCCCGAGCCCGAGCCCGAGCTACCTGCATCGCCTACAGGGGCATCGGCTCCAGTAGCGCAGAGAGTGGGCGGGCCGGGGGTGGTCGATGTGTTCTCGACATCAGGGCCCGGGTTGGGGAATACAGTGTCGACGCCTTCCTTGGTGCAGTACTCTCCGCCCAAGTTGGCCTGGAAGACCTGCGGGCGGCCGGCAAAGGCGACAGTGGCGCGCTTGGGGATGTCGGAAACCTCGCGCTTGCTAGTGCCCTTGATGGAGACGACAGCACAGGACATGTAGTATTCGCGGTTGCCAGACTTATTTACCCAGGTCCAGGCGAAGACCACCTCATCGGCCTCGGGAGCGTCAGAAGGAATGGTGAAGTCGAAGGTGCCGCCACTGGCGGTGGGACAGTTTCCAATCCAGGACTTGATGACGGTGAAAGTTTTGCCCTTGTCGTAGGAGAGGGAGAGTTGGCACGAGCCACCGTTGTGAGAAGCGGTTCCTCCGATGCTCAGGGAAGCTTGCTGGCCAGGGGCGTAGGTCTTGACGGAAGCAGCCTCGGAGGTGCCAAGGAGGCTGGTGTAGCCCTTGCAAGGGTACTGTGCCTGGGTGATCGGGGCGGTGGGAGTGTAGTCGATGTGAGCCGGGAGGGTGTTGGGGTTGTCCTTGTTCTCAAGGGAAATGGGATCCTTGAGGTACATGTGGGCCATGGCCGAACCGGCGGCCAAGACCGACATCAAGCAAGATTGGAAGTGCATGGTTGCTGTGGGTAGGATCAGATATCTCTTGGGTGGGTGTCTTCCGAAAAGAGTGCGTGGTAACGTGCTACCAGAGTCGTAAAATGGGTTCTGTGGAAGAAGGTAACGGTCTTGGACCGGTGCACGAGCGCGCAATTGATTTTATAGTCGAGTCGAGTCTCGAATTGTCCCGAAGGTGAAAGGAGTGGAACGGCCAACGAAAAACGAAACAAAGGCGTTGTCGTTGTTAGTCGGCTGTCGAGCAGATTCTTTGTGAGCTGCGAGTGAATGTTGATGTTGGCCCCTTGGGTCAAGAAGTGTCGAGATTCCACGCGGTGGACAGTCGAGGCACAATTGGCGAAAATGGGGAAACCACCTGGGAATTCCTGAAGGAGGAGTGAAAAGAAGAAGAAAAGGTAAGGAGGGTATGTGAGAAGAGAGTGAAGAGAGTGAAGTGAAAATCTGGGTTGCTAGAGGAGGTGAGGAAAGACAGCTGAGGCCGCTGCCCGTTTGCTTTATACCTGGGAAAGGCGGGTCAGTGCGGCCGGCCAGCTGCCAGGGGCGTGGAGAGTGGGGCGTGGAGCCCGGCGACCCAGGCGGAACGTCCACTCACATTGGTCACCCTCAACCACCACGCATGTGGCCAGGGCTGCCAGGGGTCCTGACTTACAGTAGAAGTTACTAGCGTTATGCTATGTCGCGACTCGCTATGTTCACATGTATGAGAGGCTGAGTTGGGAGCCCCCTGGACCTCGAAAGTGCTTGCATAAGGTATATACTTCCTACGAATCGAAGTACCTCCTACAGGCGCGCGGCCCGTTCAATGTCGCCCCCAGAGCGCAACGATGACCACGACCACCAATATGTCACTTCATCAAGGTAGGGCAGGTAGGGCAGATCACGGCTTGCTGCTTGTCAGTCACCAGTACAGGCGGACAGACGACAGGTCAATCAACTACCTACGGGGCTTGCCGCAAAAGCAAGCACACCACAGTAGAGCCGCCGACTGGGATGCCGGAGGAATACGCAGACGGGGGCATGGCGAATCAGTCATGGGCCAGCCGCCCGGGGATGGAATGCAGTGCATTGAACATTCGCCATCTCCAGCGGGCCACCTCCACCTCGTCAGCTCGCCTGGGCCGTTGAACGAGATAGAGTGAGTGGTGCGCCGGGGAAGGCCAAATGACTAGGTTAGCGCAGAGCGGAGGGCACAAAGCCAGTTTGGGCAGGTAGGGCAGGGATGGACGACTCCCTCAAAGAAGCTGGAATGTGAGTGTGGCTAATGATATTGTCTAGGGTCTAGAGCTATAGTTCAGCATGAATAGCCTGAATCCTGTCGTGCCTGTCTACGATAGCAGTGCGATGGGTGGGAGCATGGTGAGGGAGAGGGGAGGGAGGCTTTGGACTGGCTGAGAATCGAGATGCCGTCAGTCGTTAAAGCAGAGCCCCTGACCATCGGGGGTAGGGGGTGTGGGGGGCTACAGAAAGCGGTAAACCTGGGGCTGGGCGCTCCACCGCCAATCAGACCCCACAGGGACCTGACCCTCTCCGACTCGGGCAAGACATGACGGGCCGCTGATTGGCTTCCGACCCCAGCGGCTCCCGAGGTCCTCTGCGATTCAGGGGCATGTTTCGGCCGATCTACAGCAGAGGATCTTGCTGAGCCCGCCTACCCTCACACCTCGCTATTACTACATACTTGCTAGAAGAGAGTCAAGATGGTCAGCAAATGAAGAATGCCAATTCAATTGGAATGCAGTGTCTGACCTAGCAATGGTCCGATGCAAGTCAGGTTCAACAAGTCGTCTGACTAGCATCTGGTGAGGTGGGACCAAACAGGAGATTTAAACTTTTCAACAAGACCCAAGAGAGATCCATCAAAATTCCCCTGTCCGGCAGATGGCCTGAGCCACTTACACCAGCCACAGGTACTTCCACCAGAGCCAGCGATGATCCCTCCGCAAGTATCGCCAAAGACTAATAGCGTCGCATTAACCGCACCATCGATAGTACGAGTACTTGCTTGGCGGCCACAGTCGCTTTGGTCGGAAGTAGAGATGGTATCCCATAGCCTGCAAGCTGAGAGGTCGACGGCTACCAGCTCAAGTGACATTCATTCATCGTCCAATCATTGATCGCAAGCCCGCGCCCGCTCTCTCGGCCGCCAAACCCTGCATGCACTAGTCAGCATCTGAAACAGGAGACCGAGAAGAAGAAAGAAAGCTAGAGGGCAGGAAAGGAGCAAAAAGCTTGAGTGTGGCAGTCACCAAAAGGGGCAAGTCACCAGAAGGGGAAGGGGCGGGAGGACGAAGAATGAAAGAGCGGCGGCTCGACGTCAAACACACCACCACCACGAGTCAAAAGACTCAAAGGCGTGAGGGAGCCCATGGCGCCCTCCCATTGGCCCGCCGGTTAAAACGCTGAAACGGCCCAAAAATTAAAACGAGCAAACGAACGACCCTGTCCTACCCGTCGTCATGTCGCGCACGCGACGGGAGTGATCAACCCGTGGTGCGCTGATGTGTTGTTCGTCGGAACTTTCAACAAACGACTCGCGATTTCATTGATGCTGGACGTCGATTTCCGGCAGGTAAAACCGCCCGTCCATAACTCCATCCCGTCCGTCACATGTCAGTCAGTATTAGTCTAACCGGGACGGACAAACGTAAACTTCATGACCACGATGATGTCCTCCAGGCCCAGGCGCCACCCAATCTATCCGGATCGCGAAGGCAAAAACCCAACATCTATATCCCAACATCCCGACATCCAAAAAACGAAAGACATTCCCACGTGCAGTCTCTCGTATCCTCCTTCCTCCCCGCCACCAAAAAAAGTGGCAGGATCCATTCCCATTCCCATTCCCATCTCCATCTCCAGCTCCATTCCCAGCTCCATATATAACCAGCCCCAGCCCCCAGCACAAGGGTCTCCATCAAAAGTTCCGAGGATGATCGTCGGTACGAACACGAACCGCGCCGCCCTCCCATCGTGCATCCTCTCTGTTCGTATAAAAGGCGTCCAATACAGTAGGTACTGTACGTAATATGCTGGGCCTTAGCCTCCTCAACCTCCTCATGCACTCTACATATGGTAGCCATAACCACCAGTTGCCCAAAATTCCATTCACTTCAAGTGATACTATCACTGAAAAAGGAGGCAACTACAGACGAGAGAGGTGGGTGCGGGCTGACGACTCAGCTGGACCATCACCCACCAGCCAGCCCCCTCTCGGAACTGCCTTCTCTCCAGTTCCTCTTTTCTAATCTCCACTTTACCCCATCCTCGTCGATTCAAGCCATGGCAGCTAGTTATGGACCTTAATGGTCCCGTCTCTTCGCGTCGTTCGGCATGACCTTTTCCAGATGCATGTGATTGTTACCCATGAGCTGCCGCCACTTGTACCTAGGTAACAATAAGAGCCGCGGTCGTCTATCGCATGACTACCGGCCGTGAATGACATAGCTCACCCTCCCCCCATGATACAAGTATAGCAAGGCAGATTCGAGTTAGGCCATCCTTCAGATCACGAGCCCTCACTCCGAGGAACCCTGCCCTGCCATTCATGCGAATCTTTGCAGTCTATATCAGACGTTTCGACCGACAGTCGCACAGTCTGTCTGATATATCAGCACTTCACGCAGGTGGCTTCACTCCATGTCAGCACCACTATCCGCTGTCCCATTTCTTTAAATTGTACTGAGGACTTATCAAAACTATAATCCTCAAGTCTGAGATTTCTCGCTTCGTTGCTCCAGCCACTACGACTCAAGTCTTCCTTGCCTCTTCAGTCTCGAGGAAAGCTGGGTTGATACAGCCCTAACTATATGGCATGCCAGGGCCAGTCAGACGATCGAGCCATCAGAGCCGAAGCCTTGAGCTACTCAGATGTCCCGCTAGCTTCTCTCCTTCAACCGAGTCATACTTCTCCATGCTCATCCCCACCTCCCTTAGACTACTCCAACATGCAACTTCTTCCTTCCTGGCCAATGGCTTGCGCATCAGCTGTAGCTCAGGCAAGGAAATGTTTCAGGAAGATATCCTACGAAGCCAAGATAATAAAGGCCACATAAGATACCTGCCATCTGCGAGATTTGTTCAAGATTCGGCAGGCGTGTCCCTACAGAACTCCGAGCCATCGGCCATGGTGACTGCCGTATTCTTTTCTCAGCTGCGTCGTCCTTGACAGAACGTGTCGCTTCAGGCAGAAACAGCCTGATCCGACGACTATGAGGGAGGCTAATAACAGGATGCCGCGAGGGACAACGAGCAGGACACCGTTGACAGTAATGCTGCAGTGGGTGGAGGAATCGGTTGTGCGCTCAAAGCGCGGCGCCGCTACGTCTTTTGCAAGCGAGTTTGAGCGGCTACGCTCACTTGGCTTCATCCTGACCGTCAGAAGCTCGAGCTTGAGGTCCTGTGGGGACTGCATGACCACCCTGCGGGCCATGATGCTGATTGTGCTGATTGTGGCCTTGGTAGTTCTTGTTGAAGTTATTGCTTCCGTTTCGGTGAGGCGGTCCTCCATACTGGTGCATCTGCTGCGGACTAGTACCGAATTGTTGTGGACCCGCATTGTTGTAGGGCCGCATGTTGTTCACTTGTTTCTCATGTGTTAGCTTCCGGCTCTTTGGCACGAAGCCTCTCTTGGAATACTCACTTTGGCCCTGTTGGGGTACGAAAGGCTGTTGGTATGACATGTTTGGGCTCTGCGCGTACACTGGCTGACCCTGCTGAGAGCCTTGGTGGACCATCATGGGTGCTGAAGGGCGGCCAGGACTGGGATATCCGTTGGCACCAGGCATCGGTTGGGGTGTCCCGCCGGGGCCCATATATGGCTGGGCGCCAGGATACATGGGCATCTGGGGAGGCCCAGTGATCATTCCTTGTGATCCCATGAACTGAGGCTGCATCATCATGTGTGCACTCATGCCTCCTGGCTGTTGAGGCAGATACTGTGCATTGTTTGAAAGACTTCGGTTGTACTGGTTCATCTGTGGTGCACCAGGCCCCATGTATGGCTGCATACCATGTTGATTGTAGGCCATTTGGGGTGTCGTATGCATAACGGGCGGGGGGTAGGCCATCTGCATTTGAGCCATTCTCGGCGAAGAGAACGACTGCTGGGAATTCGAGTGCATCATCCTATGATCGTCTCCGCCGTTGAATGAAGCATGAGGAACAGGTGGGTGCTGACCGGGCTGCATCTGAATGTGGGGTACGTGAGGCGAGTGTCGTTGTCCAGCATTGAGCCCACCATGTTGCATGTGCAGAGGCAGCTGATGTTGGTGCGCTACATGTTGAGGAATGATATGCGGGGGGTTGGGAGTAGGCTGAGCATTGAAGGGCTGTCTCTCAAAATATTCTTCGTATGTTAGGCGCATGGTCGAGTCGGCCTTCTCATCGTCTGTACGCGAGCGCCAAGTGGGAGGGGTATCATAGGATGGTCGAAGACCGGCATTCTCGCTCCAGTTCTTCGTCTCGGGTGGCTGGATAGTCTTGGCGAAAGCCAATACATTGCACTTCTTCGGCTTGACTGCCTTGTTCTTGCTGATCTTTATGATCGTCGCGGTAGCAGGGGTAGCACCATGATGGGCATCGTTCGCATGGTTAATAGCCGAACGCGGACTGGAACCGGCGCTGGGATGACCGTTTGGGCTGAAGCTGGGCGCAAAGGCATTGGGTCGGAATTCGTGGCTGTTCGGGTTCAACTTCCCGCCCATATGACTCGGCACACCCAGACGGGCCGGTCCGCTAGGAGCCCCGGTAGGAGGCATCCGCAGCTCCGGGTGCACATTCTGTTTTTCTAAAGCACGAATGCGGCTGCTCAACCCGCCCTGACGGCCTGCTTGGGGCATGTGCTGTGGAGGCCGATTATTCGCGTAAGAAGCATAGTGAGTAGGCATACGGCCCCCTGGGGGCCGGTTGGGGGTTCCCGAGGGAGCAGCGATAGTTGCAGGGACGTTGGCGAGGGTGCGGGCTTTGTTCTCCGGGAGCGGCTGGGTAGTTGTGCTGGGTTGAGAGTCCTTCACGGTAGGCGTCTTCTTGTCCTTCGCAACAGCCTCTGCTTCTTTTCGTTTCGTAACTTCAGCAGCGTCTCGTTCCGCCTTCGCCTGAATCTGGCGCTGCTTCGCAGGATCCTTAGCAATGATACCAATCAGGTCCACAGGGACAGGTGTTGGCAGCTTGAAGCTATTCGCAAACTTCTTGAGCTCTGTCAGCTTCACCTCCTTGTCTAACTTCGCCTTCTTGGAGCGGGCGACCTCGGCGTGGGCACGCTGTTGATTAGCGAACGACTTGAAATGATTGTAGACATCTTGTGTGACAGTCTCGGTTGCACTCGGTGCCACATTCTGGCCGTCCTTCGCCTGGGGTGACATGGTTCTACTGGTAGCAGCGGATGGTCTCATCGAAGCCGAGTTCGAGTTCTGATTTGCGAGCTTTACGTCTGAGCTTTTCTGTAATGATTCGGTCGTGGCCTCTGCCTTCGGCTCCGGCGTTTGAGTAGCGGCTGGTGCAGTTGTTACATCACCCTTGGGAACAGTTCGAGCTTTATTATCTTCCGGTTTGGCGAGTTGCGACGATATTATAGCGGGATCGACGGGTGCACCTTTGACATTGGTGGCGCCGGTGGGTGCTCGTCTTGCCCCCGGGTGGGTATACTTGCCAGGGTTGCCAGAGGGAGGGAAGTTTTGTCGATTGACAGCGCCGTATCTGTAACCAATTTAGTCTGGCTGTACTGCGACATGAAGGAGCTCTTGTGGAACTCACTTGTCTTCCTCATCACCACCTACGTCCTCGCCTCCAGCGTAATCCATCTTACGCTCTTCCGCCACATGGGAGGTCGCTGCAGCACTCCGCTCAATCTCCCGTGCCGTTCTGTCCGCAGCGGCCATTCTCTTATTGTAGTCAGGATGATTTTTGTTGATGGGGGTGGTGTATATATTCTCATCGTACGTGGTCGTGATGCCGAACTGTTGCTTATTGGCATCGAATTGATCCCATTCCCGGCGGCCGGTTGTTGGCCTCTCCAAGGGCATGTCTGCCCCGTCCGACCCACTGGGGGCAACCCATGGTTGCAAGATCCGCTCGCGGCCAGGGCGAGCGGACGAGATCGCGGTATCAGTACGGAAGCCGGCAGGCGTACCTAGAAGGCAACTTCATTAGCCTCGCGAAAGAGGACATGCAAGAGGCAAGCTTACCATTGGCCTTGGCATCACCTTTCGCAGTATTGCCTCCCATGGCTCTGGCGTCTGAAATGTCACGTTTCTGCATGGACATGTTCGAAATATCCTTGCTATGGTTTCCGTTGGTCGGGTTATTGGGCTTCTTCTGCTGGACCATTCTCAGGGTGTAGGTAGCCTCGGTCGAGGTGGTGACAAGACCTTCGAACTCGCGATCGTCCGTGAGGGCGACTCGAACCCTTTCACCCTGTTCAGAAGCACGAGTAAGCTTATGCTCACATCAAAATGCACAGTAATATCACAGATGGATAGTGGTGAGTGCAATTGATGTGTTGAGAGAGGGTGACGGATGAGGTGGTCGACAGAAGGATGGAGGAAAGTGGGAGTTTGGGGACAGGAGGCGAGGTGGAGGTGACGCGGGCCCGAGTTCAGTGGACAAGCTCCCGTGGGTTGACTTACTTGGTGAAGAGGACTAGGCAATGCTTGCTTGTCATGCGAGGACAAGCTGTGCAGTGCAGAGCCCGGCTGTCTTGATGTCGAGGTGACGGCACCCTCGGCCGATGCAGTAGCCTTCTTCTCCTTCTTCGACTGCTTCTTCTGCTGCTGGGTAGCAGATGGTCTGTGGGCGGGAAGCTGTGGTCAGCGCATGGAAAAACAAGGCAAAGGCCAAAAAAGAGCGCGAGGCGTGGTCGATTTGTACGGAAAGGAACAGCAGCTGCCTACCACGAGGGACTGGTGGTGCAGAGACACAAGGGGACCCAGGCGTGGGTGATGATGGGGAGGAAAAGTGCTTTGTTGTTGACTAGACCAACCGCAAGACCCAAGAGACACTGCAGACTGGAAGTTGCCAGAAAAAAAAGTGGTCAACTCGCTCTCTCTCACACACTCGAGGGCCAGGGAAAAGGGAAAAGGGCAGTGCGGGCCAGCAGTTGGCCACGGTACACGGTACTGCAGTAGTGATGTACCCTTGCGCCCAGAATACGATGGCGGATGGCTGCCAGGTACAGCACGGACGACGGAGCACTGCGAAGAACAATAAAACATGGGGTGGGTGTCTCACCTCGGAAGACTGGCTGTGCTGGTCGCCGACGCTCGCCAGTCGGCCTGATCCAGCTTGCTCTTGGTCGCGCTCGCGCTCTTGCTCTTGCTCGACCCGGTGTGGAACGAGGATCCAAGTTTCGCAAAGGAGGAGGAGGACGACGACAAGGGTGCGATGACGGAGCGAGCAGAGGCGCCTGTGCTGTTTGGTCGAGTCGACGAAGCTGCTGCTGCTGCTGCTGGAGAGGGAGCTTTGGAAGTCGAAGTGGAGTTTTTTGGGGAGGAGGGAGTTGTAGTTAGGATGGTAATGCTTGCTGCCATGGCTGCTCACACTAGCGAGAAGACGGGGGAGGAACGGGGCTGTGTGATTTGCAGCTTGCAGGGCGCAGGGCGCAGGTGCGACACTGTGTGCGATGCCTCAGTGTGCTCAGACCGTGGAATTATCATTGGTGGTGTGTGTGAGATCTGCAGTCTGGGTCGATGCCCGGGTCCTAGTGGTGGTGTGGGTGACAGCTGGGCGAAGTGCAGCCAGTCGGGTCAGTAAACCGTCGGACAGGCGCTGCCAGATGCAAGCGGCTGGCAGATTTCGCACTGTATTTCTTCTCGTTAGTGGTCGCAGTAAGGTATCGTACCTGCCTGATTGAGGGGCAGGGGCAAAGGAGCACCAACACAGTAAACTTCGCGGGGTAAGGGCGCATTCGGATACCTCTTCCACAATTGAAGTTGTGTTGTGTGTCCGCTGCAGGAGTTGTCTGTGTTCAAGCAAGACCTAGGTAGTATCAAACACCAGATTGCATTGGTGTGCTGTTCGCTTTGCTGGACTTTGGCTTGAACCTTGAAACATCTATCAGCTGTAGTCGGAATCAACCTCGCTGGTCATTCGAATGCAGTCAAAGATGGAGAGAGCAGCAAGGTACCTTCGTTGAAGTCAACAGGTAACCTAGCTGGTACCTAAGGTTGTTGGCTGATGAACTTGTGAGCCCGGTCAACTGGTTACCCAGTCTGCCGGTATGTGAAGGGGGATGGTCGTGGCAAGGAGGTCTGGTAGTTACAATCAGAGAATTGGGAGTTTACCCAGCCAAACAGGCAATGTGGCATGTGCGTAGACCAAAAGAGGTTATGAGTTGACACCAAGGTCTGCATTGTTTTGTAATTGATCAATGAAGAATCCGATTGTGTGATTCAAGGGGATCTCGAAACTCTATCCAAGCACAGTTCGAAGGTATCATTCAGGTACATGTTAGTGAGGTATTCCATTACTGGAAGATTTCAACCTGGATGGTCATTTAATGAGCAACAGGCTGCCAGGTGCACTCCTCGTGCTGCCTAGGTCATTCGGCCACCTTCTGCAGGTATTGCGCCAACTGAGGTTGACGATAGTTGGTTGGTATACACCACTCGAGAACAAAGACGTTGGTTCTCGATTGAGCATCACGCTACGCGAGGTAAGGCAGAAAGTCATCCGGACCCATGACGATTCGAATGGTAACCTACAGAGATACTGCAGTGTCTTTTGACATATTTAGCCAAGGTAGAGAGTAATAATGTTGAACAGCACCTAGAAGCATCCAACAACTGCATGTTGGTGGTTGCTTTAAAAGTAAGCCCGTTCCTGATCTTCCCAAGCATCAGTCTCCTCAGTTTTCCCCTGGCTGCACACCCGACTGGCCAACAGCAAGCAACATATGCACGGTAATCCCTGCCGAGTGTATGGATCATGTCATACTGTAGTCCTCGAGCCCCTCTTATCATTGGAAATTCCCATGTGGCACTTAAATTCATTCGCATAGGCATCGAACAAGTGATTCGTATACTGTGTTGTCATATATCTCATCGGAGGATTTTAAATGCGTGAGAATCTCCCTCGTTCCAGAATATGGTCCTTAGCAAAAGTGTATGATACACGTCGGTATTCCATCCGGCGCACAATCTACAGCACATCGTGACATTGTGTGACATTGGAAGTTCTGCAGAGACCGAGAAGCGGTCGCTGCGCTGAGCAGAGGATGTAGGTACCGTACGCTCAGGCCCGTCTCCGTTTCGATGTCTTCGCGAATAGGGGTTGAGGTTTTCTGTTTGCGCAGCCTCGCCCACCAACCACGCAGGCCACTTTCAGACCAGACGCAGTTGCTGCGCGCGTACTGTGCATGTAAAAAGGCCCCCAGGCCCTCATCACTGATCAGCAAACCCAAATAAGGGTATCGGTGCATTGCATAACCGCAGATCGCCATCGCGCGTGCCGTACATGTGTATGTAGGTCTCTGCAGTGCTGTGCATTTAAGAAGTGAGTGGAAGAAAGCAGCCCCAGGGCAGTGGGATGCTAAGAACGAAGACACCAGGAAACAGCTCATGTTACACAAATTCTCCTAAGACACGGGGATTCTATTGGTGATCTTCACCGAGTCCGCCGACAGATGTTCCTGATATAGCTTTGTGACTTCGCCAGCTGCAACATTCAATGTTACCATACCATTAGCCTCAAAATAGGGTTGGTTGTCGATATCTTGGAAGCATCACGTAGCAGACAAAGAAAACCGGAAGCTGTTGGTAGCGCAGGCATGTACACAGTAGCAGCGACTTGCTTGCTTTCTGTCTTCGGGGCCCCCAACTCATACTGTCTGGAGCCGGCCCTGACCCTGTGCCTTCGGGGCGCCGGATTGAGCATCCGCGTTTGCTATGTGGAACTCCAAGTCTTCAAGCTGTCACAATCGTCACAGAGTCTCGTCTTGTGCTCTGGTTAATTAGTGTCAGGGCAAGCACGCAGTCAGTTGGGGGAACTCAAGAAGGACCAAAGCTCCTGTGTTGGCGGCTCAGAATGCTCAGAACAAAGAGTTATTTGCCTCGAGCCCCGAACCCATCCCAAGAACCCAGAACAACACTCGTTCCCCCGTTGTGGTTCAAGCTGCTGCGGGAAGAAACATATCAGATTTCGTCCGTCGGGTTCCCAGCCCACGGGAATACGCAGAAGCCGTTCGTGCGTTCGCACAAGCCCAACCAACAACCAGGTACAACAACCCCATCATTAGCTCCTCGCGCTCGCATTCCATGCATCCAACGCGTCCAGTGTCCACCAGAGAATCGTTGAGATAGATCGCAATGCAATGCGATGCGCCCCACGAGCGAACCCAAAAACTGCCGTAGTCCTGCTCCAATCGGAAAGTCTACAAACAGTGGAGATCCATAAGGCAACTTAGTAAGATATTGTGGCAGAGCAGCAAGACGGAAAAGTAGAGTATCATCGATGCAGCAGTAAAGTGAGGCTCATCCGTCCCAAGACACACGTCCACTGCGACGTTAGGCCGCAAGAAGGGGCGGGCGACGCGCAAAAGCAAGCATAACGTCTGGTGGACGCAGCCCCTCTGCGCCTCGTTCTATTTCTTGCATGTCGTGAATGGGATGCGACCTCCTCTACCGAAAATGTGTAAGACTTCCAAGTTCCGATGCATTTATCTAACTACGGTATCCGTTGTTGAAAATAGACGATAACCGAACTATTCTTGACGCCCGGGACTTCTAAATGGAGACATCATCCTGGACACTCACCCCCCGTTTGCGCCGGATGATGCAGGTGAAGCGGACTGGACGATTGAAGATCTGCAGCTGGCCCCCTTTCGCACATTTCCGCCAAGGGAGTTCCCGTCTGGGCACCCAGATCGGGGCGGACAGCGAGAAGATGGTCGCGGCTGCGAGGAAAGAAAAGGCATCCTCACTTGGGACTCAATGTACGCAGCAGCATATGTGCGCCTGAAACGATCTTTTCCTTGGATGATGCGATACCGCACAAGCCCATTCATTCATTGCCCATATGTACCTCGTCTCAACCTTCCATCGGCCGAGTACTGATGTAGTGCCCGTATGCGTTGTTGGGTATCTATGGCAAGGTATCAGGTATCACAGCGAGCCCAATGCCAGCCACCTGTGTAACACACGAGAGGGGAGAGGGGGGAACAGCACATCGCGACGCCCAAGACCACAAGGCCGTCGAGAACTATCAAACAATTCTCTTCCCAACACCAATTATTCCATTACCTGACAGACAGCCTCTCGCTCATCCGAACAGTCTCATGTTCACGAACCACCACCACAAATGCGCCAGGACCGACACAAGCGGGATCACGACCGCCGGCAGCACCATCCTCATGTGCGACACCATGACTTTCGGCACGACTTTACTGACATCGCCCTCGGTGAACAGCCACAGCTGCTTGACCTCGTCCGTCTGCCGCTGGTACCTCTCCATGCGCGGGAACATCTCGTCCTCGAAAGCCCTGACTTGCCTGTCGAGCTCATCTGCGTCGCCGCCGTCGCCTGCTCGCACAGATCTCGCAATGGAAGCCGCGAGCTTGCGCGCGTCGTCGAGGGCTACGTTGACCCCTTCGCCCGCGAACGGTGTCATCAGGTGCGCCGCGTCGCCGATGATGGTCACGCCGCGGCGATGCTCCCAGCGCCAGCCCACGGGCAGCTGGAAGAGAGTACGCGGTTCGCAGGCCCCCTGCGTCTTCTCGACGGCCTCGCGTAGCTGCGGGCAGTAGTCGTGCATTTCCGCGAGCAGAGCCTTCTTGGTCTGCTCGAGATCGCGCGGGTCGTATCCGCAGGTGCGCATCCAGTCCTCCGAGCGGACGGACGAGCAGCCGACGCGGATGCTGCCGTCGCCCATTTGCTGGACCGAGACCTGGCGGCCGGTCGAGTGCGCAAACACGCTACCCCGGTTCACGTACTTGTAGACCGCCGGCGCCATCGTCTCCGCGTCGGGGATGGAGAGGTCGTGGTAGCCGATCCCGGTGTAGCGCGGCTCGACCGTCGGGGCGATGAAGTTGCGTACCTTGGACCAGGCGCCCTCGCAGCCGACGACGAGGTCGAACCCGGACTCGGTCGTATGCTCGAAGACCAAGCGGCCGCCCTCCTCGACCCGCTTCAAGCGGTGGCCCCACTTGACCGTGTCTTCCGGGAGAGATTCCGTGAGTATCCGGCGCAGGTGAAAGCGGTCGATCTCCGGCCGTTCGCCGATGTGTTTGGCATCTCCGGCACTCACCTCGACGAACTTCCTCAGGTTTTGGTCGCAGAACAGCATGTACTGCCCGTCGAAACGCGCTTCCTTGAGGTACTCGTCCCACAGCTGGGCTTCCTTGATGGCTGCGAGCCCCGTCTCGGGATGCAGATCGAGGGTGCCGCCTTGGGACCGGTAGTTGGGACTTTCGTCGCTCTCGTAAACCGTGACGGATATCTTGGAGAGGGACAGCAGGCGTGCCAGCATGCATCCCGCTGGCCCAGCGCCGATGATAGCGATTTTTGACGTCGTCATCGTAGTTTGATTCAGGTATGAAAGAGATGTCTAACGAAGTGACGTTGTCAATGTACATGAGATCTTGTGTCCAAAATAGAATATGGTGCTGCATTGGACACGCAGCTGACGAGAGGCTGGTGCTTATCTTATGTACCCGCCAGCTCGCATTCGCTTCTCAGCTCTCGCATCCTTCAAAAACAACCGGCGACCGTTTCATTATTACTTGTCGCTAGTCAGAACGCCTTCCGTGTTGTAGCGTCAATTGTTCGGCTCTGAAAAAGGCAACAATTCTTGTTTGGGTTGGTGGCAGCTCATTCCCCCTGAGGCTGAGCAGGAGCGAGAACGAGAACGAGAACGAGAACGAGGAACAGTAGGTGGTGAGTCTAGAATTGTGTATCGTACTCGATCAACTGTCAACTCTCGACTGTCAACAGAAAGTCAGGCGAGGGAGGTGTATTTAGGTGGGACCTGGGCTGTGGTGGAGGTGCTTTCCAACGCGCATCAGGAAAAAGTCGCGTCATGGAAATCAATTAAGAGCTGGAAGACGCGACGAACACGCGCTGAGTTTCATTGTCTAGTCCCTTTCCCCAGAGCAGCCGTTCGATATGGAGGTGTCAGATACCGCTGGGCTGGAGTCGGTCGCTGCCCATTCAAAAGTGGGAAATCCGGGCTAGAGAATGCCTCGATAAACGCTCCGCCATCGAGGCTGACGACGAGCAACGCGGAACGCTTCGAAGCGCCCAGCCAACGACGACGACCAAGATGATGATGATGATGATGATGGGGAGTTCGATATCAATGCGACCCCCGCGCCGACATCGACGCCTCGGAGGATGTCGACCAGCGCAGACTGAAGCGCCTGAAGCTGGCCGAGGAGAGAAAGGCAGAGTCGCGCGCCACTCGGAAGGACAAGCGTCGGGATAGGAACGAGCGTGTGCGAGAGGGAAGAAGAGAAAGCCGCCGCCGCTGCTGAGAACAGAGAACCACAAGCTCAAGAACTCGCCCAAGCCAAGACACCCCAAGTTCGGCATCCAAGTCCCCGTCTCCGTCATCCTGGACTGCCAATTCGAGAAATACATGATGGAGAAGGAATGGGAGTCTCGCTCACTAGTCAGATCACTAGATGCTATTCTGACGACCGCAGCGCCGTCTACCCCGTCCACATGTTGATCAGCTCCTACGTACGGCGGGAATATGAAGGAGATATCGGTGGTCGCGGAGGTTATAGAGGCCGATAAGTTGCTGGCCTATACTAGCCCCACAGCCGAATCCCATGTCATTGAGCCCCAACCTGGACTTATAGGAGCAGCATATCCACTCTTCCGTACGTCAGTCAGCTACCTATATTTGGTGACACGAGACTGACAGGAAGTTGTCATGATGTATATGGCGTCACAGTTGATCCCTCATGTACAGTACCGGATTTCAGGGGGGTCGGTGCCAACGAGCAGTCAAGGGGATAGTCTTGGTGTGCTAATACTCTACTTCGATGTTAAATAGTGATCGCCTTCCCACATCGCCAGCAATGACTTCGACCTTAGTCAACCACAGCGGTCTGTTCTTTACGAGATATTATCCACTATCTATTTTGCTTCGATTTTCGTCATGTTGTTCCGTGCATCAAGCCTGGCGTTCTCTCTGGCATTATTCGGTCCAGCCAACGCCGAATACACCGATTGTACGGCAGACGGAGGACCAAGTGTCGGTAATTGCACAGAAGCCATTGGCAAGATCGAAAACAAGTGCTATGACTTGAATGGTTAGCAGTCCTTGTTGATTACATGCCCTGTTTCTGGGGGGTTTGTATACCTTAGCAAGACCACAAGACTAAAAGAACACACGAACCACAGGCTACGGGTCAGGCTGCGCGGAAATCGAGAAATCAGGCGAATGCAAGGTAGTTAGTTGTCTGCGTCAACGACTTCGGCAACGCGGGTTACACACTGTCGAGCTCGATCATTCAACAGAAGGCACAAGAACTGCTTAAGAACTGCCAGAGCACTGATGGGACAACAGTCGGCGGTAATTCAAGCTATAGAACCTAAGCTCCAGTGACAGCCTGCATCAGCTGGGCTTGTACGAGAGTTACTGACAAGTGGGCAATACGCACAGGCATTTATGAACTCGACAGTCTGGCGGGCGCGAATCCGGGGAACACGTTGGTGGTGGACGGAAAGATGAAAGTGTGCGCACCGTGGACCAATGATGAGAGCGCAAATGAGGGGTACGGACCGAAAGACCGATGGGTTCATATACAACTTAACAAGTAGGTAGGCTTGGAAGGTTCAAGGGACTGTGGATGGCAAGAGGGCGATTTGAGATGACCGAATGTACGAAACGCGATCGAACTTTCACTCAATATGAAGTAATAAATAAGGGACATAACTTACGTTGCTCTTCGCAGAAACGAGGTTCGCACACTGACATGCTTGGGTCTTGCACTGTCAGAGACGGGCCACCTCACGACCACGCCGACGGCAATGCGATCTGAAGTTCAAGGTTGAAAGTCCTATAATCATACCCGTTATCATCCCGACCAACGAAGCCCCCAAATCGGCCGGTCAGACAAAGCGACTTCGCTGTTGAAACAATGTTTTAGTGGCTTTTTGGAGCATTCCGGCGGGCTGGTTCCAGGCCGGTAGTTCTGCGACCAGCTTACCTAACATGGAGCCTGCCAGGATGGGATACGATGCCACGCTGGAAAAGGAAGACAAGTTGGGAGTGGGCGGTGTCTTCACAAACAACACAGCAAAACGCATTGACTTGAGTTTTTCTTGGCAATGATGAGGTGATATGCAGCTCACGGGTAATAGAAGAATGATAAGGAAGTTGGATGTTTGGAGTTTGGAGTGAGTTCGCATGCAGCGGTGGAAAGCAGGAGGTTCGGATATTCCAATCAACCCCAACAATCCAGCCCCCGAAAGCGGTGCAAGGACAGCGGCCGCGCCCCCTGCAGCACGCGTCCACGGGTGCCCACGGGCCACTACCTACTAACCCCCACCGGGTCTAGCCCGGGCTCAGGCTGGGCTCCAGTCGTCTGTGCTCTTGTCGCTTTTCGACGTCCGATAATGGTGCAGCAGGAGCTGAGCTGGCTGAGAAGTATCATCGTGTCTGTCATCTGTCACCTGTCCTCTGTGTTTTTGAATGAATTCCATCTCTCTACCTAATCGCAAGCCCATCGTAACCGATAATCATCCTCGTCTCCGGCCGACGCTTTGCTGACGCGCCCCCTGTCGGCTGGTCGTCATTTAGCATTATCTATTGCTCACCGAATTACCTCGGCACCCGTTCCATCTCGTCAAGCGCTCGTCATTTAGGATATACATATAGGCTTGGGCGCAGGCAGTAGATAGGAAAGAGGAAGATCGTATACGGGTAGGACAGTGGCAGGACGGCAGTGGGGGAGATAGAGAAAAGAGGTCAAGAGGTCGCCATGCAGGCTCCCAATCCCTCGCAACGCTCGTTGCATCGACGGTCTCCGGGCCCAGAGAGTGGCCCTCCACCGAGTGTCCCTGCGCGGTCCATATCACCAGCGATGCAGCCGCGCTCGTCGACCGCGTCGGGTAGGTCTGCGGGGGGTAGCTCCAGGCGCAATGTGAGTAAATACCTAAGCGCAGTCTTCAGTCTTCCATTGATAAATCCGTCACCTTCTTCTCAACTACGCAAACATGTTCATGAATCTCCACTCCTTCCGCAGGCGACCAGTGACGCTGACCAGTCCACTTCCCCAGCAATCAAATGGCTCCAATATGCCGCTCTCGCAGATCGAGAAGAGCGTCACGCATTTGCTCGTCGCCACGAAACAGCTTCTCGAAACCTTGACGCAATGGTCCCGCGGTATAGCAACCGACACCCAGGTGTCCGACGTCTATGTCCGGTTGGGATACGAGTTCAATATGGCCTGCAGGGCCTTCACTGCTATCAACGTGGACACCTCCGACCTAGGAAACGTACCTGAATCTCTGCGACACATACTAGAGGCCACTCTGAGCCAAGAGGCGAGCACCGAGAGTCTGGAGAAATACCTACCCCGTATACGCGACATCATAATCAATCTACTTCATGGTTTGAAACGGAAACAGCAGAAGCTTCGGCAAAAACAGTCTCGCGAGAAAGATGGCGCTGCCTCGCCCGACAGTGGGGGGATTACTGCTCGCACCATGAGCACCAGTACCGTTGGAAGCACGAATACTGGACTCACGAATCTGCTGAACGAGGGCATCGATAGTGGCTTTGCCGCCGCTTCACAGAGAGACAGTACGACCGGTGGGCCGTCCGGAGTCAACGCGTCCCCGAGTCGCCGGCTCCAGCGAGACCAGTCCCAAGCTTCTGTCAGCTCGGAGCAGTCATCACTCTCCAGCACCACGTTGCAAAACATGCCGGTGCTGCCTCCCTATCCCGGAGATGAGACGATCCCAACCGGGCCCTCGAACGGCAGCATAGATATCGATGCCTTCCCGCCGCCCCCGCCCCCGCCACCACCGAAATCGCAGCAGAGTGCTCTGGCTGCCTTGCAAAGGGGAGGAGACCTGGAGAGAAGGGCATCCCGACGGTATTCGGCTTACCAGATCTCCAAGCATCTCGGAGCGCCAACCAACGGGGTGCCAATGCTGCCTACCCAAAATACGCCACTACCCAACCGAGGACGTGGAGAAGTGAGAGAGTCTATGCGGGCGGTCCAAGTCCGAGAGGCAATGCGACATAACCGCAACGACTCCAACCAATCGAAAAACCACGTTGATACCGAGCCAGTCCGGATACCCAGCAGAGTATCTGAGGAAGATTCGAGTACAGATTTACCGACACCCGGGGTAGAATCTCTGCCAGCTCGTTCGCCGGAAGAGAGGTTCAAGTCTACTGCCACGATATCTGGACCTTTGGACGATGCCTTCCCGATTCCGGACTCTCCTGAGAAGTCCGACCCAAAAACCGACACTTCTCCCCTGCCGCCAACGCGGCCTCAAACACCTCCAGAGAAACAAACGAAAGAATTCGCACAGGAGCAATCGCCGCCCCTGGATAAGGAGCTTACCCTGTTTTTGCAATACAAGTCGAAAGTCAAGAAATTTGTGCTTCCTGAGGGCTATACCGACCTAAGCATAGGCCGGTTGCAACTCGCCTTTATCGAGAAGTTTTCCTGGAACACGGCCTTGAACGGGGCAGGTCTGCCCGAGATATATATTCAGGATCCCGTCTCCGGCATTCGGCACGAGCTCGAAGATCTCTCTGACATTAAAGACCGCACGGTCCTAGCCCTCAATGTCGAGGCTCTCGATGAAGTCAAGAAACATTTTGACGAGGGTCTTGGGATGTTGAAGAGAACAATGGACGAAATGAAACAGAATGTGACTGATCAGGGCTCGGCTCTTCAGCAAGTGTCCGATAGGCAGCTAGAGACTGCTAAGGAGATGGCACGTATGGCAGCAGGGCCGCCCGTCATCATGGACGAAGGTGCCAAGTCTAGTGGAACTGGTGCTGGAGCCAAGCTGAATCCTAGTCAGCTCAGGGAATTACAGAGTCTACGTCGTGATCTTGCGGTCTTGCGCCAGACATACTCCAACTTCCAAACCGAGATCCAGAGCTCCATGTCTTCACTTCGAAGCAAGGCAGCTAATGTCAAGGTCGCAGCAGCCAAGGCCTCTGTGTCGGGTGTCGATGGCGACGCTGGCTATGCCTATGTGGTGAAGGGCCGCAAACAGCTCAATACTGACTCTGATCGTCTGGTTACCAAGGTTGACGATCTACAAGATCTTGTCGAGGACCTGAGGAAGGACGTTGTGAACAGGGGTGTGCGGCCCCTGCCACGCCAGCTCGAAGGCGTGTCCAAGGATATCCAACTCTTGACCAAGGAGCTCAAGAAGATGGAGGACTACATGAAGCAGGAGAAACCAGTGTGGACCAAGATCTGGGAGAAGGAGCTCGAGGAAGTGTGTCAGGGCCGTGATGAACTTAAGCTCATGGAAGACCTCATGGTTGATCTGCAGGATGATCTCGAGAAGGCGTCAGAGACCTTCGCGTTGGTCGAGCAAGCAACCAAGGAGCAGATGAAGGAGAGCGTGCCGGCACCCCGTCAATTCTCGAAGGGCTTGAACAATCTGGGCAACAGCGCCGACCCCAACGCTGCAAAGGAGGGTGTACTGGGCGAAGTTCGAGCCTTGCAACCGAACCACGAAGACCGACTAGAGGCCATAGAGCGCGCAGAGAAGTTACGACAGAAGGAGCTCGCGACCCGCGCGGACAACCCGCTGACGAAGGAGCTGCACCATTTTGTCGAGGAAGGGAAGCTGAAGAAGAGCGGCGGTTTTGAGGAGGTGGAGAGGGCCAGGAAGGCGAAGGATGACCGGATCAGGAAAGAAGTTTGGGACCGTATGAATGGGATTGTATCTGAGGAGCCGGAGCCGGTTGGAGAAGAAGACGGCGACGATGCGGCGGAAGTAGTAGATGAAGGAGAAGGAGAACCTGCTCCGGAAGAAGAGCCCCCGGCGCCGGATGCTGTATGAGGAGGCGTGTGGTGTTATACCCGAGTTCTTATCTTTATTGTTCATACCTGTCCGCTATCTTGGACTCGTCCGTTTTGAGTACTGTCGTCCTTCGAGCGTCTCTACTGTTTCTTGTGCGTTCTGTTAATTGGACATTTGAGTCGGGAGTCTCATCTGGGTGGGTCATAGCTCAGGCGCTTTATGGGTCGTTTTGGGCACTGGTGGAGTCTTGGGTGTGTGGTCTGGTCCTGTACTTACCTAGCTGGGTCTTTTCATTGAACGACTTGAGACTGGTGTTCAAAGATTGCCTGCCTGTGAGCTTGACACGAGGCCATTGAAGACCACTGATCGATGGACGGAGTCGTAGCTAGTGACCGCGCCAGCGGAAGTAAGGTAGCTATGGATAGAAAGTCAAAGAGTTCAAATGCATCCGCAGCCACACCACGCAACCATGGGTAGTTGAGAAGCTCGTCTAACCTAGTATGTTACTCAGCTGACAAGCACTAGGCGCTCAACAACCGGAACGACCTGTCGCTGCGGAACCTGATCCCCCGGGCTCGGTGAGGAGGGAGGGCCAGCCAGGCTTGAGGGCTCCATCTCTCCTGGACAGCATGATATAGTTCCAGGTCTCTATGGGCCTCCTCGCCCTGCTCTCGTTGCAATTCCATGGTGTTGTGTTGCATAGGGTAGTCGAAGCGCTTGAAGGTCGTGTTGGAATAATCCACCACGGCTTCGCCGACACTCGGTCGATACCTTCCCTACTACTTCGGACAGGCTGATCTTTGGCGCCTCAGATACCGTAGACGGGCGCGGCTCTCGACCACATAGTGGATGTATGATATATCTCTGATACCATAACTGCTACCTCTCAGGCGAGTGTTTGATGAAACGTAACGTGATTGAGGTATATATGATTGTTTATAATCAGAAGTTTAAAAACGGTCGTTCCGTGCTAAGCTGTCTGGTACAAGTCAGGTGCGTTGTTAGGCAATGGAAGCTTCAGTCTAAAGGCATCATCAATCTGACACGTACGGGACAGATCAAACATGTAACGAGTACGAACTTCAGCAGAAAATCGCAAGTATGTCAAGCATCTCAAAGCGAACCTACCGCGATCGCATTCAGAAAGCAAAGTCCGGACGTGCGTGCGTCTTCATGTGTTATGTGACAAGTACGAAACATTACTCAAATTCCTAAAATCATCGTTTACTCCCAAGACTACTTAAGCACTAGGTGAGGAAAATAATGATAAAGAGATCACATCCATCCATCCACCCGTACCCGGTAAAGCACATCCCCTCCCTCCCCCATCAGAAAGAAGACAACCAAATAAGTTAGACTGCAACCTCAAGAATCCTGTCCTGTCCAGATCTACCAAATCTCCACCTTCCGCCTCTTAGCATCCGGCTCCCAGCCCTCGCCCGACCCAATGGTATCCGGATCGACCTCGATCTCGAAATAGTCGGTAATATTGTCGCCTTCCCTATACCTCGTGCAGCACCTGCGGTCGTTGTCGTCGGGCAGCAGAGCCGGGTCCTCGGCGGCCGCCTCGGCCCACGCCTTCCAGCTCTGCGCCGCGCCCGCGCTGCGGGACTGGACGCGCTCTTTCGGGTTCGCGGCCGGGCCCGTGACCAGCCGGCCGATGCGCCGCTCCGCGTGCGTCGTCGTGAGCCAGATTAGGAGGTCGGGCCTGGTCAGGTTCTTGCCCGCCCATACCTGGGGGATTTCTTTCCGGTAGTATTGGGGGTGTTCCATGATGTCTGGGTGGTGGGGGGTGTCAGTTTGGTCTTTTCCCTTTTGTTTCTTTCTTTCTCCCCGAAAGTGGGGATAGGGGAATAGAGGTCAGAAATGGTGGAGCTAAAAGGGGTCTGTCGACATACCAGTGACATTATACACATCGCCGTTAGCCTCGAGCCACGCACCGCCGGCCCAGTCTGGCTCATAGTGTCGGGCCAGCACGCCATCAGTGATGGTCGGCAGAGGCCGCAAGTCGCGCAGCTTGGCCACCACGCTCGCCTTCTCGTGGAGGTACAGGCGCGAGAGGGCGACGCTGGCGCTACCCTCGGTCGTGAGGACGGAGGTCGCGTCGGTGCCGCGGTGGCTGAGCAGGTCATTGTACAGAACTGGGTCCTTACCTCGGAGTCCTGGGGGCGGTGGGTGCTAGCAAGGCACGTCCGTGGTGAGCAAGTCCTAGGCAGGTATCCAAGCAGGGTGAAAAGGTGGGCAGCTTGGGCTGCTTACCATTGATATTGAACACCCAGTCGTGGAGTACTATCTCATCACGCTTTACCTCGTCGAGGTTGACTTCCTTCACGAGGCGACCGACCTTTAGCTCCTCATAGTCTCTGAGGATGGCAGGATCGTGGCTCTGCAGGAATGCGGCGGTCTGATCCACGCCACCGCCCATCATGAGGATATCCCTTCCACCGGGGTGGTGCTCGATGTAACCTGGTGACTGTGTTAGAACGACAGGACAGTCACCGACTAAATTTAACTCACCTGTGATATCGTAGATGACGTCCTGGATAGCCACATAGACTCCTGTCCCGGGGTTGTCGTGCCAGCGCAGCATCTTCTCCGTCATGGGATAGAGCTGTGGGCGCACGCTAGACTTTGAGGACTTCAGGCTTCCGCATTTGAACAGCGACAGGTTGTCCAGCAGTTCGTCGTCGAACTGGTCGGCTGGAGAGGAGGGGTCTGGCATCTCGTCCCGGGATGCCTGGAGGACACGCTGCTTTTCGTCCTGGCTGGTAAAGGGGAATTCTGCCCAGATCAGCAACTATCCCTGCTGAAAAGGAAAACAATGTGAAACTTACCGGTGATATCGTAGATGTAGGTGCCGAATGCGACCCACTGCAACGTCAGGTGTCAGTAAAGAGGGCTGGATACCCATTGAGTGAGTAAGAGCCTTACCGTCTTCCCACTAGATCTGCCCTGGCCGTCTGTGTATTCTTCAAACTCGGCCGGGTGTAGCTCCATCATCTGCTTGCCAATACGACTGATCTCTTTGCCTAGCTTTGCGCGGATCGCATTTGCCTGAGCGCCGTTCCTAGAGAGCATCCGACAACGATCAGGCGTCATGGCCAGGAGTGCTTGGTACTGCTGATTGGTAAGTTTCAACTGTTTCAACTCCTCTGTACACACAAGTTAGCTCAGGCTGTCTGCGGTCCTGTACGAGTGTGGTCGACAATACCTGTGATATCATAGACATCGTAGCCATAGCTCCCGTCTGGCTCAACGATCCAGGCGTGGTCAACCGCCCGGTGGTTGGTAATTTCACCGACCGTAAAGTACAGAGTTGGTATGCGTGTCAGCCGACTTTGGGAAGAGATGCTGTTCTTCATGGCAACACTTTTCGTGGCAGCTGAGGAGACGCTAACCATGCGACCCTTCGTGCTTGTTGGGGCAGCCGCCACGGAAATCAAGCGCTCGGCGTCCCTCAAGAACACATCGGCGCTCTCGTTGTCCTGACGCACGACCCATGGCTCGGAAGAATCGTAGGGGGGTATGTCGAAGTTGAAGCTGGTATGAACGTCTGGCTCGGGGTTTTTCTGCCTCTCGGCAATGACGTCCCTTGCGGCTTGTGCAAGGGCAGAGATCCAACTTTGGGGCATCGCGTATGTCTTCACACATTGGGCGAACAAATCTTTAAATTTATCCAGCATTTCGCCATGATTCGAATATTTGCTCTTTGCACATCCAGATCTTTTGGATTTACGGTTTGAAATGAGCGTGGGCCATCCGTTTTTGGCAGCGGCTTGTGTGCTCGGGTGGAATTCGGTCGTGACAGTCATCTCGTTGTATTCGTCGTCCACTGCAACGTGATGATCAGTAACTGCCTTTGAAAACGAACACGAGAGAGGTTCCGGGGCCAATCAGAGGTCACAACCAGGCTGTAGGAGGCTGCTCTTGATCCTAAGGTGTCTCAAAGGGGATATAGATGTACTCAGAAACTTGCTTACTGTATGGTATTGAAGCCTCCATGAGGAGCCCGATGACCGCGAATAGCCATATCACAGAATTCTCACCCGCTTTGGCTTTCTTATTGGCGAAGTATATTTTCATATAGCGTGAAAGTCTCTCCGAAATCTGCTTAGCTTCCACTGAAATGATGAGAATCAGTACCCTATCTAGTCTGATCGGCTTGGGGCAAAGACGGGGAGTGGTGGGCAGCCACCAGCACGTCGACGGCAGGAATGAGCAGGGCACCCGATATCACTCACCCCACGATTGGCTTGCGCTGTTGACGCAAAACATGTCACGTTAGTGCCTGACCTTGTGCGCATGATCCGAGATGGACCACAGAATCTAACTTACTACTGAAACGTTAGTACGAGAAGTCATTTTCTTACTTCTTCAGGAGACAACAGTCCGTGTACGTACCTGGGCTTCCTTGAGCCGTGAGATGAGCGTTCTACATTGGGGCCAGGCCCACTGTACATCCGTAGTTAGTCCAAGCAATGTACGGGGGGACGGGGAAGTGTCACAAGAACGACCTATACGTAGGCTAGAGTAGATCAGGCACGAGGCTGAGCTGGACTTACCGGTGTCATTTGCCATTTCTTGTACTCATCTGCATACCAGGGACGTCTTATCTTCCAGGACTGGTTTATCCTCTTGAAACGGTTCCCCACTGCACCATATCCAGTTAGTAAACGCCCTTCAATGAAGCCTCGAGTCACGAAGACGGGAGGAACGGAAATCACTCAACATCCTACTCACTTGTAGTATATACCGAGGCCTGGTCAGGCTGATGGTTAAGCAGCTTCGCGGTCATGTACCTCTGTTCCTCACCGACTGAAGTGTCATAGGCGCGCATGAACCGTGGTACTTTGAAAGCGGCGCTGCCCTCGATTGGGACAAATTTTTGCCACATGTTCTTCGCTAAGTAACGATGACGACCACCACTGCGTACCACGTTAAAAACTTGATCTGGGATCCTGGACTGGTTTCGCAGGGTTACAAGGAGTCCCTGATGGAACGATAATTTGCGTCTAGAGATGGCCAGGTTCTAAACTCACAACAGGTATGACCATGGTATGGAATGGCCCCTTAGTATCTTTTGATCTGGTGTTATAATTTTCACAAAGTGCCTCCTGACTATATCTGGCCATGAAATTGGTCGACCATAGTACCCCAGTATAGTTGAATGCGACTCCCCTGGCCTGCCACGTCGAAAATCAGTTTCTCGATCCATAATAGAGATCGAAGGCACGCGAGGACCACCTACAGGTCCCTTTCGCTCGGGGTACTGGTCGGTCGATAGATACGATCTCGTTGGGTCTGGATTTGCAAATAGTCTATAGCCGAATACTGAGCCCTCCATTGATTCGCCTAATTCGGCTATGAACTTCAGCAGAGTAAGTTTCAGTAGGTTCGTTTCGGTTCTGTCAAGTTATTGATGACTAGCCTCAGTGGAAGCTGATGGAGGTGCTCCCAGGATTATCCTGCAAGGGGAAAGAATCAAAAGAGTCGGTGGGACATGTACGGCAGAAGACTCAGGTTGCATACCTCGCGCGCCACGAACTACACACGTGGTCAATGTAAGTAACCCCAGCCCTTGGTAGTGGGTTCGTCTTACCGGTTCTGTTGTTTTCCTAGGGTCGTCTCCTCCTGCTCTATTTCTTCCAAACATGGTTGCGTGCTGTTAGTGTTAGCATTAGAGAAACTTGTGAGCTTCCAGAGGCCTGGTACCATTAGCTCGTGGAGTATCTAGGAATATGTTAGCAGACCAAGTTATACAGGTCTGAGGTGAGGTACGAGCGACTCACGGTCACGGTTAAATCCCACTGCGCAATGCATTTCTCCGCTAGCGGTAGTTTCGTGTTAAACAATGCACGCAAGGGCGCCACAGAAATCATCACAACATGGAAGGTCTCCCAAGGAATTGTTTCCGGAGTGGGTGCTTGAGCGTAAGGTTCAATGCTCTCGTCCTTGAACGACCAACTGGTCTCCTGATTGTAATGTATCAAGCGCTCCCACATTTGCTGTGAAGTAGCTCTTTGTCTCCGCCGGCGCATGCGAACAACTATACCATCGAAACTCGGTCAGTCCATGCTGTCACCGAAGTTTTATGACCAAAAGCGAGCTGAATCGCTGCATAGGGGGTTCAAACAATCTTGCTTTTGCGCATACCTCTCGGATCGGCATAAGACGGGAATTTACCCGGTTTCCCATGAAAGCTCGCCCATGTCTGTCGGGGTTGGAAGAGAATCGCATCCAGCCTTCGTAAAAGCGAACTTGTCAGTTCAACTAGTACGGAGGAAGGATATGGCAACATTTTGTACACACCATGCGCTTCTCTCCGATATCATTACTGACATAATTCTACTCACGGCCTCCAAGCTGCGGTAGAAGAGGTTAGGTAAGTTACTGGCTAATATCTCAAGTGTTGGATCCATGCGATTCCAGCCTGCAAACCACCTATACCAGGACCCACATGTATGATTAGATAAGTGATTAGATACCGGATTGCGAGGTCACTTAGCCAGACCTTCAGGTCCAGCTAGACCTCCCAATCCAACCATCAGCAACATCATGACCTTGACCCCATACTCGAGTATTATGATTGATCGTTCAAGCCTGTTCCAACATCAAGAGTGTATGTGCGAGGTCGTCGAAGGCTCATCAGTGACGGGACGCTTTGAACCGATGGTGAGAACCCCGACCCCCCGAGGAGCTTCGGGATGAGGCAAGCAACGCAGGAGTACTTGGATACATACGAGACTTGTAAATAAGACCATACTACAGGATTATCCACTATAATGCCCAGAGTCAGCAGCCGCCTCGGCGGAAACGACACAGAATGGAGATAGGTCCCAGATTGCAAGACTTGTACGTTACTCGCCCCCGCCCCCGCAAGACAGAAGGCGATCAAGACGCAGGGTAAAGCTGGTAAGAGAATGTGCTTACCACTCCAACACTTGGGATCAGTCTTTTGCCAGATAGGATCCGGATTCTGGATAGTATCAAGTGGGTTCACTTGAAGATCATACCAACGATCCTTCAACAAGAACGCAGGCCAGTCCCTCTCGTCGACTCGTATCATCTGCCTCTTGAACAACTCTTTAGCTCTGGCGGGATCTTCGTCACGCAATGGCTGCGATCGGCCTTTTGGATGGTAGGTATCGAGGTTGAGAGTGGGGAGCTGATAGGTCCTGAGGCCCCCAGTGGAGTGTTGCTGCTGTCTCTCCCCATTGAATAACCTGTCTAGTGTTTGGTCTTCGGGTTTCGGCAACGGCACGGTCTTGGGCGCGTCTTGATACTTGAAAAGCGGCAGCTCAGGCAGCATGGGCTTGAGTTCGGAATGCACCTCGTTGCCATTGTCGGTTCGCCAGAAAGAGTCCAGGGGTGCTCCAAAGGTCTCTGCCCATATAGAGGACCGTCGGGGTTTCGGGGCCACTGGGGGCACTAGGGACACTGCCGCCATTACTACAAATAGGAATGGGATATGGCAGATAGCTTCTGCTCACTTCATGCCAACAGTACGTGGTTTCAAGCTGGTTGATCGGGTTCAAATGGACGACAACTCGGGAAGCAGGCACCTGAAGCCTGAAGGAAGCAGAGCAGCAAGATGAAAGCGCCACCTACATAAGATTAAAGGCAGCAACTTGAAGTCTCAACCTCAGCCAGGCGGACGTGGATGAACGCAAATGGTTGGAATGTGCAGGGCTACTTCCGTCCGTCCATGGCTGTGGCTGTGGCTTTGTAGCGAATCTTTGCAGCGACATTGAGTGATGTGAAGACAATGGAAATCTGGCCTGCCTCCATCATTGATGATGCCATCCTGATACCTCAAGTGACAAAGGGTTGAAACCTGAAGGCTGAGGTTGACCTACAAGGATGGATGCACTGATCAGTTGTCACCTAGCTGGAGACTTACCTTACCGCGTGTTCGAGAAAGCTACGCTATAGGTTAGGTAGACACTCCCATCTGCAGTACGCCGGAATGCAAGCTTTCATCTAAGAACTTGAGGATCACCTTAGATAAGGTTGTGAGGTCCACGATGTTGTCTCATCTAGGCCCGAAGGTAAGGTAAGTGTAGGTACCCCCACTTTATTCCCATAGCGGCTAAATATGGGCCCGCGGCCGCTTTCAGTATCCCCACATGAGCTGCCACCTGCGCTTGCTGCAACAGCTGGCAGCTGCTGTCTGCAGGTCTCCACTCACACCCTGACCCCTGACCCCTGAGTCCCCACAGTAACGGGGTACTATCGCCGTCGTGTATGACGTCCACAACCTGCCCGAGCCATCAAGAAACCGAAACACTCAGCGACAATATCTTAGAAACTGACTAATTCTCCGTAATTGCGACATTCAGCCGAGGCCTGCTACCACCTCCCGACGTTGTATATTACTATATCCTTTTCTCCAGTCGAGGGACAACAGTGTGACACTATTACTTCTCAATGTCACTTCACCGAGCTTCACGAGTGCTTAGACAGTCAATCTTCCAATCCCACAGCTACGCTCGACCTTGTGTCTCACTTCTATCCATCCCGTCCCTCTCGTTGTGCGCCCACCAGCCCTTCAGCACCACCAACATGGCTAGCTTTCCCACCCCATCAAGTGACCGGCCGAAGCACGAGATGCAGTACTTCCCGGATATGCTGACGGCTCTGCCATCCAAGTCTGCCGAGTTTAGACGAGTGCTATGGACTGGTACGTGGTTCCTTGTCGGCAGTGACCGCTTCGGAGAACTCATTCAGACCCAGGCCTCTATAGTCAGCTTGTTCTGATGACAATTCCGGTGGGAGGAGACATCGGTGATGAGGTACGTCTTGCTCGTACGCCCTTTGGCTGGTCGTCCCACTAAAGCCACTCTAGGTTCACACGGTAGACCAAATCCTGACCTTCACCTCGGGTACGGGTCTCGCTCAGGTTGGGGGCAAAGAGCAAGAGGTCAAAGCCGGAGACCTCGTCATCGTACCGGCTGGCACGCAGCACCAGTTCATCAACACTGGACCTACGCCGCTGCTTTTGTACACTGTGTACAGCCCGGCAGAGCACAAGCCAACGAGCGTGCACAAGACCAAGGAGGAAGGTGACAAGGAGGAGGAGGAGGGTATCGACGAAGCCCCGGAATGGAGTCAGAAGAGCAAGGCTGAGAATGAGAAGGAGGGTTGGGTCAAGGTGCCCGAGTGAAATTTCAGTGCTGCACACATGGGAAGGATACGCAAGTCGCAGCGTGCGGGTAAGGATACGAACTGTGCCTGTCGCGCAGACACATTCTTGCTGCTCTCACAGACAACACAGGTTTCACATCACGAGGCGTTAGGCCACTCTCGAATGGATCTTTATCTCAAAGCAATATGCAATGCAAGCTGCCATATCCTGTCGTCCATGCCCCTTTGCATCGAGTTCAGGCATGGGAAATGCCCAGGTCTAGCTCTGATGATCCCATAATGTGAAAACAAAATCGGGTGCCCGAGTGCGGAACGCCGCGAGATCCAGGTTTCGTAAACTTTTTGGAGGTACGCTTGTTAATTGAGGAGACTATCCGTGAGCTAAATCACGAACCATCCACTTCTATCTACAGACTGCACTTGCCCGCAACTGCCGAGTCTTGCGACGCATCAAGCTCCTCCACCGTAACAGATCCCATCTCCGCATGAAAAGCAGCCGCCGAAGGCTCCCTGCCCAGGTACTCTCTTAAGATCGTCATCTCGTCATCGAGGCCCACCAGCTTCTCCAGAACCATGTGCCTGAATCGTCGTCCTTCCTTGCCATCGAAAACATTCTGCTGAAACTTGGAGAAAAACACATCGGAAGCAAAGACCATACACCAGGTATAGCTGTAGCTGTTCGTCTCGTATCCCAAGCCCATGATGTGCTCATACGTGGTGTAGGGATGGTCCTCGTCACTGTAACACCCGCGTCAGTAATCCCACGTCAATCCTGTTTTTGGTGGCACACGCGACATACCTAGTTATATCAGGGAGTTCTACGCCGCTGCCGCGTTGGAGGTCGCGCTCAACCTGATGGAAAAGCTCCGCGTAGCTCACGCCCTTGAGGCTGTCCGCAGAGCCATGGACTCGCGCGTCGAAGTAGCTGAAGGGGAGATCCCTACGCATTAGGCCATTCAGAATGAGCTCCGGTTTCCGGGACACCAGTTCGTGTATCATGTCGTTCGGCATAGGGCGGTTCGTGACGTAGTGACTGGAGAGCCGCTTCAGTACCGACGGATCCCAGCACCAGTACTCGAGCAGGAGCGAGGGCAGCTCCAAGATGTCCCAGGAGCACTCTGCGTTGTACCTCGCGTACTTGTATTCCAATGCGATGTCGTGCAAGGCGTGGCCTAATTCGTGGGCGACGCCGATGAGTTCCGTGTATGTCATTAACGCAGGCTTGTCGTCTTTCGGCTTTGTCAGGCACCAGTTGATGGCGCCAACCAGCAGGTGCCTGTGTCGTCCCTCTAGCTCGCAGGTAGACTGTAGGTTGTGATAACATGGGTGGCTGTGGCTGAATAAGTCGAGGTAAAGGTAGCCGCGGAATCGGTCTTCTTCGGGGTCCCATACGCTGTACAGTAGGACATCTTCATCCCACACCACGTCCTCTGCACTTCCGGTTGGCGATAATCTTGCTCGGTCTTCATCCGTGCTGATCTCGAGGAACTCGAATCCAAATACGCCGCCGACAAGCGCGAGAATAGACGAGATCGTGGGGAGCACAGGAAAATATTCGGATACTTCTCGTTCGTACACGTCCCATCTCCTCTTGCGGTACAGAGCGTGGCAAAACTCAATGTCCCATCGATAGATCTTACCGTCCGACGGTACGTTTCTCTTCTGGAGATCAACTTCCTTGGCTGAAAGTAGTTTGTCGGCATATGCCTTGTAGCGCGGCCGTGCGTGGTCACGTATGTCGTCCAGGAATTCGAGAACCCTATTCGGAGTACCAGCCATCTTCGACTCCAACATGTAAGCCCCGAAGCTCTCCCTGTCGGCGAGCTGCGCGATTTTCTGGCGAAGGGTGATCATCTCGCCGAATGAAGAAATGTTCTCGGGACACTATTTCTGTCGTATTAGCAACAGCTCCAGAGTTAGGGGGGGACGAATACTTGCCCTCTTCCTCTCCTCCAAGAACAATCTCTTTCGAGACTCCGCATTGGTACAACAAGACATGACAGTCTTTATTTCCTTCCCCTTGAGCGTTACTCGTAAGCGGCCTTGGAATTCGCCTTCGCCCCGTGCCAAAGTCGAGATGAACTCGTCAGGCATGCCAGAGAGTTCCTCGTGAGTGAACCATACGCCGCGGTCTTTGTCGTTGTCGATGTTCCTCGTGCACTTGGACCCAAGTTCATACACGCGTTCCCAAATCGTCTGCCAGCGGTCCTCATCCCAATCCGGCGGTTGATCCCACGGGTTCGGACCCCAGTACTTCAGCAGTTTCGCATCTTCTGGGTCAAGATCCTCTCCCTTGTCAATAGCTGACTCCACAAGGGTCATGTAACGCTCATCACCATGCCTAATCCCACTGGCCGCGGTCAAGAGCGCCTGGGCCTTCTCGATTGCGCTGTTGAGGTCTGATCGGAATACATGGTCTCGTAGAAAATGGACTGTGTACAGGAGCAGCAACTCCTCGTTGTATATCCGCTCCATTGGTCGGACCACGTTCTCGAATCTAGCATCACCAGGCGATGTGTTGGCGACAATATTCTCCATGGCGGTGTGGTATTCGGCGCATATTGTATCAACCTCTCTGAGGAATGACTCTTCGGAGATCTTGCAGTTTGGGAGCAACTGGGTTGATCCCTTACGTTTCGCAGAAGCTGCCATGGCGGAGATGGGGAATGAGTAGCACAACGAGCTGGGAAGGGTCTCGGGGTGGGCTGGTCGGACAACCTCAGCAAGAAACGGCTTTTTGCATTCGTGCCGATGAACTCTCTATAACCCAGGTCTGGACCTGCCATGGTACGTTTCAAGGCAGTGGCGACACCTCAGCTCAGGCTTCCACGATGATGTCCCTTCCACGGATGAGGTCTCGACTCTCGATTTGCCGCGGTCGACCTCCGTCTACTCCAAGATGGGGGAGGTGCACCGGGAGGGGAGATTGGCCGCAATGACATCAATCCCAATCGCGCCTGTCACGGTGTCGAAGGCGCAACTGCACTACGTAAAGTATCGAGTTCTAGGTGCAACACAACTGTCCACATCACGTAGCGTGCCTGCCTGCCGCGTGCCCTTCACTGCGATCCGGGGAAGCAGCGCCAGTCCCCGCCGTCTGCCTGTCTCATGTACTGCAGCATGAATCGGCCACTCGAACCCCTTCGCCAATAGTCTAGCGGCTCGAACGGCTCAGATCCAAGTTGCTTCCAGAATAGATGAGCCCATCGCTGTAACATCGCCGTGTTTTTTTTCTGGTATCTATCTTCGCTGTTAGGGGAACGGAGACGTCCCTCTAAGTTACTCTTCGACACGTTACGGAACTACACATAACCCTTGTAGGAAATCCTTTCCTGGTAGTCAAATCATGAAAAGCATCCGCCACCGCTGACAGAGCTGGTTATAGCAGCACTTGCTGACGATTGCATTACTAGGCCTTCCAGGCTCGCGTCCTCTCAGCAAGACGGACTGCAATGTATCTTAACCAGGTAGCAGACCTGATTAGTATCAAGATGTTGGTATGTGAATACTGCGCGGAGGAGTCATTGTAGTAAGTTTCTGAATGAACTGATCAGGCGACTTAATGATGTTAACTTACCCCTATATACCCCTTTTTCTTCCACACCACTTGACCCCAGTCGATTTCACGATCCTACGCGCGTCCCAGATTTGGCGCTGCAACTAAGCACTCGAACTCAAAACTACATGGTTGGCCCGGAGCTGGGGCACCAGCAGCAATATTTCAATCACATGTTGCTCTGCCAGGCCATCCGCTGTAGACTTGCTGGCTAGTTATTGGATGGTGGCACTTGCGACTAATACCAAAATTCGATTGATAGTGATGCGCATCATGCGATCATGCGCTCTTTGGCTGGTCGCGGGACTGTACCACAATTGGACGTCGGTTTTCTTAAACTTGTCAACGAGTTCTCGCAACGCCGAGCAGGGAGCAAGGGCTACTGGTTGAAGTATTTAGTTACACTCAGCCTTCATATGTCTTTGTGCACGCCATGTTGAAAGATGACACGCCCGGTATGATGATGGACTTGGTGAGATTCTTGATGCCCAAGTGGTCAGTAGTGTATCGAGGACACGAAGGCGAGATGTGTTTTGTTGACAGGGAAAGAAAGTTCGCCAATGATGGCTGTTGGATGTGGAGAGCTCAACTGTCATAGACTTGGATCGAGGCACTGCCAGAGATGGGTGTCATACTGTGCAGGCGTAATGACTGTGTTCGGCATATGTTCCAGACAGAACTAAGCGTTGTGCCTCGGAGGTTTTCAATGCTATGCTGGTACTTGTCATATGAAAAATCCATGGCTTGTGAAGGCTGTCCAAAGAACGCTAGAGGGGAGGCAACCAACACATGCATCCGGCTTCTTGCTTCCTCGGGGTCACTTGTATATCTCAGCCACAAGGGACTCGTCACGATCGGGTCTTCCGACATATGTGCATAAGAGATGGTGCCGTGCATATTTCTTTTACTAAAAGTGTATAATTCATGATAGTATCAAGTTGATAGCCTGGGCACGATTGTGTACATCAGTCGTCGTTCATCGCAACTTTGACGGTATCGAGATGCAACTTCACAGAAGATCTAGAGGCTATGTACATGTACCGGTCGCCGCTGCAGGACGCCACGCGCCACACATCTTCCTTATTGTGGCTTGCACGTGTCGTCTCAGCCCTCGTTGCTGCCTCGACCTCCAAAGCAAACGCTGTGTCTGCAGGTGGTGGAATTGGTGCATCCATTTCAGCGGGCAACTGGAGGCTGTGCCGCTTGACGAATCATGTCGAGGCCCCACCAAGCACTGTCAACTGGTCTGATAGCTGATAGCCTAGAGGTTGGTGGTATGTAGCAGTTAAGTCGTTGTAGATGGTCGCAGGGTCTTTTCTTTCACCTTTTGGAGGAGCCCTCTCTTTCATGATTTCTGCCCCCCCAGATTTGGCTAGGTGGGTCATACCGCCCTCGACAACGTACTCGTCCGCGCCCCAACCCGACTAACTCTCTCTTCCTTTATCAGAAACCTCCGCACGAACTGGTACATGCGACCCGACCACCTCATCCCGAATTCTTCTTCATCTCGAAGCTGTAGAGGCCGCGATAAGACACCCCTCGGTCGCCATGGCTGGCCCCGCCTCTCCCAACGAAGGCCCCACGTACGAACCGCCACAACTTCCCCCGGGATGGATCGCGCAATGGGACGGCTCGAGCAAGAAGTACTACTATGTCCAACTGTCAACCGGTGTCTCCCAATGGGACACTCCAACACAGGCTGCGCCCGGAGGCACGCCAGCTCAAGCAGCTGAGCACCCATACGGCGTCCCATCCCACCCAGAGCTCATCACACACCCAGATGGCACCCAGACCGTGAAGCACCCCGATGGTCGTATGGAGCCTGTCTTGCCGCCTGATGGTAGCAGAGGCGTCGATGGTCCGAATGGCGAGAGGGGACTTGGTGTAAGTAGCTTCAAGCGTCTTCACAGGTACTTGGTGGCACTGTCGTGTAGCGATGCTGACGGGACTCTGGTTTGTAGAGCTTTGCCGCCAACCAACTCATGAGCCAGTTCGGGGGTAGCCATGGAAAGCCCCACGGGGGCAGTGGTCAGGGCTCAGGCGGTGGCATAGGAAACCTTGCAGGTCAGCTTATCGGCGGGCTTGGAGGTAGTCACGGCAACAGCGGACACAACAGCGGACACGGGGGCCAGCCCGGAGGAGGCGCTGGCAAGCTGGTTGGCCAGCTGGCTTCGAACCTGTTCTCGTCGGGTAACAAGCCGCAACAACCGCAGAACTATCATGGTGGACAGTCTCAACAAGCTCAGCATTCCGGCGGCATAATGGGAGGCGTTTCTGGCCTCTTCGGTGGAAATCACGGAGGGCAATCTGTACGTCGACCAACTTGGGGCACTAGAATATGGGCTGACATGTCTGCAGGGCCAGAATTACGGTTACTCACACGCAGGCCAGTCGGGGGGTTACAATGGCCAAGCACCCCCTACGTCTTACCAACCGTCGACTGGCTCTACTCCTGCATACAGCTCACCTCCGCCGAACCAACACGGATCGGTGTCATACGGAGCGTCCCCTAGCCAACACGGAACGCCCTCGTTCCAGCCTCCGCCGAACCAACACGGATCGGTGTCATACGGAGCGTCCCCTAGCCAACACGGAACGCCCTCGTTCCAGCCTCCGCCTGGGCAGCACGGAACGCCCTCGTACCCTCAAGCCGCCGGCCATCAAGGGGCGCATCAAAACCCTTCATACGGTGGTTTACCACCCTCTTCGGGACCACAGTCCAGTTATGGACACAGCCCAGTTCCTCAGCAAGGACACGGATACCGTATGTTGTTCCCCGGTCCATCTATCAGAAATGTTTTAGCTAACAGATTGACAGCACAACAACATCAATATTCATCCCCGCCGCCGAACCAGCCGCAATACGCCGGTCACCAGCAATACCCGCCTCCCCTGTCTACGTACGACAACCAGCAGTACCCGCCGCCACCATCGTCAGGACCGCAACACTACGCAGGTCAGCCATCGTACGCAAATGCGGGGCCTCCTGTTCCCTCAGTTACACATCCTCACCATGGCCAACATGGAGGCCAGCAGGGAGGGTATCCTGGTAACTGGTAGGGAAGCATTTGGGAGTGTCGTCCGCGTCGGTGGTCTTGGCAGGCATATAATAGATCGCGGAGTCCATTTCCCCCTTGTTCGAGCATTTTCGCCGGTTTGATGTTCTGCCCTAAAAGTCGTCCCCGTACGAGGGTACTTGATGAGGGAGAAGCACGGAAATACACGCCTGCTAAGTGCTTGTTGGATGTCTTGACTCATGCAGTTCACGATTCACGATGTTTGGAAGGTATGCACCCTCGTTTGAATCTAGAAGACAATGACGGAGGCCCTATTGACTTTTCTTCTGGCTTGGTTCCATTGGTATCTGGCGGATCTTCGTTGAAATTAGCTGTGCAAGAAACCAAGACGCAATGGCCACCACAATGATGTAGATAACGGTTGGCGCGAGTGACCGAGGCAACACATTAAGTAGGAAGGGGTCCAGGATGATGTCCACATGAACCGGAGGAACGTCTCTCATCAAAGTTTTGTTCATGGTGTAATAATCAGCGGCTGCGAGTACTTGGAGGAGGAGCACAGATGCTTGTCGTTCCGACGCCGAAGCAACCCCTGAAAGCTTGGCGGACCCTGGCTTTTCACCGCTGGGTTTGTCCACGGCTGGCTGTCGAGACCGCGAATACTCGGAGAGATCCGAGATCAGCTCCGGGGTCTCAAAGACGGTTTGCAGCTCGTATGTGTTCATCCTGAATGCAGTCGGTTGCTGCGATGGAAGTGAGCTCCCGCCGGTGCATGATGAGGAGCATGACTCGGGTGGTCTGTCTAAGGTACTCACAGTTGCTGCCCAGCAGACCCTCACTTCGTAGCGCTGACCCTCGGTCAGTTCATCAAGAACCAGCCACGTAGCTTTCCCATACTCAAATGCATCGCTCGGGAACTGGGCTTCCAGGTGTGTCCGGACTGTGAAGTCTTGAGGGGTCAGGGTGTCGATGTTTAGGTCGTCTAGTGTTGGGTGTGCCGATGAGATATTGGCTGCTGGTGGGCCGAGGAAGATGGCCTTTTCTGTGTTTCCACGCACGGTGGTCACCGTGAGAGATGCTAGGAGGAGAAGAAGCAGCATTTTGAAAGATTGAGATGATATCTCTGGAAGATAAAAGAAATCCAGAAGCTGTAAAGAACTGAATTGATACCCGTCTTCCGTTGAGCTTGCAAGTCCGGGTTCCTACATCAAACTGGAACGGCGAAAGCTGCATCGCTGTACCTGGCGCCGAGCTGTTGGTTAGCTGGCCCGGTTCCCCGTAAAAACCCGCGAGAGACCGGATCATTGGTCCGTGCGTCTCTGGAAACCCAATTAGACTAACCCCGATCAGGCAACCTCTCATGTCAACAAATTGGCCCCTCGCGCTTGCTCAGCGTGGATAGTGGGCACAGTGCAGGGGCAACAAAAACCCCCCACATTGGCCAAAACGACCCTTCCAGCTGCCACTGCCAGCACAGCACAGGCGACAGGCACACCACATCAACATTCTCCCCTCGACCTCACTCCTTGTACTCTCTCTACCTTAGACTGCTGCATCCATTCCTCCGCGCACAACCTGTGAGAAGGTTGTTTCTTGACCTTCGCCCTTCTTGTTTCTTCACCTCTTCCGCATCAGCTTTTGCATCGCATCTGCAGTCACCATGCGCGAGATCATCAGCATCAACGGTATGTCTCTCCCCATCTCCTGAGCACGCGTTTTTCCTTCACCGCATATCCTCCACGATGCCCGCACGCCAGTGCAATGCCCACGCCCCGAGGTTGCCCCCATACTGACTGCTCTGCTTCCTATAGTCGGCCAGGCCGGTTGCCAGATTGCCAATTCCTGCTGGGAGGTGAGTTTTCCGCAGATATCAACATCACCCATCGAATGCTTGCGACCCGATCACCGCCTGGTCGTGGCTGTCCCGGCCTCGGATGAATACCCGAGCTCAACTGACACTAATTCTTCCGCAGCTCTACTGCCTCGAGCACGGCATTCAGGTATGTTGACTTGTGAGATCATCTGCGGAAAAGTACGCAACTAACGCACCTCGATCATGTAGCCCGATGGATACCTAACCGAGGAGCGTAAACAAGCCGACCCCGACCACGGCTTCAGCACTTTCTTCTCCGAGACAGGTAGGCGACACTTGCAGTATTCATCTGCATGGAAACGAGTGAGGACTAATAGTTGAAATCCGCAGGCCAGGGCAAGTACGTGCCTCGCACTATCTACTGCGATCTCGAGCCCAATGTCGTCGATGAGGTCCGCACCGGCACCTACCGAAGTCTCTTCCACCCCGAGCAGATGATCACCGGCAAGGAGGATGCTTCCAACAACTACGCCCGCGGCCACTACACCGTAGGCAAGGAGCTTATCGATCAGGTTCTGGACAAGGTTCGACGAGTCGCCGATAGCTGCGCCGGTCTCCAGGGTTTCCTCGTCTTCCACTCCTTCGGTGGTGGTACTGGATCTGGTTTCGGTGCTCTGCTGATGGAGCGCCTATCCGTCGACTATGGCAAGAAGAGCAAGCTGGAGTTCTGCGTCTACCCTGCCCCGCAGACCGCCACCTCCGTCGTCGAGCCGTACAACTCCATCCTTACTACCCACACCACCCTGGAGCACTCTGACTGCTCCTTCATGGTCGACAACGAGGCCATCTACGACATCTGCCGCCGTAACCTCGGTCTCGAGCGCCCCAACTACGAGAACCTGAACCGCCTGATCGCTCAAGGTAAGGAGAGAGACAACACATGGCACTTTTGTGTGTTTGTACGTCTTAAATGCTGATAAATTACTTCTAGTTGTCTCTTCGATCACCGCTTCGCTCCGATTCGATGGCTCCCTCAACGTCGATCTCAACGAATTCCAGACCAACTTGGTCCCCTACCCTCGTATCCACTTCCCTCTTGTCGCCTACGCACCTGTTGTTTCGGCTGCCAAGGCTTCTCACGAGGCCAACTCAGTCCAGGAGATGACCATGTCCTGCTTCGAGCCCTACAACCAGATGGTCAAGTGTGACCCCCGCAACGGAAAGTACATGGCCACCTGCCTGCTGTACCGTGGTGATGTCGTCCCCAAGGACGCCCACGCCGCAGTAGCTATGCTCAAGACCAAGCGCACCATCCAGTTCGTCGACTGGTGCCCCACTGGTTTCAAGCTTGGTATCTGCTTCCAGCCGCCGCAGCTGGTGCCCAACGGCGACTTAGCCAAGGTTGACCGTGCTGTGTATGTTCCCTCTTCCTCATTACGGCATTTCTCGACGTCAACTAACGTTTTGTAGGTGCATGCTCTCCAACACCACCGCTATCGCCGAGGCGTGGTCCGCTCTCTCCAACAAATTCGATCTCATGTACTCGAAGCGTGCCTTCGTCCACTGGTATGTTGGTGAGGGTATGGAGGAAGGTGAATTCTCCGAGGCTCGTGAGGATCTTGCTGCGTTGGAGCGTGATTACGAGGAGGTTGCCACCGACTCTTTGGAGGCCGAGGGTGACGTGGAGGCTGAGTACTAAGCTGGCCGCTAAGTGATTGCCAAGCGTCGCGGGAAGAGGCTTGATTCAGTATCTCACTCAGCCCTGGAGTTGGACTCGATCGTTGGAGTCAGGCCTGTAACACCCACGCTATGTGTCCTCTCAAGAGAAGCAGGCATGGTAGTTATACCCAGAGCAGGACTGATTTCTTGTGGGAACAGGCGAAGGAGTAAAAAGACAGGAGGGGCTTTCTAATTTGACGGTCACACCAAGCCTCGTAGGAAGAGTAGCACCAGTATACACTTTGTAAATCCGTTCTACCACTTTTAATAGTACGAGTCCACCAATTCTGTTCTTGAGCAAAAAGATTCCCAAGGCCACGGCCTGTAAAACTCGACTCCCAACTTTAACCCAGTATCTTTGTGACGTGAAGTGGTGCACCCATGTTGTTCCCCCATCCCCCGTCCCCCACGAACCATTACATTCCTTCAGTTATACGGAGCTTCCGGTTGGGCACCTCATGAACCTACCCCATTGACTTTCCTCTCTACGCCAGCCTGTCAGGGCGACTGACGGTCATGCAGCGTGACGGGCTGCAACATGACGGCCCAATGGCAGGCGTCTGGCATTCTGACTGACTCGATGACACCCTCCGCAGTTTCGGATATTGGTGGCTTGGAGGCCTGCTGGCAGAACAGGTCCGTGGCATGCTTGCATGCATATTGGACTCTAGACAGTTCTGTGGCCACTCATATTTCTGGGTTCTGGTTCATTCCTGTAGCACCCGTGACTTCATGTGGTGTTTGTCTCTGTCCTGTCTCTCCTGTCAGGTTCGGCTCAGGTTGCCTTGGACCCGACTGGTTCGATTATGGGGACTGAACTAGAGAGACATTTTGAGGTGCTTGAGTGACTGTAGTGCATTGCTGTTCTGGATGGTTGGAGAGGGACTTCTATGACATTCTCTACAAGATGTGTGTGTATTAAATGAACAAGTTGAAACTCGCGGGAGAAATGCCCAAGTATCTGATGTCCATGGATGACCTAAATGGTGGCTGGCCTACCGGAGCCTGCCTGACACGGAGCTACGGGTCGCTAACTGCCTGAGAACAGTAGCAATAACACTGTGGCAACTGAAGTGGTCCTACATTCAAGCTGTCCAGTACCCCGATTTGTACAGTGCAAAACGCCGTCCAGCGACTCCAACATTGGGTCGTCCAGCCTCCTGCAAAGACCGCTTTTGATCTTGGAGTTGGGGTCTTGGAGACAAAAAGCAACATCTCTCCCCGTCCGCTGTTTACATACCCAAGGCTAGACACCTACCCGTCGCCGAGGCTCTGAAGTGCAGTAGCTCGCCCCTCGTGTCTCACCCGGTAGCTGGCCTTTTACGACTCCCGGATCGTCGCTGTCAAATCTTGAAGGAGAAACCCGGCACCCTGAACCTTCCTTCCTCCTGAACCCGCCCTCCCGAGCTCCAGCCTCCTCTTGTTGGTTCGAAGCCTGGCAAGCTCGGGCAGCGCAATCATGGCTGCCGAATCCAGCGACACAGGTGAGCTGCAATCCCACTATCTTCAAAGTTGTCGATTCAAGCTATCTATTACGCGTTGGTGTCATCATGTCTGCTAACCCAGTGTTTACCACAGCGCCGAACCTCAACCTGAACCCCGAGGAGAAACGAGTCTACGGCCAGCTGTTCCGCCAGGCCGATACTGAAAGCGTGGGCGTCGTGACCGGCGAAATAGCTGTCAAGTTCTTCGAGAAGACCAGACTGGATTCGCGCATACTTGGAGAGGTGGGTTTGCTGGATGCTATTACTCCTACGTCGTGTCAACCTGTAACACGCGGATGTGCTGACCCAAACACCAATCACAACAGATCTGGCAAATATCCGACCGAGAGAACCGCGGCTTCTTGGAACCAGTAGGATTTGGCATCGCCTTGCGACTTATCGGCCATGCCCAAGCTGGACGGGAACCGAGTCAAGAGCTCGCTCTCCAGCAGGGCCCGTTACCGCGATTTGACGGGATCAACATTGCGCCAGCCGCACCACCGCCTGCCCCTGCGCCATTGCAGACACAAGGAAGTGGTCTTCAGGCGCAGGCGACCGGTGGGGGCCCATTACGCATACCGCCTCTGACGCCCGAGAAGGTCTCCCAATATGCCTCGCTATTCGAGAGACAGAGCTTGATGAATGGAGGCCTGCTGCCCGGTGACCAAGCCAAGAACATATTCGAGAAGTCGGGACTGCCAAACGAGGCCCTTGGACGCATCTGGCAGCTTGCAGATACCGAGCAGCGCGGTGCCCTTGTCGTGACCGAGTTTGTGATCGCCATGCACTTACTGACTTCGATGAAGGGAGGTACTCTGAGAGGGCTGCCTAATATCCTACCAGCTGCGCTCTACGAAGCTGCTACAAGGCGTGGCGCGGCACCCAGGCAGAGTCCAGTCACCACAGGGCCTCCTATATCTGCCATTCCACGGCAGCTGAGTGGGACAGCGCAACCACGGACGAGCAGTCCCTTGGGACGGCCGCCGTTCAGCCCTCAAGGAACGGGTATACCTCCACAGTTACCTCCGCAAGTGACTGGCATACCTCCGCAGGCCACTAGCATACATCCACAAGCAACTGGTAGCGACTGGCTGGTCACACCGGCCGACAAGGTCAGGTTTGACCAGTTCTATGCCGACCTAGACAAAACGAACAAGGGATTCATCACTGGCGAGGAGGCCGTTCCGTTCTTGAGCCAATCTGGCTTGTCAGAGGATGCTCTAGCACAGATTTGGGATCTTGCCGACTTCAACTCTCAAGGTCAATTGAACAAGGACACCTTCGCGGTCGCCATGTATCTTATTCGTCAACAGCGAAGCAAGAGAGATCTGCCACTGCCTACTGCTCTGCCGCCAAATCTCATACCCCCGTCTATGCGGAATCACGCTCGACCTGCTCTGGGACCATCGCCCTTTGATGCACCCGCACCGGCACCTCCTCAACCCCCGCCGCAGCCCAAGTCTGCTCTCGAAGATCTCTTCGGACTCGACACTGCGCCCGCCCCTAGGCCACCCCAAGCGGCACTATCACCCCAGGGTACAGGCGCATCGAGGGGGGGAGGCCCAATAGGTAGAGATCCGTTTGCAGGTGGTAAGCCGGCGTCACCGGTGCAACCCTCGCCAACGGGAAACACATTCAAGCCTTTCATTCCATCCTCCTCATTTGGCAGAACTCTGGCACATCATGATACTGGAGGCTCAGGTACTTCAGCTCAGAAAAGCCCTTCAGCCATGGATGATCTTCTTGGGGATAACGACCCAGAAGCCAGCAAGAACATTACAAATGAGTCGACCGAGCTGGCCAATCTGTCTAATCAGGTCGGCTCATTATCGAAGCAGATGCAACAGGTGCAAGGGCAGCGTAGCTCTACTCAGAACGAGATCAACCAAGCAAGTGAGCAGAAGCAGAATTTTGAGGCACGATTGTCTCAATTACGCACCTTGTACGAGAAGGAAGCCAACGATGTACGGACCTTGGAAGAACAGCTGAGGAATATCCGTGAAGAAACGAAGAAGCTCACTGGCGAGATGTTGACAATTGATGGTACTTACCAGGACCTTCAGACTCAGCACCAACAGCTCGCGCAAGCTCTCCAGGTTGACCAGCAGGAGAACGTCACCCTCAAGCAACGCATGAGTTCCGTCAATGCGGAAATTGCGCAACTCAAGCCGCAGATTGAGAAACTCAAGTCGGAGGCTCGGCAGCAAAAAGGACTGGTGGCCATCAACAAGAAGCAACTATCCACTGTCGAGGGAGAGCGAGACAAGTTGCAAACCGAGGTTGAGGATCTCACCAAGAGTAACGAAGAGATGGCTCGTCAAGTTAATGCCAGTTCGCCGAAAGCTGCATATGCTCAGGTGGCAAGTCCAGCGCTGTCTACTGCCAGTGGCAACAACCCATTCTTTAGACGGACGGGAAGTTCGGACATCATGGGTACCTTCTCGTCTCCTCCTATGAAGTCATACAATGACAAGTCCTTCGATGATATCTTTGGCAACTTCGGGACCAGTAGCATTTCGGGCCCGCCGCCGCCGCCGACTTCATTCAAGCAGCAGAACACCGGCGCCTCCACGGCCAGTGTCGGTTCCGGATCCTTTGGCACCCCCGCAGGTTCAACCCCTACCGCTGGTCGCCAGGACACGCTGAATGAGGAACCTCCGGCGTCCTCAGAGTCGCGGCAGCTCAACTCAAGTTACCTGCCGTTCGGTGATGCGGCTGGGTCTATGAGCTCGTCACGCCAGGTATCACCTCCCCTCAGCAGGACTGGTGAAGGTCCTGGCACTTCCAGCTCCGTCCCAGCTCCATTAGAGCCATCTTTCACGGGTCAAAGCGTGACATCTGCCTCCAACAAAAGCTCGGCCTCGGTATACGACGAGCAGACACCGTCAGCTACTGTCAACGATTCTATCCCTGGTGCATTCCCAGATGATACTCCGACCAATACTGCCCCTCCTACGTCATTCGGGGGAAACAGAGGTAGTGATCCGTTTGGAAACATGAAGAACACAGGCAATGCCAAGGTAGACTTCGACTCTGCATTCGCTAGCTTTGCCAACTCGTCCGCCAAACCTCAGGAGAAGCCGGCGAAGGAGCCTTCGAACGCGTTCTCGAGCTTCAACACCGAGTTCCCTCCGATTTCTGAACTCGAGCGGGATGACGAGTCAGACTCTGCCAGTGAAGGAAACAAATTTGACGATGACTTTGCGCCTGCTTCCCCCGCGGAGAAGAAGGTCGAGAACAGCGAGACTCGTCACTTTCCGTCTTCCCCATCAACGACGAAGTCCGATGTGCCGGCCGCAGAAGGTGCAACTACAAAGACTCATTCCTCACAGCCGTCAAAGTATGACCTTTTGACTTTCTGAACTTTGCCCCAGCGCTACTCTCATGCTAATACTAACACAAGCCTAAGTCTGTCAAACTTCCCGGAACCGCCAAAGAGCCCACCTGCATTTTCTTCTTCGTCAAAAGATGATGACCCCTTCGCACCTGTCCCGACTACCACAACAAACACTGCACCTGTAGCACCCAAGGGCGCCTTCGATGACCTGGACGATGATTTCGAGGATCTCGAGGATGCCAAGGAGGGCTCGGCGGACGACGAATTCGCAAACATGTCGAGATCCAATCTGGACGACTTCAACCCTGTTTTCGACAGTAGTCCACCACCAAGTCACCCCAAGACTGAGTCTACTAATGTTTCTAACGCATTCGGGACTGAGGGCAGCTATGACTTTGGTACCGTGTCCTCAACTTCGGCCGCTACGGCCGGGGGATCTGGTGCGACCCCTGCAGCTAACAATGTCAACCCGGCTCCGTCGTCTAGCCAAGGACCCGCAGCACCAGAGAATCATGATTGGGATGCCATCTTTGCCAGTCTAGACTCCCCCAATGATACGACTGCGGACAGGAAGAGTGGCGAAGAGGCGAAGAGTCCGGTGCAGAACCTAAGCCCTGAAAGGCCGAACATGGCTGGCAGGGCGTTGACGCAAGAGGGAAAGCATGATGATCCCATTCTAAAGAATCTGACAGGCATGGGCTACTCGAGGACGGATGCGTTGAACGCGCTGGAGAAATATGACTATAATCTTGAGCGGGTAAGATGAGAATTTCTGGACAAGCCATGTCTTCAAAGCTGATGACTTTCCAGGCCGCGAATTTCCTCGCGAGCCACTCTTAGTCTACTTTCTTTCGACATTCGGGGGAGGAGCAGGCATGAACAGTCACGCAGCAGCGTGGAGATCCATTCCATTTTCGTTCGATACGGGAGATACCTCACTTGCATAAGCGACAAGAGGAGCTTTTGAAGTTTGTTGTAATAGCAGAGGCCTGGTTGGGACTGAGGTGTGAAGAGATAGGCTCAGAGGCCGAGTCTCTGAAGAATCGGCAGACTGCAATGACATAATGTATAGTTCTGTATGTACTTTTCAGCCCCAATCACATACCTTCCTTGTCTTGTAATTTTGTTTGGACTCTTTTTCGCCTCATCGCGTTGCGGCACTGAGGCTGAGCGAGGGCTCCTTGGACGATGGTCACGGATCCTGCTACATCAGCCATGTCGACGTTACCCCGTTCTACACGTGTTAGTAATGTACTCATGATTTGTTTTTTACCCAGGTCCTCCAAACCTCAAGCCCCGTTTCCATGCTTCAATGCTGTTTTTTTTTTTTAATCTTCACCCTCATCTGCTGCCAGGACGTAAGTGACAAGGCCGTGGGGACTCAGGCGACGGCGGCGGTGTTGGCAGAAGAAGCCTGGCTGCTCCTATGCATCGTAGCCGTAATGATCGTAACCACCCGCTGCCTGTGGTGGTGGTGGTGCCACGTCTGTCTTTGGGCTCGAGTAACACATCGGTTCGTACCTACCATTGTCATTGTCATTGCCAATGCCATCTCCGCTATAGGCGCCGTGGGCACCGCTCTCCTCCCAGGCAGCAGCTATGCCTCCCAGATACGATGGACCGCCGCCGCCACCATGACCGCCTCGGCCGACACGGTCTCCGCTCTCATCGACAGTACCACCGACGGACGGCTTGGGCTGGAGGTTGCTCTCTCTATTGGACATGACTTACCGGATGCTTCCTCGAGTCCATCCTTGCCTGCAAGGATGACTGACACTCGTGGCTGGAAAGAATCTGCACCGGAAAGCTATGAGAGGCGTGATCACTAACGTTTACCTTGCTCGCTCGGATTCCCTAAGCCGTGGCCATGGCCGGTGTTGTTGGCTCAGTGCTCGTCGGTCGTCTCAAGGCAGTGTGTTCTAGCGGGTAGAAATCATGCTGTCATTCGCTCTCGGTCATAGGTGTAGTGTTCCGGGACAAGCGTAGACCCGGAGAACTACATACGCATGGTTCATCGAGAGCGGGCAAACTGGAATTGGGAAACCGTATCTGCCATAAGCAAGTTGAGGGACAAGAGAGCTTCTGATCACTTTGCCTCGCGATGACCATTCGGTAGCAGAAGGATGCCGTACATGTATGAGTGAGGAAGACCACACTCATCTCTTTTGATGTATCACTATCCCGCTCGCACCTCATTCATCCTTACAGGGCAACTGTAAATAAGCCAGAACAATATACCTAGACCGTACGAGTTTGTAAGTCGCACCCTCGAACTTGTCGGGTGCGCCTGGCTAACAAGACACAACACTAGGATTAATGGACGGCCGGTCGTACGGCATGGCACAGTCAAAACTCATCAAAAGTCCAAAAGTAGTAGTGCGAAAAGCTGCAAAGAGCAGTATCCAATTCTCAGTAATCATTACGGGAGATCCTGTACATAGCATAAAAGATCATGTGTCCATGGGTATCCAATAAACCGCCAGCCAGGCTTCAAAAGTTTCAAGAGGAGAAATGGGGAGCATTGAGGAACAGTCCCATCAGCACCCCTCCAATGGTTCCGGCAATGGGGATCGTGGCAATCCACGACAGGAGCAGCAGACCGACGCGCTGGAAGTTGACGGCCTTGAGGGTGCCGTTGCAGAGCCCGACGCCGACGGTGGCGCCCGTGATGCACATCGAGGTCGACACGGGGAGCGAGAACTGCGAGAAGACCAGCACGGTGATGGCGGCGCCCATCTCCATGGAGGAGCCTCGGCTGGGCGAGTGGTACGTGATCTTGTTGCCCATGACTGTTTGTTTGGATCGAGTCAGCATATTGTCGTTTCGAGACGCAGGGACAGAGACAGAGACAGAGACATACCCTTCATGATGTTGTACCCGTAGGTAATCAGACCGAGCGAGATGGTGGCGGAGAGGACGGCGAGCTGCCAGACGGGGACCGGGGCCTTGGCCGCAGCGGCGTCGCCCGTGGACCAGGCAGAATAGATCACAGCCCAGGGCCCAACACTGTTTCCGATGTCGTTGGCACCGTGGGCGAAAGACGCAGTGCAGGCAGTCAAGATCTGGACGAACGAGTAGGTGTGCTCGACCTCGTTGGGGTACTTTTCGGCCGCCGCGTACACACGCTGCATGCGCTTGCCCTCGGGCGTACCAGCAATACCAGTCTGCGCAGCGTGGATGTCGTAGTGGAAACCGTAGAGCAGGCCGCAGGTGACCATGGCGGGGATGCGCTTCGCGAGGGTCTTCATGTTCTTCACCTCGTAGATCTCACCGGGGCCCATTGGGTTGTCTCTCAGCGTGCGCATCGCCCACCCCATGGGGCCGCGCTTCTTGAGGAGCTGGGCGTTCAGCTTGCTCTCGCCGTCGGCCACGATCTCCTTGTAGGAGCGCTGCGCCGTCTCGGTGGTCGTTGTGGGCTTCTTCTCGTCTGCCTCGGCGTGGTTGGTGTTGGTGCCAGCGACTTCATTGCTGTCGCGTTCGAGGAAGGACCCTGTGGAACGCGTGGAAGACTGGTCGTCTTCCTCCTGGACGACGGCGTAGTTGGGGACGTTGGCCCGGTCGGCCTCGGCGACGACGGGGCGGCTGAAGAGCAGAGGGCCGTAGACGAACATCCACCACTTGACCGAGTGGTCCTTCTTGATAACCTTGGCGTGGACGTAGGGGACGAAGAATATGGCCGCTACGAGGGCGAGGGCGGCGCCCGTACCCAGGACGACGCCCGCGATCCACTGCGGTGGTCGCTTTGCGAGGTTGAGGCTGGGTGAGCCCTTGTACACGATGGACAAGGTGCACACGGTACCCGTGATGAGGAAGAAAAAGGGGGAGGTGTAGATAGCCCACGGCACCGGGTTCTTGCGAAGGTGGACGACGAGCTTGATGAGCATGAAGATGGTGGCGGCGAAGCCGGCCGAGATGGCAGGAGCCATCCCCAGGCCGGCGAAGATGGCACCGAGCCCCTTGCCCTTATTCCACCCCCATTTGACTTCCGAGGCTCCGACTGTGGCGACACCGACGCCGGCCACGGCCGAGATGAGCGAGTACGTTGACGAGACATGTGCAGAGTGCCGCGTACACCACATGACCCAGCTAGAGGCGGCTGCGAGGGCACAGGTGAAAGCGAGCATCTGGACGGGGGCGTTGTCCTGGAAGGCCGAATTGGGAATGATGCCGTTCTTGATGGTGTCGGCGGTTCGTGCGCCTACGGTGATGGCCCCGAGCATCTCGAATATTGTCCCGAATATCATGGCCTGCCTGTACGAGATGGATCTCGATGAGACACTCGTCGCCCACGAATTTGCCACATCGTCTGATGAAACGGGTCAATAACTTCCTTCAATTTCACCTGGGCAGGCATGAGCTGGGCCACTTACTGGCACCGTTGTTGTAGGCGTCGAGGAGGGCGAAGAAGGTGCCGATGACGAAGACGTAGGTGTACTCGTAGAGCGGCATTGTGGCGGATGGTGTATAGGCAGTGCCGTACAGCGTGTGATGAGGACCGGGGATGACGGGGATGGACAAGAGGAGGGGGAGTGATAGGGCTTTAATACCTTGCCATATGGCCAAGTCTTTTCAGCTGAAGGTGTCTCTCCCTGCCTGTTGGATCACACCGAGGCGCACTGCACCTAGAACGCAGGTGCATGCTTCTTCTGGAGTATGCAGATGCGCGTTGCGTCAAGTCGTTGCGCCATGCTTCCCTCGTTCGACGGGTCAGCCGAGATGCACGCTGGTCGATGGTGACCTCAGCCACTTGCCATTTCGCGTGGACCGATGGCCCAAGGGATTGATGTTCGCGCGGCGGGCACTACAGTCTACAACGACTTGTTGGTCTTCGGCGTCGAACCAATGGGCAGGCCTCGTTCCGGCACGCCGTAGAGTCGCAACGCTGAGCAAGACGAGGGAAGGCAGGGCGACGCGGGCGCACCGACTCGAACTGGCGTTGGCCTCCGACGGCGAAGAGCTTCAACGGTGGCAAGCATCGTTGGTAGACTTGGTAGACTTGGCGGCGTGCTTGGCGGAGAGCGGAAGGGTGATATATACGGCGTGCCGTTCGGAGCGGCTGCTGGTCTCAGCCTGGTGTTGGCGGATGCGGCTCTTGGCGCCTGAGTCGTCAAGCACTATACACGCAATACACCGGCCTATAGGAGTTGTAGATTTCCCCACGTGTGCTCGGTCATTGGTTAGCATGACCCCAGACGGTCCATCTCCCGCCAAGCCCGCCCCGGCTCGCCCAGCCCAGCGGTATCGTCAGTTGCCAAGGGGGAGGGTGACGACAAGCGTGTATGCAGTATGCTCCGCGGAATATCTAGAGTCGTTTGGGAGGCAGTCCAGACCGTCTACTGACTACTGAATGCTTACCCCGATAGTGCCTTTTCATGAGTTCATCTGAACTCGGGAGTCGAGCACGTGCTGAGCCAACGTCCAGAGTCCAGCTTGATCGATCCCCCTTTGTCCGAGAATCTCCCTACGTGCCATTACGAAGGCAGATGAAGCCCTCAGGTGGCGGCTTCGATCGATTCTGGCGCCCGCTGCATGGGCTCAGCATCTCGACACTGCAAGTATGCCTCTCCAGCAAGACTCTCACATCTTTGAAGGTCCTGAGGAGGCCTAGAAGGGACTCTGTCAAGCCTCCATGACCTGTCATTTGTATCTCCGAAATAATACGACCCTGCAGTAGCTTTCTACCAGCTTGTGCGGCCATTATATGGAAATTCAGCCCCAGATAATATCGCTGAGCCAATGGCCATATAGTACCCGTTGACAGGTGATCCCCCAATGGGAGAGCACAGCCCGATGCTACCCAGATCTGCTGTGCGATGCAATAGAACGCAGGCAGGGACGGGGAATGCAGTTCGCAGCCCCAGGCTGTGATTGGTAACACCTACAATCCCATGCGGACATTGTCTCGGCTGCAGATCTTATTGGTCACATACTATTGATTATAAGTTCATAATGGTTTGCAGCTGGCCTTGACCTCGGACCCGGGGTCGTATGAAAGTAACTCAAAATCCACGAAATGGCTCGCTCAGAACCCGAACCATAGGCCTGTTGGGGTGATGTTCCACTCGCGGCGCTGCTCCAAGGCTCAAGGCTGCTCCTTCGCTCACCGAAGTCCAATGCAGAAACTGCCCATGAGTAGACAGGCGGGAAAATCGAAAGGTAAATCCACACCAGTGCTATTAAGAATCGAACCTATCACCATCAATATGGGATGTTCCCTGGGTCCCTACACCCGTCGACAACATAGGCAGCGAGGATTGAGAGAAGAGCCTATAAATAAATAAACAAATAAAAATCCATTTCCCTTATATGCTTACATATACCGTTAAAGCCTTTATAAAAACATATTAAAAGGCTTTATTTATTGCTTTATTTAATATAAAATACTTAAAAACGTCAATAAACGTATAAAATAACTTTGAATATATTCATAGTTTATAATAATGACTATTAATAACGCCAATTTTTTTACGAAATAGCAAATAGTTAAAAAGATTATTAAAACCGCGTTACATTAAAAGCTTATAAACTTTAAAACCGTTATAAATTTTATTAAAATTATGTTGAAAAAAGTTTCAATCTTTAAGTTTAACTAATCATAATAAAAACCTCGTTCTACTTATATAAAACGGCCGTTCCTTTTTATATATATAATTAGTATTCGAACTTATTAGAACTATATTTCTTATTATTATATTTTGTTAAATTAAAAAAATTGTATTTAAAAGTATTAACAATACATTTATTTGTAATTTTGTAACTACTTATTATAAACAGCTTTATACTTAAATATAGTTACAACACGTCTAGTTAATATAACGTTAAACTTATAGGATAACGGTTGTTAACCGACCTTGTTAAATCCACTTTAAACCCACTTAATCCGCGTATAAAGCACTTATAACTATACTATTCATACTATTTTATTTAATTACGCCCTTTAATTTAAATAGTACTAAAAGAACTAGATTTTATTAAAACGCTTAAATTTATAATAAAAGTCTATTAATTATAATGATGCTATCTTTTAAATAAATAAGCAATATAAAGTAACTTGCGGTGAAATTCCTTTGTAAATCCTTGTAAAAAGTAAGTAAAGATATTATTTTACGCCGAAAACTTTATATATAATCTTTTTAAAGCTATTATATCGGCTTCAAGCCTAATATTGTGCCTTGTGGTAGCGGTATCCAGAATAAGGACCAGGGTCACAAGAGGTGGCTATTGATCTGTATTCTGGAAGTTGCTTGATTGAAAGAAGGGACGGGTGGTGTCCCCATCCCAAAAGTAGCTATCATCCCAGTTGGGTACAAATCAGGTACAAACGGGTACCCGTTGGGCTCCAAGGTACCTTGTATCCTGGTCCGTAACCCATCCGTCATTGTGGCTGGAAAATGGGTTGAGGAGTCACAATATTACGGTAAACTTTTAATATCTTAGACTTTTTAATAACTTTATAAAGCTGCTTATAAAGTTTTTATTAATCAAAACTTATATTAGCTTAACGTAAAGCTACCGGTTAATAGTATAAAAGGCTTTATTTTGAAGGCGTGTTTACATAGGCCTGGTTTATTTTAAGGTGATTACGTCTTGTTTATACCCGGTATATAATGTGGTTACGTGCTTTTAAGTTAGATTAAATTTCCTCCGCTTTAATAGTTAAAGCAAGCTCGAGTACCAATTTAACTCTCTTTTATATATATTTAATGATTAAAATAAATATAATAAACGAGATTAAAGTTGCTACTACAACAGTTTACGTTAATTTAAATTTTAATATCCGTGTTTTTATTTTAAAAGCTTATATTAGCCTTAAAAAGGTAAAATTTTAATACTGTTATATAGCTTATATATAAGAAAGTACTTTTATAAAAATGAAGTCTTTTATTAAAACGTTAAATAGTGTGACGGCTGTGGCGGCCTGCACAGACCTTCCCACATGACAAGTGGATACCTCCTAATAGGGGAAGGATCTGACCAGAGGATCCCCTTAAAGGGGCAATCTCCCACTGTACCTATCTCTCTCTCTCTCTTCCTTTCCTCTCTAGTCTTGATATTCTCGTTAATAGAGTAATAGCTGCTTGCTGCCGGCCATGTCCCAGCTCCTCAGTACGCTCGCTGTGACATAATATCAAGACTCCTCCATACCAGATCAGAAGCCTTGTCTTCAGATCACCACTGCAAGGAGTTTTGTCTCTAGCAGTGACAGGTGCAGTGTCTCTGAACACCCACCTACCCCAAGACTTTATTATACACCTACCATTATCACTGATTCCGTCCAACATACCGTGACGATGAGTACCATTATCATTCCAGAATATCAGGATAGTTCTGAAGGGACTGAAAGACCAGC